GGCAATTTTAAGGGTAGAGGCATAAATGGCAAGAAGCACTCTTGACTGTAAGAGGGGAGTTTTTGGGTTCACCGATTTTCATTGTTCAATCTGGGGTTCGTGCTGTTGTTGGTGTTGTTGGTGTGACCCAGCGTCTGCGGTCGGTCTCTTGTTCGCTTTTGTTTGGCTGTAATTCCCTGGGCAGCTCGCTAAAATAGCGACCATATTTGTACTTTGAAATGAAGGGTTCTTACTTGAAATCGACAGGCACCACCCTGGCTATTGACACGGCAATGGCGATCGACCGGTTGTCTTTGTGATAGGTCCTCTTAGCCACCAGGAATCCAGTGTGTTTGAGTCAGTATCTATTAGTGTGCCGATCTAAGCATTATTTCGACGCCCTGCTCCGGTGCGATGATCTCTCTCGTGCATATTGCCAGTTGGCATCGGCATCGGCAGCGAGTCGCGGAATTCGTCCTCCAGACGCGAGATAATCATCCCATCACGTCTAAATTGAAATCATTATTTGAACAACTGGTTTTTAATCTATATAAATATGTTCACGACATGCTCTTCAGTCAATCCGGAAATATTCCAAATGCGCCAGGGACAAAAATATAAAGATTGGGAACCAAAGCAAATAGCCATGCGATTTTCAAGAAGCGAAATGTCAGATAGACTGGAACGTTTCAAAAAATAAATAAACTCTACCGCCTCGATACGGCCCAATCCTCATGACGCCCTCCGTGACGCCATCCAGCCGGCCCTGATCGTCCCAATCCGCGAAAGAGGCGAGCCTTGACCATCGGTCGGAGTCGTCATCACGTCTAGATACAAGCAACACGTCAATTGCCATGCAAATCCAGGAAATCAGTTCCTTTCTCTCTGGGATTGTCACACCATGCTGGAGAATTTTTAAGTACAAACCCTCGCCTTGGGAGCGTCGGTGGGAACTCGACGAATGGTTGCTGGGTTCCCTGCTGCCGCGACGACCATGACTGGCCGTCGGTGGCGATCGAGGCCGATTAGAGCAGCGCCGCGCTCGTGCGAAGACGTCGCCTGAGGTCAAAATACAACTAGCTATATTTGTCCTTACGCGTAGAGTAGCTCTTGTGCACCAGTGGCCGCTGCGACCGCCGTCACGTGGTAGTGCGATTCGCGCACCTCACCGTTTGGCACGTACTTCAGCTCACCACGACGCGGCGAATCGCTCAGCGACCCGTAGCGGGCGTGAGCGATTCCATTACCAAAAGCAAGTCGTCCTCGTGTCCGCCGCGCTAGAAGGAATTTTATCATAATGAAAATTTTACCTGGTTAAGAGGTTATCACGTCTGGTGGCGGTCGTCTGACGGAAATAACTCTCGTTTGAGGCAAATAACCAGCATGACCACCACTGCTATCCATGACGAGACAGAGATGGCTGCGCCATTGTCCTAGGAAAGTTGGTACCTAGATCGTAAGATTGCTCTTAAGACGACATGCAGTCCAGTCCGTTGCAAAGCAAACTAAGCTAGCCACTTGTTGGCTTCGTTGATCATCGAGTACGCGTCGCTTCGTATCGCGCTGCTGCTCTTCTTTCGTTAATGCTCGTCGTTCATAGATTGTCGTCGACTCCTTCGCCGCGCCAATATCCACTAGGCGGATGCGTCGTTTCCGTTTCCTCTTCTCCTCGTGCTTCGTCCCATTCGTCCATCTCAATTCTTCTCCTTTCTTGCTCCTCCCTCTCCCAGGCTTCCCTCTCTCTTAACTCCCGCTCCTCAAGTTTCCTTTCTGATACGGTATTCTTCATCTGAATCTAAAGTGGACGGACATGCTGGACGTTACCTGGGACAAGCGACTTGCAACATGCAGCGATAGTGTGGGTGTTGCTTACCTCCATATTGGCCACCCTCCTCCCTCCCTCACGTCAGGAGCTGGAGTGACGACAGGAGCGACAGTCTTTCCGCTCTTTCCTCTGCGCGACGCTCGGCTTCCTCAGTGCGACGGGTCTGCTCGAAGCGCTGCCGGTCTCGGTCTTGACTGGCTGAAAAATGCGACAACTCGTGTCTTCCAATGGAGTGCTTACACGACGGATGACCTCCTTCACCACCTCGCGGTGTTAGTTCGATGCCGGGTACAACATTTGCTCCCGGTTCTCGGAAGTTCACGGCGCTGTCTGATGCTGCGGGCTTGTCATCCTAAAAAGTGCAGTTAGAGTTTGTAGGGATAATCTGACGCATGTCTCCTGCTGCACTTGCTGCCGGTCCATTTCTTTGCACGTGTTACCCCAGGGACCCAATTGCAGAAACGGACGTGGTATTGGACAGTTTCAGATGCGGACACTGTGCTCCCATTCACACCTTGACATGGATCACGGCCGATGGTTGAGTGAGTTGTGGGAGGGAGTTGAGCCGTTCGATGCGACAGGCGTAGGCTTCGCATTGTACTCCCTTGCAGGCTTCCGTCATGTCGACCACCTAAAGATGGACGCAAGGTTCTACGAGACACTCAGGTAGATTTAAGGAATCTAGGATATGTGGTTGGCAGTGGTGAGTACTCAAAAAACAGGGAAACTGCATCTTCAGACATAGGCGAAGGTTCAAAGCTAGGTGCAAATAGAACTCTCTCTGTGTCGGACCGGGCAGGCAAATACGTGGCAAAAGTGTGCGATGAACTGGGGCACACCTGGCGGAATCGGTCAGTGGAAGCGCGGAGTCTGACCAGTTCTTCCTCTTTCGTCGCACCGTTAACGGAGACGACAGATCGGGGCGAGGCTTGACCGAGAACAGCCACGCCCCGAGGAGACATCCTGGAAGCGCCCGAATGGGTATACTGTCGCCTTCGTGATTTGTGTGTAATTTGGCAAAAGCCTACGCTACATTTTAAATCAAAAGCAACCGTTGTTTTGTAGTATTTGCATGGGCAAAACTAATAAAAATCAACGTCCAGGCGACGATATTCCATCGGGAAAAATACACGTCAAGTTCTCGGATTAATAGGCGAAGCGGGAGAAGGTATTGGCAAGCAAGCATTTCGGGACTACGACCAAATTTCCGGCACTTTAAAGCCAAATTGGCGCGCGTTTTCTTACGTGAGTTAAGCGGCGAACCGTCACGTAGCCACGCTTCCTTGCTTGTAGTTTCGGTGTGGATGGAGGTGCGTGAGGCTTAGAGATCGCCGCGGGCTGTTCCTGAAATTGGAAATTAAATGGAAAATAGGATTTTGGATACCTTGAGCGGTTGTGGCTTAGGTCCGGGCCTTGTTAGTGACGATCTCCTCAGCGGTCAACCGATATTGGGCCCTATTCTCCTTTGCTCGGGCGCTAATTCCCCTTCTGACTTGCGGGCCATCTCGTCGGGCTCGTCGTTCTGTTAGTGATCGGGGGATAGATGCACTCTTTTAGTATCAGCCAAATTGTTAGCGCCAAACTTGGAGATTATTTAATTTGAAGCTAGGGGTTTTCAAGGAATTCAAAATTCAGGAAAGAGGTCCGAGATGAACTAGCCTTCTTCGGCTCGGCGGCAGCCTAAAAATAGATTATTAGAGGCGGATGTCAATGTACAGGTGCAAAGCTTTTGGTGCGCAGTGCCGACAATTGATTTTTTACAAACATACAACACTAAAACATTTATAAATTTTGGACGGTTTCTAAGTCAAAACTACCTCTAGTATTTAGACGAAAACCGCAAGCACGGCCTCTGGAACGCTGGACACGACCACAAAAACAAGCCACAGTCTGTTGAACAAAACAAGGATGGGACAAAATTTGGGTTTCGAAGGGGGATTAAGACAGGACATAAGCACATTATTTCCTAAGTCCGAACTGAACTTGTCTGAGAAACGAGCACCCACACAACATGGCACAAAGATTGACACAAAGGCGGCACAATGGAGGCGTTAACTGGGTTGTCGATATGTTTGATTGGCTCTAGTTACAGCCACTTCCAAAACAACCACATAGAAATCCGGTGAGAAGAGGCTTGGAAACAGGGCAGTTTTGGGGATGAGAAAAATCGTGGAATAAATAGATTGTCCACCAGAGACAGCTAGGGGGATGAAGCGGGGACTCTCTAGAAAGTGGGTTGCTAGAGAGTGGGGGGCTTTGAATCGGGGACTTGGCTTACAAGTTTATCGGGTTTGGGGATCGGACGTCACGTGTGCTACCAGGTCGACCGGTTGGTGTTCTGTAATGGAACAATGAAAATGATCAGGTCTAAAGTTTCTTACCCGGTTCCCGGAGCTGGTGAAGCTGAAATAAATTACGGGCTTGTTCTTGGACAGAACGAAGAAGTCGTTGAGTATTTCCCTGAGATGGGGACACGGCTCGGGGAGGTCAATTCCCGGGTCGGCGAGCTGAGAAAAATTCAATAGCTGTTAGCTAGAAACAGGGCCAGATAGCTAAAGGTCAAACTAACGCATCGTTTCTGGCTGCCCTTAATCCATATCATAATTGGAACAGGAGGAAAGGCGCGGAGGCGAAATCGAGGAAGCAAAGTGAGAGAAAGGATGGCTGATCTTTCGGCTGATAGGGAGAACAGGCTCATGAGTCTAGAACACCTATAACCCTCAGGCAACAGTGGATTGGCAAATAACGCCTGGCTCGTCATAAGCAGGTAGTGTTGGAGAGGAGCTGTTAGAGGGCAGCCATTCTGCTCCACCCTCTTGCAGCACTCGGAGTTTCAGAGCGTAGCTAAAACTATGTAAAAAGATTAATTCGATTTACCTGGGGCTCAACTCAATAGTGGTTGGCTGCGGAGAGCCTGGACTAGGATCAGGAGCCTTGCGGGTGAGCATGATGTCGTTGAGACAGGATGATGGTACATCATTACTCCGCCATGCATCGGGAGGCGACCCAGGAGGATGAGGTTGATTCTCTTCTCGAGGCCCTTTAAAGCAGGAGATTATGTTCAAGTTTGGTAGCATCCTTAATTTTTGATAGAAAGATGAATGTTCCTAAAGCTGCAAAAGCCTTAAGCGCCTAATTTTCCGATCGTTTTTATTTGCGTTTTTGGATGCATAATGCGCTAAATTCGGATGCCATAAATTGACGTTCTCATATTGTACCATGCCGCACATGCGAGTGTTTCGACTAGTGGGCCAACCCGGGAAGAACATGCGAACCTGGTGATATTGCTGATGATGTTGATGCTGCTGTTGTTGCTGCTGGATATGTTGCCTATGCTGTTGATGATGTCGCTGCTCTCGTTGCGGGCTTTGGGTATCAGCTGCCCGCCTCCTCTCGCTCTCCAGCAGTTAGCGCTCCCGATGTCTCCGGACTTCACGTTCCTCCGTGACTCTCGCGCCTCTCATGATGGCTTTTTCCGATTGGGCATCGTCCCCGTATCCGGGTGTACATCGTAGTCAGGGGGTGGCTGTAATCCCGTCACTCCAATTCACAGCCCACACCACTCCACAACAGCCAAACGTCATTCAGAACTCTTTTTGGTTTTGGTTTCAAAGCGGCTAAGCACGTAAGGAGAAATAAAGGTTGCTTGTTTGGGGTTGTTTAGTTTAGACTTACCACTTAGGTCCAAATGGGTCAAGCTCATTGCCCGAGATGCCATACGGCCTGTTATTCTTCTGGCAGACTCCTCGAACTGGGCGAGACGTCTCTGAAAGATCCCTGTATGAAAAGACCAAGAATAAAAATACCTTGACATCAACGTGTTGAGGCATTTCCTTATGCACGATTGTCAAGGGTAGGGTGGAAGGTCATAGATCTTTTTCCCAGTCCCACAAAATTTATATAGAGAACTTGATCGAGCCCTTACATGAGTTGCTCGCGGTCCATCTGGCTGCTGGGAGTCACGACTCCTTGCAGCTACGACAGTCCTGTCCGGATGGTGAACGAGGGATAGGCGATGCCGCTATCATCTAGCCGATGGAAGTTGCGCTGATGGATAGCTTCGATGTGTGAGTCTGCCGATGAAGATCTGGTCTCTTGATGACCTTGGTGGCTTGGGAGCATGAGGATAGATCCTCCCACTTAGGGTATTCCGAGGGCCACCGAATGCCGGTGCGCGGTCTGTGCGAACCATCAGCGGACAGCTTGACCAGGTAGCAGAGTTTGGCGCTTCCGCCGGTTCATCTAGGGGTCCCGTGCCGTGTCCACGGTTAGGGTGTGGAGGGAAGTGTTGGGGTGTAGAGTTCTTTGTTGCTCTTTCTTGAGGGTTGGATCGTAGACGACAGGTTCCCATTGGTATCCAGCATCGTCTGGAGAGGGGGGTGGTCCTGGAACATTAACAAATTAAAGGCTTCTTTTGAAGATTACCTGGGTGAAATCCTTGGCGGTAGTGTCGGATCGACTGGCCCGGCCTTCGAAGTGTTTAGCCATATATAGGGCCTCCGGCGGCGATTGTTGCCCATCTTCGCCCTGTCCGGGAGATTTCAGGCTCAGCTTCCGGTCGTTCCACGAACGCCTCTCGTCGCTAAAGGGTATTAGTGAGCATGAGCCGCAATACCTTCCAAGATATCGATCTCAACATCCTGGAGGTCCTTCTCCAAAATCTCGTCTCCAGTCAAGATCTCGTTCTTGGCCTCGATGTGAGGTTTGTCGACAATGTAGGTCCGCTTCCAGGTTGGGACATCTGAAGAGGAGCATGAAACTTAAATTTAGTACTTACGTGGAGTCGGATCCTGGCCTTCACTCATCGCGCTCAGTGGTCGAGTCTCGAAACGGACTTGAGCAGGAGGTGGCGGTCCTGGGTCCTGAATTTTCCAGTAAAAACGTCGATTTTGTAAAATTTACGTGAGCTGTATGCGGCTGCGTATAGGACACCTCTCGAGCCGGCGACAACGGAGCAGTGTATTGTTGTTGGGAGGGTATTGCTAAAATCGAAATTTCAGAGAATATGCACTCCACTCAACCTCACGCGGGGCATATCGCTGCTGATCATAGGAAATTTCTTGAGGAGGGTACTGAAAAGCTGGGGATAAGGATTTAGTCAAGAACAACTCAAAAACTTCTTTACTCTCCGCAATCACGTCAAAAACACACCGCTGGGTACGGATGATGAGGATGAGGAGGATAATTGGCAGAGGAGGTATGAGCGGATTGTTGCTGTTCAAAAAGTCGGTGTTGTTGCACTTCCATAGCATAGACCTAAAGGGCGATAACTGCACACGCTAAAAGGCAAAAAGCGGACCTGCTTCTCGAGATCTCGTTGAAAACGCTCCTCCTTTTTGCGCATGGCCTCTTTTTCCAATTCTTTTGCCTTCGGAATTCGTCGATTCGATCTGGATCTGTTATGTTGCGCGACATGACGGATTGGCTTGGACGGTCTTTTTTGGCGGACGGTGGTGGCCAGATGACGACAGAAGGGGCTGATGGATCATCCTAACAAAATCACGACAATATCACTACACCACAGATACACTTCTGAAGGATTCAGCACTAAAAATCTGGAATACTCACATGTGGGTCGTTGTGATGGTGTAGCTCGGCTTCAGAGGCGGACATTTGACGCATTTTCTGGAGTTGTTGGGAGGATTGCTCGTAGCTAGAAGTGTTTGTTGAGTTTATAGAAAATCAGGGGTTGAATACCTATATTCAAATTGTTGACGATAACTCTGCTCATCACGCCTTCGATGCTCTCCCTCATTTCTGTCACCAGAGCCAAGCGGTGGGGCAGCCGATTGAGGTCTGGAAAATCCGTAATAATTCCCAGATATTTTTTCTGCCATTTTCTGCTCATCAAAGCCGTTTTCTGCACCCATCTCGATCACCCCAATCCAACCACCGGCATTTTTATGGGTTTCGAAGCAGCCCGGGGAGGTTGCGGCTGGCGCTAATCGCTGCGAGACAGTGCATGGGCTCTCCGAGGCGGGCCGCACAGCCCTCTCGAACTGTTGAGTACACAAAAGATGGAGGAGGGAATGGAGAAGAGGACGCAGATGTAGAAAGATAGAGAGGCAGAGCTGGGCCATACACAGGACCCACGGGGTGGCCAACGAGCAGGCAAAACGGAGGGGTGGGGCTGTAGCTAGCCATCCAACGCAAGAGCAGCAGCCCTGGCGGACGGTGTTCAAATCGTAAAAAGTTTTAGGGCGAGGCTAACAGTAATTTGCAGGATTCGAATAAGTCGGAGAAAATGTTAGGCGCGTTTTAGCATAGAGCCAATTATTAGAATTATAGCAATTTCAATTACGGGTTTTCAAAAACTAACCGGCTTCTCGATGGCACCTCCTCCAGCTTGAAAAATGGCCCATTAAAAGAACTCGTCGGCGGCTTCGGTGCTGGCTGCTGTGGCCTCGGCCCTTGCATCCGGTGCTTTTGCAAATTCTCTTGCATTATCCGCACCCGCTCCTCCTCCGGCAATTCTTGAAATGCCGATCCGGGCCTGGGTCGCTCCTAAAAAATGTCTTTCCATGTTCAGAGCATAGCCGTACCTCCATTCTTGGCTCATGTCCATTCTCAACCGGCATCCGCCTGGGCTGTTCGTGAGGCCAAAAACAGCAGCGCAATCTTGGATGTATGCAAATTTGTATACCTTCTGCATCTGACCTGGTGACCCTCGCGCATCTCCTCCTGATAGCTTCGGTGGGCTTCAAATGGGAATAGGACTGCTTCAAAATTCCTTTGGGTTCCCGGTTTGGCGGTGGGCTCATCAACCGTTCCGGGTATTCGTGGGTGGGGTCCGGCTTCTTCTGGGATTTGAAAATTGGCAGCCAAAACACATTGCCTGAAAATTTACCTCAGGAGCGTCAGTGCCAACGTTGACAGCAATTAAAGCTGGGGTAGAGGCCGATTTTCGTAGACGGACTTAATAAACATATTCTAAAGGCATAGTTAAGCCACATACTCGCTCTGGCGGCCGATCAGCCAGCTTCGACTCACTGGCAATCCGGTCGGTGCTACCGGGTGGGTAGAGGGTTTTCGGAGGGGATGGCGATCTAAAACTGGGGATTTAATTTTGGTATTCTTAATATGATCGCGTTTCTCTAATAAGCATCTTCTTGTGGACACCCGGCTTTAGCCCACCCAGCCTAGATCCCAACATCGATCCCCGGGGTCCAATGTCAATATCAGGGAATTCGCGCTTGCGCGCGAGTAAACAACCACAGCGGCTTGCAGGCAAAAGTTCAAAAGGAGGCCAATGAATGAGAAATATTTAGAAGATGCAGAACAAGAAAAGAGAGAAAGTCCAGATTTTGAGGTGATTACCTGTGTGATCGATCCGGCAGGGGGCTGATGGTCGGCTGGACCCGTGACACCACTCCCGATGGTTGCCACGAGGAGCGGCGTTCCTGTAAAAATAGAATATAAGGAATGAAGGTCTTGAAATAGATGATGACTATTTTATGGCGCAGACATTGATCTTCTAGCCGACTCAGCAGACTAAATTATCGAGCGATACTGACTGGAACTTCTAGATTCACAAAAGCTGGTGGGAGAGGCTCGAACAAAAGGCAGTTCGTGCTTTTAAAGGTTCGCAGCTCTCAAAGATAAAAATTAACGTAAAACCTGATTATCTAAACTGAAACTACTGAAAACCAGGAGAAAAGTTGCCGTAGCTCAAAGAATGAAAAAGCTAGCGAGAACCGTGTGGGCAAGGATGCAGAAATAACTTGTGGTATTCAAACCATAAGACACGAGAAATCCGAAGGAATAAAACGTTAAATATGAAAAACCGATCAAATAAAGCGCAGTACATTATCAGAATCTTCACTCCCTCTCGGCATTCTTCCGGCAACGACGGCAGGCTCGGAGTAGCCTGCAGCGGGCGTCCCCCTCAATCTCGCGGGCACCGCATTCTGTACTTGTTGCAAATATCGAGCCCTCAGCCGTCGAACAGAATGGCCAGGGTCATCAGACGAGTCCTGGATCCATGGACGGACCATCCGACCCCAATTATGGCGTTGTAAAGCCCAAAAGGGAGATCGAGAAGAGGTGTTTGTCGCGACTCGTGTTAGGGTGCTTAGGGGGAAGGGCGCTCCTCGAGGGCTCTCCGCCTGCCACCACCTCCCTCCCTCCTCCTTCTTTTTTGCCTTTTGCTCCTTCTTCAGCACTGTGGACTGTTGACCCACCCCGAAGGCCCTCCCCCTCCCCTTCCATCGACAAGAAGCCCTTCTTTTCAACGGCTTCTTCTTCTGCAGTGGGTTCTTTTTACGGGGGCTGTACCGTTCGGTCGGTTGCGAGTCATGCTCAATAAATAAGGATGCGTAGGTGGGGGGAGGATGGGAGGTATTTGTCAAAGATTAAGGATGACAGCATGGTATGCGTACTTTATAAAGCCAGGAGAGACAGTACTGAAGTTTAATCAAGGCTAGATGTCAAAAGATCGATCTAGATTAACGATGAGTCATTAAGTAAAATATTTTTAAAGATTGTCTATTAGCTTTCTTTGAGAGTATCATCATTATCAAAAGCCCGATTGGGGCGGAAGGTCAATAGAAAGTGAGTACACAGAAGTACGCCCAGAAGATCTGATGGGGGAGGTGATCAGGAATCAGTCGAGAACAAAGTATCGATTTTTCGATCCAAACAATTTCTAAAAATCAAGAGGATATAAAAGATCAAGAAATCTATGAGAAATGCAATTAGACATACAGACGTACGGAGAAAACAACTTTTTTAAGACTCACCGAATATTTGGTGAGGTGGAACTCCTTTCGCAACTGCCACTGCAACGGATCAGCCCCCGTCGGTCGTGCTGACTAAAAAAAGAGACGTAATTTTGTAAAAATAATAGGTTAAAGGTATCGTTTTATCGGAAAATCCGAATCGAAGGAGGAGAGGCCTGTTTGCGCACTTGTAAATGGTTAGGGAATGTCGCGTGTCAATAACGGGTAAACATCCTGGGGTGTCGGAATTCAGAATTTAGAGGAGGGTTGAAAAAAAGGCAAATACGTCATAAAAATGAAATTAATTGCTTAGATATAAATTTAACATAAAATTTAATCGAAGAGGCGTAAAATCGAGTTTTCTAAAGGTATAAAAACTGTGTGAAAAGGTAGTTGAGTGTTTTTTAGAGGTTTTCCTATGTAAAAAAACTGTAGAAAAAAGATGATCGGGTGGTATTTTGCCCTTAGAAGGTCTAGAAAAAAACGTAGAGTCACTATTTTGATGCTCAAGCTAAGGAAAACCCAGCACACCCAGAAAAACAGCAAAACAACCCGAAAAACCCAACTACAAGGGATTAACTTGTAAAGCCTAGGGAGAAGCTTCTTAGGCCACACTAGCCAGTCGGGTCTAACAGTTTGAATGGGTCGGCGTGTGTCTTCTCTGTGTGAGGGGGTGGCTGGTGGGAGTCGAAGGTGGAGGGCCTCAAAGTCTTGGCCACAGCAGTCCTCCCCCCTTGGCCACAGTCCTCCCTTTTCCACTAGGGCCCCAGAGAGAGACTTTCTCTTCTGTTTGGAGAGAAACCCGGGGGTCGCGCGTGACGAGGCCCATCCGCATTCCCCCGGCATGCAACCAGCGGCTCTTAATTAAAATGCGAGGATTTCAGGAGGATTTATGAGATTTGATTTTATATAATAATCGAAATAGAGAAAAATTAGCTTTTAAAGTGACTTGTAGACAAAAAAAACACCGAACGTGCACCTCAGTCTTTACATTACGTAATCAGTTACGACCCGTTTCCGTGGCGAAGCAGCCTTTGCGTTGCGTGTCGCGGTACGTAAAACTTGCATCGGAATCATGGCAGGCCAGATCCATAGCTATGCTTGCCTTGCCTGTCCCTTTAAAGGGGTGAGGAAGTCTCGGAAACGCGTGAATAATTTTTGAGCTACTTTGCGTTAGATACCTGGCTTCACCCCTTTCCACACGAAATAAAGGCAATCTAGCATAGGTTCTAACGGAATTTTGCCTATTTACGTTTTGTACGCTCGATATGTGTTTTTACAGCATTAAAAAACCCACCAAATCATGATTCTCCGGCTCCTGCCTCGGCGATGGCGCCCCGAGATCCTGCATCGATCGATGTTTCCGCACCGACTCCGACACTTCCTCCAAATACCTTAAAAGTTCTCGATTCGCTCAGCCACACCGCCTAGTCACCCTCCCCATGGCCCAATGCAACTTGGCCCTGTTTTTCGGTAAATTTCCTCAGCAAACAGTACGCACCGCCCACCGACCCGGGGGGCGCTAATCTCCTTTGGGCATGTACAAAGTAGGGGCAGGGGTAGGTTTAGCTTTTCGTGAAAAGGGCAGGGAAGGTTTGGGTGCGTCAAAAAGCCCTTTAGAAAAAATTGTACCTACCTTTGAGACCGCATTTTGACCAGCCATCCGGGGTCTCGATGAATTGATTGATCTGGCATTGGCTAAATTCGGAGCTTAAATTTAAAAAAGGCCGGGTCGCCTTACCGTAAAACTACGCTCAAACTCTTCTGGCGGTATCAACATTAATTCCTGCATTGATTGAGCTCTTATTGCTTTCTAAAACACACAAATTAGACGATATAATAAGGAAAAATCCATTACCATTCCAAAATTATTACCAACCTTGAAGTGTTAGTTGGAAGTATGGGGGTATCACCAGGGGTTTTTCGAGGGTAGAATCCCGGCACACACCAATCCATTGCAGGAACAAATTCCGGGGGAAATTCGGGGGGACAAACAACAAAACATAGAAGATGCCCAAAGGCACGAAGGGACAACATCAAGGAGTGCAGGGTGCAAAGTGACATATGCAAATTCGACAAACAACTTACTTTTTGCAGGGTAGCGATTCGCTAAATTGGATTAGAAAAATGTTATTTGATTTGTTGCATACCTCCTTAATACTGTCTAGCTCACGGAGGCTCTCGTCGTTCTTGGGCGGCTGAAAATTTGGGATGCAAAATCGGTAACTGGTCGTGATGATCGTGGTTGGATTTTTTAGTGATTTTGAGGCTAGCCGGCTACGATATGCAAATTTTGCGGAAGCAAGCATGCTTTCAAATCAACATAGAGAAAAGACGAAGGACAAAGTACGTTTTTTAAACAATTTTGGTGAATGATAGTCGATAGAACTTTTCTAAACAGATTTAATAGCTCAAAATTAAAAAAATTGCGTATTTACGAGGTTCAAAGCTCTTAAACGGAAAACCAGCTCAAAAAATTATGGAAATAACAGAATTTGGGCGAGTTTTATCGCTAACTCTAATTTTTTTGCAATGTTTTAACATAAAATTAGTGCGCACTCTGGGTCCGGGCCAATCCGGCTTGTCCCACGGTTGATTCGCGTCACCCTCCTTGGCACGTAGATACTCCTAAAGGGATTAGTTAGCAAACACGCCAGCCGATGTCAGCAAACCTGAAAAACAGATGGTCAAGGTATGCAAAATTAATTAAAAAAATCTTTTTGATGACCATCCACTTTTCAGACAAAATTTTGCAACGCAACGCGCCTTCAGCCGGCTAGCCTCCATATCACGGTGCCGTTGTACCGATTCGGTGAGGTAGGCAGCGGTGGTGATCGGGCGAGTGTCGACTGACTAAAAAAACAGAAAGTCGAGATTGAAGCAAATTTTCTAGCTGACTGGTACTATCCCTTTAAGCCTGAAATCCAAATACCAACGGCTCATTTAAATTCTAGGAGACATTTAGCCAAAAAAAGCGAAAACCCACAATCGTCAGACTGACTGTGAGCATTTTGCGCGCCCGAAAATCGCCAGCGCGCAGCAGCTGACCAGTTATTTTTGCGGGAACTAGCTGACAACTAGTAATAGTCGAGGCCTGGGAGCGCTGGTGACTGGCGGGCAGACCAGCTATTATTATGATAATTTTTGGGGGTGGAGGGAGACCGTTGAGTTTGGGACGCGGAATAGAACGTAGCGCAATTCAGGGGGTTATCATCAAAATTTATAAAATTTATTTTTAGCATTTTTGAAACAGTAAAAACTATAAAATTGAGTTTAGAATTTTACATCACAATTATAATTTCTTGTTTGAACTCGCCTTCAGCTTCCTGTGCTCCAGAGGGTCGACCTTGACGAAAGAGCGTTTCGTGTGTTCTGATGGAAAATCTCCAGCTTTCATTCTGCGAGGATCAGGTAGAGTGGTCGAATGAGCTGGCATATTGGCAGAAGAACGCACCTAAAATAATAAAAATAAAATTATTATAATTTATTTTACTTTCGGGTCAATGACAGTCAGCTTATAATGATCCTGCTGCTGCTTGACCTTGTAGTCGCCGTCGGCATTCGGGATGTGTCCCGAGTGGGGCAGGTCAATACGGCTGTCCTGAAACGCGGAAAATACACGTGGAGCTCGTTTTCTGGGGATTTCCGTGACTTCCAAAAATCCTACTGGTTTCTCCACACCCAGCTTGTAGTTGGGGGTGATCCCACGCAGCACGCCGCTCCGGGCCTCACCCTCCAGGGTGTTCGGTTTGTCATTCTAAAAAAGACGTCAAATTATGTGCTTTGAATAGCTTTTTTGTATATTTTCCTATATTATAGAGCATGGTTTAAAAATACCCACAAAAACTTTCATTTTCTGCAAGAAACTCTCGGAGAAACGGGACGGGCGCCCCACTTCAGCGGCCATAATTTATAGATTTACACCTGAAGCACTACAACAGATTCAAGGAGGGCAGTGAAAAGAAAAGTTTACAAAGAGAATTAAACTGTGCAAATTACGATACGCCCTCCCCCCCCCAGCCCCCAACAAAAACAGGAAAGCGAAAGTTGCGAGCCGCCATTCAAGCGTCGCCACACGCGCGAATCCCGCTCCGCTCCATTACTATAGCAAAAAGCGCGCCGATAGCCGGCCAGCCACGCCGTTGTATAAAATAGGAGCTACCGGATGGGTGCCAACAATCACGCCATAATTTTCCTATACAAAAACTAGCCTAAAAAGCTGAGTTTCCAAAATATCGGAAAATTTGGGGGTTTTTTTCGGGAAGGTAAAGCTGATTCAGATTGTTCACAAAAGATACTCAAAAAAGAAGCTTTTTTATATAAAGGAAGTGGAATTGCGGGGCTGCTAACCTAGAAAAACAAGTGGCCTATGGCGGGGAGACCGGCTCTTGCTCGATCCGTAGGGAAGTAAATAGCCGGACCGGGGAGGTCTATAAAAGTGGAGAAACTACGACGATCAAATGACGGAAGGAAAGAACGAGGGAATGTTTACGGGGATGGTTTGGTTTTTATCTGGCAGCTCGAATAGAACATCCATCTAACTAATCCCAAAAATACCTCCAAATCCGGCATCAACCTAGGTTTATGTAAGGTCAACGGATTGGGGTGGGGCTGAATAGCGACCCGGGTGATAGATTGTCGCTTCAAGGCCATTCCAACTGTTTCAAATGGCAAAAAGGCTGTAAGGGAGGGTGGTTATGGAATTGAGAGGGATGGTGAATAGAAGATCCCGGGGCTAACGGATGGCAGCCAAGCGTGGGGGAGATCCCGGCAAACGATAGGAAAATGGTGCCTCGCGGCGATGAATGTTTCGCTGCTTTTCATGCTTTTTTCAGAAAGATTGAGAAAGTGAATGGTTCCAAGATGTCAGAAATAGGGGAGATTTTTAGAATATAAAATAGCGTTCGAGGTATAGAAAGGACGCGAGAGAGAGAGAAAGAAAAAAAGAGAGGCGATAGAGAGAAAGAGAGCGATAGATGGCTACATAAAGATGTAGAGATCCGCCTCTCGTTTTTTAGGCTTTAGAAGCTTTTAAGGGACGTTCAGTTAAGCCAGATATATTTCTGGATTTTAGGGTCGTAAATTCTAGACTTCCAAGCTTGTTAAAAGTTTTTGATGCTAAAAAATCGCAAAGCAGGTTTTTTGGGTTTTTGGCGCCCAGTTTCCGAAGTTTTCGCTGACTAGACGTTCTTAATGCGTCTTTTTTTCTCCTTTCCCTCCTCACTATCATCCCGAAGACTCATCCTGATATCTTCACAACCCCCTTAAGGTCATCCTCCTTTTCATTCTCTCCTGCTCCATTCCAAGCCCTTACCCAAATCGATCCTCCGAACGAATTGTGGGCCTTTTGTCAGATTCTACGAGCAGGGGCGGCTTGAATGATTGGCAGCCACGATTTCAGGGCGTGTGTGTGGGTGGTGTGTATGGGAGGTGGGGGGATGACCTTGTGAAGGGTGTGGCTTCTCCCGAGAGCCACCACCCCACCATCTCTCCAGATTTTTCGTGCTCAACTACCCGGCAGGGTGGGGGGCTACTGAAACGCGTGCACGATGGAAAACAGCTACATTTGGAGAGAATTTTTGGGTATATTCAGGGAATTCGCATCTGCTATACATTCTGGGTAAAGGTTTGAGTGGATCGGGTTGGAACGGAACCGGACCGGTCCAGGGCAACGCCTTGATGGATCGCTCTCGGCCGAGGAATCCCACAAAAAATGGGGGAGTTTTTGGAGGGGTATAGCCGGATATCGCTATATTTTCAAGTTTTCGGGAGCAGGAAAGGCTGAAGCGTCAGAAAATTGAGAAGGAGAAATATGAGGTAATAAGTAAATTTTTGATTGAAATTAAGCTTCTGGATAATAAAAAATAAGTAATTTTTGATATTTTTGTAAAGTAAAAGCTCCATAATTGCTTAAAGTACCCACCGGGCCCGGAGGATGACCTTCAACGGTCTTCTCGGCCGGTGTGCTCCATTGCTTCACTGAAGTGGCTGTCTCGATCCGAGTAGTCATCGTCGACCACACGCGTGGGCTTTCCTAAAAAAAATAAAAAAATAATTAAGTAGTTTAATCTAAAAAAGGATTGTCAAGGTGGTAAAATGCGCCAAAAATTACGGTTCCTACCTTCACATTATCAAGTTCAAAAATAAAAAAGAAACTCTCAATTTCAAATTCGAAAAGCGCAAAATTCGATTAGAATCCAAAATTATTGTTTTATCGAAAAAGATATATAAAATTTGGAGATTGGCTAGTAGAGTAGTAAAGTTACAATTCCGAGTTTGTGAAAACCGGGAAATGGAAGAATATTAGGGTCCGAGAGCTCTATTAAACCTATTAAAATAATTAAGCCGCTGCATTATCTATAAAAACAATCTGATAACCCGAAAAAAATAGGTGGACGGATAGGTGGTGCTTTTCATAGAGAAGAAGAGTCAGACTTTTGGGTTGTGGGTGGGGGGGTGTGGGCGGCATCCCTTCCTTTTCCTTCATTCCTTCTTTTCCATTCGGAGCACTGACTGCGGTGGAAGGTTGCTGAGGGGAGAAAGAGAGAAAAGGAGAAGGAGGGGGACTGTGGTCGTCGTAAATAACGTGGAATGATAATCAATGATTCGGAGATGCCCACTTCGAAAGAAGGGTGGGGGGGGCGATGCTCCACTCGGGTAAGAAGGGAGACTGAGGTCTCTCATTCTCCTTTGGAAAGAGGAGGCACATAGTAATATTGAGAAGGAGGTGGAAATAGTCGATCACCAAATTTGGAGGGGGAGATTTTGCAAAAAAGAGGTTGATGCGCCGGCGATTTGTTTGTTCTTTGTGAAACGGATCCTTTTGGAATTTGAGCTAGTTTTCGAGAGATTTGAACAAGAGCAAGAGTTGTGAGTTTTTGCAGGGATTTAAAGGGAAGGTGCCACCAGATGAATGCGCTTATAATCATGTCGTTTTAAGCATGAACTAAGGCATGCTTGGCTTTTTAAAGGGAGCAGGAACTCAGAATTTGAATGCAAATTTTTGGCAAATTTCCGCACCAAATTAGAGCGTTGCTAGCGCTAATTTGATTTTAACGAAATTAGAATATTTAGAAAGCACTAAAAATTACAAAAATAAAGGGCTATAGAGTTTAATAAATTCCCTAAATAACACTGTATCCTAACACCAGGCAAAATCCAAAGAATACAACACCTCGAAAAACATCAACGCATGTCAATAGAACAGGGTCAACCAAAGGCCGATCCCCGCCGTGAGCATGAGATGTGAATGAGTGAATGGCGTGTGTCAGGATCAAGAGAGCCCCCCTCCTCTTGCTCGAGGTCTATGTGAAGGGGGATCTATTTTGTTGATAAAACTAGATTTCGAGCGCCCACTTGCCGCGCCCCGAGGCGAGCCCAGCGCCGCCAAAAAACGGCTATGGGCGCGCCCGGCTTTCGGTTGGTGGGGAGGAACCAGAAATTGGAAATTGGGGGGAAAGTCATTGGAGTCTCGTGAAAGTGTCACTCCCGGTCTTGGATAGAAAACGGGTGGAAAGGGGGGAGGAGACTTTTTTTTTTGGGGAAATCGCGGGATTGTGGCTTGATTAGCTAGAAAATCGGCTTGGGACTTGGATCCATAAAAAATAGGCATGCAACTTTCCGTCCAATGTCCAATGTCCCGCCCCTAGAGCCTCTAAGAAGCCTTTTTGGATCGATAAAAACGACATTAGGTGTGTAATGGACCGGAATCGATTGCAGAAACATCATTTTTGTAAAAAAAACATGTTTTTCGCTATTAACATTAGATTTTTGTGAAAATCTGTGGTAAGATGTAATTAGCAAGCCGGAAATGGGGGCATAAGCGCTTTTCAAAATAAGATTTCAGGAGGAACTATACAAAGTCAAGGTCATCATGAAACTAGAGGGGGGTTTGAGATAGTAAAAAACGCCGCGAAGCGGTTTTTTAATCCTGCTACATGGTAAAATATTCATTAATATCGAGAAGAAGAAGAATAGGCTGTATTCTTTGTTCAAAAAAACCAACCTGTCCCTCAGCAGCTGTCGGTGGTGGTGGCGGTGGTTCAGTTGGTGGAGGCACTGGTATAACCGGCCTGAGGAAGACGGTGGCCGTCGCCGTGTGCAGACGGGCCTCGCCTTCCGATTTTTCCTCTAAAAACGGAAAATAGCGATCGCTAATGGCATTGGCAGCAAAACGGAAATATTCTAGAACCGCTAGTACAACCCTCGAAACATGAATCTGGATTGTTAGTCATCAGCCCCCCTCGATTTCCGCGCGCCACCCCTCCTAGTGCTGCGCTGACTAACATTCAATTTGCTGGCAGCATGCTCTGAGAGGTGCCAAATTCCTTTTGCAAATAATCGCGACCGAGGAGGACGGGGGGGCTGTAGAAAGAATGGGACGAATGGGGCGATGGTGATTTTGGAAGGCGGAGGAATGTTTGGTACCACTACGAAATTTGCGGGAGTATGGGTTTAGGGCCAGAAAATGAGGGTTTTTCCAGGCTTAAAACTTATTATTTTTTAAATTTAAGCTCAAACTACAACAAAATATCGAAATACCGAAAATGCTGTTTTTGTTCTTGCTGTAATTTTTTAAAAAAATGACGTTTTTATCGGAAAATAGAGCCATCAAAATGTTTTGCGATAGAAAAATATTTATATCGCGTTAAAAATACTGTAAATAATAAAATATATAATCTTGCTAGAGGATGGGCTATGTGCTTACTGTAAAGAATCCGATCGGCAAAATTCCAAAATCCCAAAGCTGCAAACTACAGACACACCCAAATTCCATTCCTAGGCGTGGGAATTTCCCATTTTCTAAGGTCAACATCGTTGTCCCTGACCTATGTCTACCTTTTCACCTCTTCCTCAACCTCCACCTCCCCCACCCTCATTCAAATTCCAAGACCTGCCATAATTACACGAGACTACCCTTCCCCCAGATCCTCCTCCCCCCACATATTCTTCCAAGGTATCCATGTCCATCCATTCAGTTTTGCATCTCGACCGTCTCGACTCTCGAACCTAGGTCTCGAGAGCCACACCCTTCCTGTCCCCCTCCCCCTCCTCCTCTTCCTCCCTTTCCGGGGAGCGTCATGTGTCTCGCCCGGCCGCGGAATTTCAACGCCTCATCGGCCGGCCGCTACTCCTTTTCTAAAAGGCGCGCTCACCACACACACGCGCGCCAACCATCAACAATGCGCGAGCCGAGAGCACCCGGGCAAAACGGACCCAAAATCGGTCGGTAGGGAAGGGGGGGTTGATAGTGTGGCTCGGAAGGGAGTAGAAAGGTGGATAATGGGTGGTTTTTCACGGGTTAGGGTATGAAAAAAATTAGGGAGTATTGTGGAATTAAGGAATCTCGAAAAACGAAAAAATTTCGGAGCGTAAAAAACAGATATCAATTTAGCTTACGTAATTCGCATAGGAAAAGCGGCCAAAATTAATTTAATTTCCAAAAAAAGAAAACTAGGAACAACGAAGGCTTCCAATTAGCATAAATTTGAGAAAAATCCAATAAATAGATTTAGCATAGGTATTTTGCATAATTTCGTTTTAAAATTGGCAAACGAAGTTGTTATTGGGTCAGCGACATGCAAGATTCAAATTTTCAAATGCCAACCGCAAGAATTAGCATAAAACAACATATTTCAGGATTTCCGGCACCTCCCAACTTTAAAAATTACAATCTAGACGCGAAAATCATCCTCGAAAAATTCGGAATCCATTCAAAAAGTGTGATCTCGGGCGGAGGGCATCAGGGGTTGGGGTGTTGCCAGCCATGAGCACACGGACACAAAGACATGCGCCAACTCGACAAACATTGCATAAAAGGTGCCCCCCTCCACCCCGTTCCGGCACGCGTCCCCCCTCCCCTCCACGCCACACCTAAAAACGATCGGCCATTGATTCTGAAGGGGTGGGAGGATGGTATTGATCGATTCAGGGGGAAATTTGGGATGTAAATTTGAAGGGGGTGGACGTTTGGGGAGAAATTTGCATACGAGGGGCTTTAAAGGGATGCGTAAAGCAGGGCCCCAAATTGTCTACAGTACGACACGCAACTGCAGAACGCTTCTACGCCTTAAAGAGGACTTAATCCAGTGACCCAATCAATCCACCCCTATTCCATGACGTAATCAGTTCGAATCTATCCCCCGGTCAGTCGGCTATATAATAAAAGCGTCCCTTCCCCTCTACCTCCCCTCGTAGATCGCATCTCCGACCGCCCAATTTGTACAATCTAATAGCGGGAGGGAGGTCGAGGTTTGTCAACACGTCAGAATTTGAGTGTGACCCAGTGACAGATCGGTTTTGAGATGGTATAAAAAGGGACTCTGGATTTGCATATTAATTGAAAAATCTCGGGAAAGCTACAGTAAAAATCGAACCGAGAGGTAATAAGGGATTTTCAGATTCAAATAGCTTAGAATAGCTTAAAAATATAAATTTTAGTTATCAACGGATTTGAGCTAAAATCTATGGGGTTCTTGGCTTCTTGGGTCCTTTAAAGCCGAGAGATAGCGATTATAGCGATTATAGCGTTACAAAACGATATAAAGTAATTATAAATGGCAATTTTTGTCAACGCTGGGCTTATATTTATGAAAACATAACCTTGGACGCTCTATTAGCTCGAAGCTTCCTTTAAGGTTACAGTATACTGCCTAAATTACCGATAAAGTTTCTAAAAGTTCTTTACCAATAATTTTTTTTCTAGAAAAATAAAATTTAGAACAATTTCGAAAATAAGCATATTATTATAGAAAATCAACAATCAATGGTGTCATCTTGGCTTCAGCGGCCCTTAAAAAACCTGGAAACGAAGCTGCAGTTTACAAAAAGCTATATAAAACCAAATTATCAGATTTCACACAATACTCCTAACCTTGTTAATCAATCAAAACGCTGATAGGGACCAGAGACAGCAAATGGTACAACGTTGGTAGATCGGGGGAATGCAGATTGAGATTGTGCCGTGCTGGGTGCTGTTCGCCCGCCTAGGGTCGCGTGTGTTCAAGGATTCTCTACCACCACCCCCGCATGAAGGAATACGATAAATGCAGAGGGAATATAGAGCACAAGAAATGAGCAAGACCACCACCTTCGACTGCTGCCCCCCTACGCGCGCGATTATGCCCTACCACCCCGCGCGCGCCGGCCGCGCCTTACCACCGACCAAAATTGCGACCTCGATCCCCCCCTGCGGTCACAACACATTGCGTATTGAGTCATCATGGTTTTTGGCGATATTATGCAAATTTTACCCAATTTTTCGTGTCCGAAGATTAATAGCAGGATTTTTAGAATGCATTATGCTAATTTGCAAATTTTTGTTTATTAGGATTTTCCATATGCAAATTAAGTCGATTTTTGAATGTTAAAATTAAGAAATCTGATTTCCACGCACTCATTATGCAAATTTCACACTTTTTTGGATCTTAAGATTTGATGATGCTAATTTTACCAGTTTTTAGTAAATGCATAAGAGCCCAACTTTCAACCTTATGCTAATTTAGTTCGATTTCTGATTGCTGATTTTACGCAAATGTGGTCCTAATTAAATTTTTAGATTAAGAACTCACCTTCTTTCTCTTCGGAGCTCATTGCGACATGTAAATTAGGTGAAGATGGTGACCTGAAAATCAAGTGTAATGTGTAATGACTGTAAAAAAAGACAGAAATGGAATTGGAAGCTGAAGCCGAAAAATTGAGAGCCGCAAGTGTTTTCAGCGGCGAATTTGCGCAATACAAACAATCAACAACGGAAATGGCGGGCAGGGGATGGATATAATAGAATAGAAAGGGAGAGAAAGGATGAAAAACATAGCATAAAATAGTGTAAAATCGTAGAAAGCTAAATTAGGCAAAATATTAAGGTTTAATTGGCATACAGCGTACCTACAAGGTCTAAATTATGTAAAAAATTGATAAACAAAATATATTAGGCGTATTACACCCACAACCCCATCAATATTCGTAAGGAACTGTTGCCGACAGCCACTAAATGCTGACGACGCCGTCAACCACGCCCCGGCCAGTGAGTAATGTGCAAGGAGCGTGGCAATAGCCTATTCAATAGGTTCGTCCCCCACCTTGCGGGTTGGGTTTCAAGGCGATGCACAACTCAACACAGTTCACAACCCTCCTCGTAACCTTTTGGACTGTAGAGGAGAGCCCGAGAAGACGAAGAAGAAGAAGAAGAAGACAGCTGAGAAATTTGCATGTCTTTGTGTCGAGTCTCAACCTCGCTGACCCATCCCCCGGCTCGTCCTCGAAAAACGAGAAAAAGGGGAACGAAACACTTACACACCCCCTAAAGGGGGAGGGTGGACCGGTACATTCGTGAACGGCTCTTAGGAGGTGTTTTTAGGGGATCGGGAAGTGGAGGGACTAGAGGGTAGTAGGTATTTTTGCGGAATCTAAGTTGAAAAGTTGAATGATAAAAATATCGATGGACTCAAATTTCGAATAATTAGAACAATTAGAATAAACAGGAAGTAATAAACAACGACGAGAAACATAGTAAAAATCAGAGTCTCAATCATCAGAATTTTGAAAAATCTGCAATTTTCAAATCATCGCGGATCGAAATTTCGTATTACAAACCTCGGAGTGATCGGGATTATAGCGTGATGATGCTAATTTCTACACTTAAGCCACCCTCCCAGATACCCAACGATCAACAATCATCCCTGAAAATTGATCCAACCTCTATAGCGCACTATCGAAAAATTGGCCAAGCCAAACGGGGGGAGAGTGACGGATACTTTAGGAGAGTTTGCAAACAGCCGACCGCCGCATAAGGGTGCAACGTGGAGAGGGGATAAAGCCTCGCCCCCAGGGGTGGGACAGAGCAATTACAGAGTAAAGAATGGTCCTTGTGAACTTTTTCGCACAGATCCGTCCGGTTTTACACGAGCGTAAATGGCAGTAGTAAGTTTTTTTGAGGGGGAAGAAGCTTGGGCTTAAGCTTGAATTTTGGAGCTGTAGAGAGGGTCTAAAGAGATGGTGACAGCAGATTTCAGGGAAGAAAGGTTGCATAACTTGACTTAAAAAACTTGTGGTTAATTTTTTGGGATGGGCTGATGAAGCCTGGACTTAAGCTTAAACTCCGAAGCTTCTGAAGTACTTTAAAGGGATGGTGGGCTTTGTCAAAAATACAGAATTAGCTACTGTTTTGGGAAATATCAGAACCTAGGCTTCAGCTTAAGCTGTGCAACTTCCGGAATCTTTTAAAGGGACAGTGACAGCAAACTTTCAGCAAGTAACGAGCCTAGAACGCGAAGAAAAATTAAGAAAACCCCTGGATTCCGGCCAAACAACCATTTTGACACCCAACAGATTAGCGGGTGCCAAAGTAGTGGGCAAAAATGAGGTGGTAAAGTTTAGCGGGGGGCAGGCGACTGTTGGAGGGTTGGAGGTTGCGTCGCGGGACATGGCGTCGTGCCTAAGCGAGCCGGTTGGGGCCTGATCGGGCCGACACCGGGCCCTGATCCCCGCTGCAAATACGGGGGCCTCTACCCATGCCTCCAAGCACTCGCTTTCTCTCTCCTTTTTGCGTCTCTCTTTCTCGCGCCCTCGCGCCTCTACCTCCATCAGCGCATCATCAGGCGCACTAAGGGGGTCGAGGCAAGAATTTAGCTAGGTGATAATTTTTATAATTTATTATTAACTATACATAGTCGGTAAGCACCGTTACATGCCAGACATCAAGACAATTATGCTAATTTTTAATGCTTATTTCCACAGCCGCGACAAAAACAATCCGCCTTCTGACGTGCCTTCCCGCATTGACCGCAGAATTTCTAAATTACAAATTTAAATTCTTTAAGATAGGTGTACCCCATCAGGCACGACGGCCTCTTCTTCAGATTCAGAATCAACCAACTGACGTCGAATTCTTCTAATTTTTCGAACTCTAAGATAATCGATTATTACCCTTCCACATACCCTTACGTTCTTGTCTCCGGACTTGAATCCGGTTCTTCCGGTTTTACAGGAACTCCAACCGGAGTATCGACAGCTTCAACACCCTTTCCACTTTTATGGTATCCAAATATCTAAGCTTTTCGATCGATTTCGTTAGTATGAAAGTGCCTTACATCAACCCGCTTGAGCCCAACCCTCTTATCAATGTTTGAAACGTCTTCCTCCGCAGAGTGATCTAATTTTAGGAGAATCCATCTAAGGATAATTAGGCAAGAAAGCATGAGAAACTACCTCATTTCTTTGTCGCAATAAATTGGATAAGCATTTTCAAAATCTTTTAAGTTTCGATCAACAGAACTTTTGATTTTTCCTAAAAATGGAAACAATGCGCTAGAAACCCAAAAACTTACCGATTACAGCATAACTTGCCGCATTTTTCTCGCGATGTTTAGAGCCAAGGACAGTTATTGTGGATGCTAAAGAACTTTTAAAGATTGTCAGGCGTTTTCTTACGCATATATTTAGAATGGGGTGTAACAACAATTTTTCTGACTCGATATCCGCTGCCGATATCAAAAATCAGTTCACTATCTGCAGCATTACTAAAAATCACGCCACGATTTGGTCCTATGCAAATTACCTTTTACTTGCCCATCCCACCCCCTCCGGCCCAAGTTTCTCCTCCAAAAAATCAGCTGAATCCATTGCAGACGTAACGAATACGCATTTACATTTTAACTTTTGGAAAAATTTAGGTGGATCAGCTACGCTCCTCATTTTGCTTCGAATATTATTTATCCGATTACACGTACAGTCGCAGAATACAGTGATCGAGATCTTTCAGAAAAATTTAGAGAATTTTTAGATAGGAAAAGAATCGAATAATGAAGAGTAGTGAAGAAAAAGGTTAGGGATATCACAAGAACGCAGAAATATTGTTCGAACAGAATATTTGAAAATGTCGGGCTGTTGGGTGTGAATGGTGAGACTCAAGAATCCGACTGAACCTAGCAACGGCTTTTGGAAGATGGAGGAATGGAAAATCAGCAAAAAATCAACGTTGCCTCTATTTGCAACAACAGCATTTGAACACGATCATGATGATGTGGAGAACAAAGATGATGATAGAGGTGTAGAATAGAGGTTTTGGGCAGAAAAACGGGTCTTGGGAATTGTCGTAAGAGACGCTGCTCAGCATTGAGATTGCCTTATAAAAGCCTGAAATGATGTTTTGGGGTGTGGCTATATTTTTAATAGCTAAAATTGGCATATTCTAGCTTGAAAAGTTTTTTTAAACCTTTAAAACCTACCAACAATCCCAACTCCAAGTGATACCAACGCGACAATCAAATATATCAGCGCCACCACCAACCCGACCACAATTTGTAGCGCGTCTTTTACGCCCTAGATTTTACATCTTATTATCTTTTCTATTATTTTTTACAAAATACGTTTTGTATGATGTATCACACTAAATAACTCGTGTATTACTTTCCATAATTCAAATCCCTACCTTTGAAACGGCAATCGAAGTCTGCATACAAGTCACAAAAAATGCCGTCGCCAACACGATTTGTAAAACGCCTAAAACATATCAAATAAAGTTAAATCCCATATTTATAATTACCATAAGCGAATAATATCTGTGTCAATTGCCGCCCAAGCTCAGCCTCATTCGGCAAATCATTCCAATATAATAGTGACATCCCAACTGACGCGATCCCCGCGGCCCCGGAGACTAGCGATAAAACGGCTTGTCGGGGTTTCACTAAAAAGGCATACAAAATGAAGGTTTCTATCACTTACTCATTTGCTCCAATATCTTCACAAAGTCATTGACCATATCCTCTTGCGTACGTTTCTTACGCTCGAGACGTCTCCTAAATCGACTTCTCGGATCAATAGGACGGAAAAACCTTTCTTCATCATCTTCCTCGACGACGACGGCAATCTGTTTGACGGAAACCTCATCTTCTTTGCCCTAAGATTGATACTGTAACATGGGAATTCAGATGTTTTAGTATCTACTATAGCTGGATTACCGACAGAACAGGCTTATGAAATTAACGTTACCTTGAAAAGATTAAAATTATCTTTTCGGCTCATCCCAGTTGCTTTCAAGATCTTGAAAAATGAATTTTTAAAGCTTTAAACTCGACAAGAAATATAGGAAAGGACAGGGAAAGAAAAGAATAAAAATAGAAACACACTCTTCTTGTCCGTTTTGTGGATGATTGTGGAGTGAATATCGTAAAAGCTCGGAATCTTGGCTCGAGACCGCCCTGGCTGGCAAACCATTTTGAGAAGCAATTCATCTAGTTCATTCGGGGGATCCAAAATGTCTAATACCTTTAGAATCCCTTCAGAATCTCCCTCCAAACTTCGAATGAAGAGCGTAACACGATCCCCAATAAAACAGGGCCGCCCTACAAATCTCCATAACCCCCCTGCCCAACCCCCCACGCATTCAACGGAAAACCCTGGCCAGACATTTTACAGAAAAAGCAATGGGTCAGCTGCCAAAAATAAGCAGAACTTTGAGCAACACTGGCTGTTTAAGGGAGCCGCCGTTTTAAGGGAGTCGCAGCCCCAAAAGCGTGCGAATTTTAAGATTTGAAAGATTAGGAGAAGCGGCAACCAATGAGCAAATATCGCAAAAAAAACGAGCTTGAAAGCCTCACCTCCTTGGGGTCCTTACAATCCTTGCAGTCGTCGGGTCTTTTCTTTCGCTTATCACCGCCAACTTTGTACATCTTCGAGTCTGGAAAGCGGTAGCTATGTTTAAAGCGACTTTTAAGCGATATTTTAAAGCCTTACCGCAGCTGTAGTACCTATATTTTGGCTTCTATTTTAAACGGCAAAGCTGTTTGCTAACTAGCTAGCCCCTAAGATAGCTTACATTGCCGTGGATGCGATTGTAGCGTTCTGGTCATCATTTTGGACGTGTAAGGTGTGAAAATGCGGAAATGATGGGTCTGAAGGCAACGATCCAAGGGGGGAAGGCTTCTACGGTAATCGGATACGGGAAAGTGTCTCTTCAACAACACTATCGCCACACCAGGGTAACAATCAAAAAAAGAGCCCGAGACTCCATTTCCGTCTCCCAGGCCAACTATAGGAGGAAAAACTATTAGAATGGCTTCAGGAGGGCTGAATTCGAAACGAACGAATGTCTTTTTTTTTGCCCTCTTGACTTATTCAAGTAATGAAAAACAGGGAACTAGCGGGCTCGGTTTCCAGAGACTCCCACGTTCGTCAAAACGGAGAACAACCGGAAGGGCTCGAAGGTCTTCGAGTATTTGAGCATGGTTGGAAGGCCACTAAGCCTAGCCAGCTTTTTCGGAGTTTGGTTTTGCCTGAAAGCGGCACACCCCAACGACCATTGAAAGGGATTACCGACACGAAAATATTGCTGTCTTGCTTGTGCTTTGCAGCCCCCGGGCTTGGTGGCATTAAATCAAGGGGATTTTCTCGATTTCTTGAGGAAGCAAAGATTTTAAGGCGTTTTAAAGGGTTGAGCAGGTGAAGAATACGCATGAAGGCTCGAAAAATTACCGGGGATCATCTTCTCGCGCTCCTTCATCCTGGCCAGTGAGAATATAATGTTGAAGTAGTGTTTGACGGTGGCCCAAGGCCCCCGGTGGTTAATATATAACCTTGAAAAGAAGATGCAGATTGAAATCACACAAAAAAAATCAAAAGCTAGCTTAAACTAAGTAATCTTAGTTGGTTGATTTCGGCCGAATTTGAATATAGCCCTCAGAAAAACGCAGAAGCTATGAAAATCTGGCTTAGAAAAATTATCTGAATTTTTGAAATGCCCAAAATCAGAGTTTTGTATTCTACTTAACCCAAAATTTGGACCCAAAAGCTCAGATCGAAGTAGCGATCGACGGATAGTAATGGATAGCTTAAAAACTTATTTCAAGTTCTAGGACGCTCAAAACCAAAACCTCTATCCGACATCAATAGCTTCCCCAACCCAAAAAAACACATAAAAAACGCTCTCCCCACATGGGATATAAAGGACCAAGCATCGCAACCCATCCCAGAACCCTCATTTGCCATTCAATTATCACGCTATTGCCGGCTTTTCCCCCTACCCCGAGCAAACGGCACCCCAAAAAACAATTCCATCCTTTTATCCAACACCTCGGTAAACCCACAGTAAACGCAATTAGAAACGCCCCCAATCAAGTTTTGAAATAGATTGGAGGCACGCGGGTGCGAATTCGGCCCTTGAGTCAGGGTGAAAGAATTTTTAATTAGCGCCCCAGGCATTGGATGTGAATTTTTTAGGTGGGAAAGATGGGAGGGATTCCGGCTATGAATAAAGAATCTGTAAGGCAGATTGAGAAATCGAGGAATTTAAAGTGAAAGCTAGGGGGTAGGGGGATAGTTTTAGAATCATCTGGCCGCATGGGGGGATTTTATGGTGTCGCCGCGTGGATGGCCGGGGCATCTGGGTGGAATGCACTCCACAAAACACACGCTAATTGGCGGGTGAGGTGAGTAAGCTGCGGGGTTATACTGTATTTGCGTAGTAGAATTCAGGGACTTAAGACATCTTTTTAAAGTTTATAAAAAATCTGTTAAAGCCGTCGAATCTGCGATTAAAACGAGAGAGAAAATGGGATCTGCAATTAGCATTAGACTTAGGCATAGGAGTAGGCTTAGGCTTGGGCTTTGGCTTAGGCTTAGGCTTAGGCTTAGGCTTAGGCTTAGGCCAAGGCTTTGGCTTAGGTTAGGCTTAGGCATAGGAGTAGGCTTAGGCTTGGGCTTTGGCTTAGGCTTTGGCTTAGGTTAGGCTTAGGCTTAGGCTTAGGCTTAGGCTTAGGCCAAGGCTTTGGCTTAGGTTAGGCTTAGGCTTAGGCTTAGGCTTAGGCTTAGGCTTAGGCCAAGGCTTTGGCTTAGGTTAGGCTTAGGCATAGGAGTAGGCTTAGGCTTGGGCTTTGGCTTAGGCTTTGGCTTAGGTTAGGCTTAGGCTTAGGCTTAGGCTTAGGCTTAGGCTTAGGCTTAGGCCAAGGCTTTGGCTTAGGTTAGGCTTAGGCATAGGAGTAGGCTTAGGCTTGGGCTTTGGCTTAGGCTTTGGCTTAGGTTAGGCTTAGGCTTAGGCTTAGGCTTAGGCTTAGGTTAGGCTTAGGCTTAGGCTTAGGCTTAGGCTTAGGCCAAGGCTTTGGCTTAGGTTAGGCTTAGGCATAGGAGTAGGCTTAGGCTTGGGCTTTGGCTTAGGCTTTGGCTTAGGTTAGGCTTAGGCTTAGGCTTAGGCTTAGGCTTAGGCCAAGGCTTTGGCTTAGGTTAGGCTTAGGCTTAGGCTTAGGCGCAGGCTTAGGCTTAGGCTCAGGCTTGGGCTTAACCTAGGCTTACAATTAGGTATCCGAATACGCCGAGGCCTGATTCAGCCTTCTGCCAATTAAAACGAAGACTAAATTTTCAAACTGTTGAACGAGCAAATAAATGTTAGAATGCGAAATTTACATAACATTCAATAAGTATAAATATTTGAAGAGCACTACTTCCTGAACGGTCACACCTCAAAAATCCAATCCCCCAAAAAACCCCAAAAACCCACCTGTCCTGTCCATTTCTGGGGGCAATTTCGCATATTTCCCGGTCACATTTCCTGATCAAAAGCCTCGCAGGTATATGGCCGTCCAACCTCAGGCTTAAAGCCCTCCTCCTTCTTCCTCCCCCCGGTATCTGCCCAGGCATAACGGGCCGTAAAGAGGCCAACAAACGGGGGGTGCTTGCGTATAATTGACGGCCAAAAACAATGGGCAGCCCTTCGAGACCCGGGGGCTCCCCATTCAAACCATCCCTTTCCGCTTTAGCCGACCTCCCCGATTTTTCCATCACCCCCTCAAAATAAAGCGCTTCACCTCGTCGGGTGGCTTGGTTGGGGGCTAAGAGGTTCCGCATTGCTCCTTTCAACGGGAGAGAGGGGGACTCCCGGTTAGTATGTCTACTCTACTGCCCCGGTGTTCGACCGAGAGGGCGAATTCGTTTTGTGCTCAAAACTGAAGCTCATAAAATATACCTTAACCGCGCGATTCGCAAAAAAGTTTCGTAAGTAAAAAAATGTGTCTCTAAAGTTTGGGAATTCAAATACAAAGAATTCGTTCAGAAGGCGTTAAGCGCGGGTCCAAGAAATAGCGGCTTCCGGTATTGGTCTTTTTTTGCATCTAAAGGCTTCATTGCTTCTTAAATTAGCCCGTTGCAAGAATTCTGCATCCAGATTCAAAATCAGCGCAAAATTCCGCACAATACAAAATTCGTCCGGTGTCAATTTCAGTGCCAAAATTACCTGAACTGCACGCTTCGCATCACTCGCAAAAAGCCAAGTCCAGAAAAATTGCGTCGACGTCCTGGATGTTCCCACAAAAACGAAGAACAGCCGGGAGGGCACAGATGATGGAATGGAGTGTTCCGGCCGGCTGACGCGACTTTTCCGACTTAGACCCCCGACAATTCGCCGGGTCTCTTTTGCATCTGGGTGGGCCCCCTCCCTTTTTGGTGGTCGGTTGTCTGTTGGGGGGCCCAAACGGTGGTGGTGTCCCCCCTGGGATGCCATCAAAGGGTCGACAAATCTCTTTCACATAACCCTCCAGTCAAGAAGAAGGGGAGCATCTTCTGCTCTTTCTTCTTCTGCTTCAATGTCGCACAACACTGCATTCTTTGTCGCAGGAATTAAGGGATCTAGTGGTTCTTTTCTTAGTACTACACACTTAAAAACCCTAGGGAATATGTGACATTTTTCAAGCTATTTTAAACACACTAAAGTCATGTCCAAACCATCAAAAACTACACTCATCTGGCTACTACCCCCACCTGGCGTTCCAATTCACATTTGTGAAGCCGTGCAGCGGGCTAGCGAGGGCAAACGGCTTCTTTGAAACATGAAATGGCCAAGAAGCGGTCGAAGAAGGGTCATTATGAATGGCCCGCCGTCAACCTCGTCCTCCTCCTCCTCCGCCTCCCACCCACAGGGCCTCAACCATCACTTTTTATAGCTGGAGTTCGACCAGGGCGGTGACGAGCAAGACAAGAGGTCAGAGACAAAGGGATGTTAAAAGTTTTTTTAGTTAACTGATATTTTATGAAATTCTAAAGAGCACGATTTAATCAGCAAAAAATTTTTACATAAAACTGTTTTGGAACCTCAAAAACCGCTTCTTGTTAGAGTTAAAATCTGGTATCTAGAAGTCAAGGCTTCTTCCTCGTCCAAATCTTCTTCCTCAACCCCCCCCCCGCCCATTAGGAAACTCCGAAAAACAAACCCAAGTAGAAATCCTTGACATACATCGCTCGCGATGGGGACCCAACCAGGAAGACTCGAAAACTTCGGCTTTTAGCCCAAATGAAAGTCGTCAGCCCCCTGAAGGCTGGTGGGGGCAGAATAGTAGAGAATGAGGGCTGGCCTGGCGTGTCCGAATTTGGAATGAGGGATTCTTGGTGGCCAGCCGCATATATTTGCTTCTGATTGATTAAAAGGGGGGGGGGGGATTTGTTGATGACAGAGGAGTGATGCTCAGCTGATTTTTTGGTGTACTTTTCGGGTTCAAGCGTCTGGAAGTCGTTCGAAATCATCTGAAAAATTCGAGATAGTTTAAATTTTACATCAGCGTTTGCGCTTTGTCAAATATCGAATAACACTTAATTACAACTAAAAGACCTGAAAAATGTTAAAAAATGCGTTTTAACTTCGAATTTCAGTCTTTTCCTGGTTTCCGTGCAATCCTGAAAAAGGTTAAAAGCGTACAAAATCGTTTTAGACATTTAAATTGGGCACGGGAATGTTATTAATCGAAATCCACTAGAAAAGCTTGGCTGGTAAAAAGGCACAGCTAAGAATTTTCAAGCTTCTCGTCATTTCCGGATCTAAAAAAATATCTAAAATCTTATAAGTCGCATAAAAGCTTTCAAATTCCATTGAAACCCATCCGGAAAATCGTTCTCTAATCACCTCTGACCTGATCGAAGACCTCCCCCCATCTCGACAATCCAAGAAATGGGGGTTGGGCCATGCGCGCCGCCCTGCCAACACCCACCTCCCACATACAAATATCCAACAATTCCCCGCTTTGGATCATTTCCCACAACAAAATGTTACCCATCATTCTGCTTCTTCTCGCCCTTCTCTTCCCTTCAGTCGAATCCGGTTCTGTGTAAGTTTACTATCACTTTTCCTAACATCTCGTTTCCCTTTTCAGTGAACTCTTCCCGGGCTTTTACTTGGCATGCGGGGGAAGGACTTGTAGTCAAAGTACGTTTATCCATTTTAACTTCATAATCGTTCTATTTCCAGATGATCCCGTGTTCAATAACATTGGAAATGTCCGATATAACGAATGGAATAACCCGCTCTACTACAATAACCAAAACAGCGTCCAATACGGTTACGGAAGCGGATACGGGAATACGAACTACAACTACAACCGGCCCACCTACAACCAGAATTACAACCAAAACTACCGCTACAATCAGCCCTATCAACAACAGCAGAATACGTATTCTGGAAGGAACTACTATTCGAATACTCAATACTACCAAAACTCGATCCAGCAAGCACCACAGCAGAGGTAATTTTGTAAAATCTCTAGATTGATTTTACAGTCTATGAGCTACTTGCTGAGGCTTTATCTTTATAGGGTCGTTAATAAGCGTAGTTATAGGTGTGTAGCGTACGGCAAAGATCAATGAGACAAGAGGAATAGACTAATTAGCGCAAATTTCAGAACCCCCTACTACAACTCCGGATATCGGGCTTCATACCAACAATATGGACGTAAATAAGTACAAATTCCACGATCTCTCATTTCAACATATCATCTCATTATGCAATATTGTATATAATGTATAGTTCATTATGTTTGAAGTGCTCAAATTATGATTTTTGTTATTGAATTTTTATAGATCTTGTTCTTGGAATTTTGGGCTATATTTCCCCGTGATAAATCTTATTCCCATCTATGTGTTTTTTTTTGCATCATAAAGTCCACGTCGCATAAAACGAATCTGGGCAGCAGTGATTTCAGTTATCAGAAAAGGCATAAAATATTCATGGCTACTGGGCTTCCCCTTTTGGTCACAACCGAACGCTGTAGCGATGGTCTGGCGCGGAATTTTATTTCTAGTTTTGGTGGCTACGGTCGTAGATGCGGAATTTAAATTGCTATCTTCGCATCGAGGTTTGTAGCAAGTAAAAAAATGTGCTATGAATTTAATCCCAGGAAAACTGTCGCGCTCGGCATTATCAAATGAGGAAGAGCATGCGAGTGTTCGGAATTTTGTGTCCGGCCAGAATTTCATATTCTCAGTCATTAATGCCCATCTATTGGATAATGACAATTCTTATACTGAGAATATCACTGTCGTGATCAGCAATGGGGATTCTGTGTAAAAATAAAACGTTAAATTTTATTTTTCATTTTTTAGATCGGCGGACATTACCATCACCTCCCCATTCGTTGCCCTTCAAAATAACCAATTTACGGTGCCGCCAAAAACCATTTATAGCGTTTGTTTGAGTGATAAAAACTTGATGATCCTTTTTTTTTTAGTACTCCCTGCCCCCAGAAATCCAAACAAACTACCGTAACGTTGATGTGGGGTACGTCAAGACCTCTAACAAAAGTATCAGCCTGGTCGCCAAAAACGCAAAGGTCACGGTGGTTGTAAGGAATTCGCATTCGGACGGCCTTTCGGAGGATGATTATGTGATCTACCCTGTGAGTTTGGTACCTTAGGGCCAAAAAATCTACTTTCAGACTTGCACACTTGGAAGTCAATACCATTCGGTTGGGGACGAGTCGCTTTGGTCTGGGAAGAATGCTACCAATATCTTTTCGATTACAGCTTTACAGGATAATACTTTGGTAAGATACAGTTTTTAAGTCTTTTTGTAGTATAACGCGTAGTGTATGTAAGCGTATCACTCGAAGCGTATGTTTTTCGACTCGTAAACAGTTACAATGAATACAGATTTCGCATAAATTAGAAACTCGGTCGTAAAACCAAATTTAAAATTAATAAACTAAAAAAGCTTTCGTTTCCTTGCAAATTCAAGAACTTTTATAGATATCTAGTTCCTCAAAATCGGTTAATTTTGAGAGAATACTTTTTGTAACACTTTGTAGTACCGTTTAAATTATATCTAATTTTTGAAGGTTGCCACCTACCCCCGGCTAACCGTCGTAAACTTCACAATAAACGCCGGCGAAGTGTTGACCCTATCCTCGGATATCTACCCCATGTCAAACTACCGAATCCTCGCTTCGGCCCCAGTTGGTATGATCGCTTATTTTTCCGTATTTTTTGTTTGGCATATGACTTGGCGCGGGGGGGGAAGCGACAGGGTGGGGGCAGCTCGAGACGGAAACTTTTTGGTCGGAAATCTGGTGTCGTCTGATTGATGGGGGGTCTATACAGTCGGCGATCCAAGCCACAGACCAAAATCTTCCCCCACACACACCAACTATAGAGTGTCGTAGATCACTGTTCCCCCGCACCGGAGTGCACACCATACAGTTTTTTAGCGTTTTTATGGCTTCTGAAGGCATGAACTTTGCCATTAACGGTTCTGTGCTTTTGATATTTGACCAAAAAAAGGCTCGTAGTGTCTCAGGAAACGGGGGTTAAAGTTGGGAGCAAAATTGGGGGGCAGACCAAATTGGGGCAATGAGGCGGAAGGGGTTGGATTTTCGGCGAGAACTCGATCATGGGGTATAAAAAGTTTGAGGATTTGAGGGGGAAGAGGCACGAATTAGCTGAGATTAAGCTGGAAATCGTGGAATTAAGCGGGCTTTAAGGTTTCAAAGTATTCATCAAGAAATTAACGTGATAATGCAAAAAAAATGTGGGAATTCTTGGAATTTTGCAAAGAACGCGTTTCAGAACATGTTTATTTCCAGATTCTGACTGAAAATTTCAATACGTCGATTAAAATCTAATGCATCACTTGATATAATTTTTTTATTGGTTTGATTTTTCAATGCCTCAATCACTTGACTACAGTAGTTTCCGAAAACACTAGGAAATAGAAAATTGCCGAGAATGCTCTAACTTTTGCAACACTTGAAATATACAAACTAAACAGCTATTTAATCGTTTTTACTTGCTTTTATTTAACCATCAAGTGTAATTAGTACCCTTGCACACCCATAAATCCAAACCCTCGGAGCCATAAACTTTTTTTGGTACCGATAAGTGTTTGTCCGCGATAAATTCCGCTACAATTAGCGCCCAGGGTTGATTGATGATGTGCCCAGGCGGTAATGATTGTCGCTGTCGTCCCTTTGAAACGATTCCCATTCCTATCACCAATCCCAAACCGGGGGATAGGGATCAAAAAGTGGCTGGATGGATTGTCAATGGAACTGACGGGCAGGGGGGGCAACCGTCCCGATAGCAAATTTTTGATCCGGGAATGGGGTGGATAAAGGGATAACGTTCTTTGATGCATCGCAAAAAATGGTTGGTTGATGGGGGGATGTGTCGAGAAATATTGGGGGGAGCATTGAAATAATATTCAATATAAACTGATAAGCATAGATTTCTTACAGTTTTTACTAGCTTATATAAAAGAAAATCCTTGCTGGAAACAACCTGGCATGCTATAACTCAAACAAATATATTAATTGATCTCGAAAGTTATTATCGCATTTTAATTTTAGCTGTAACCTCCGGAGCTGTTTGTGGATTTGGATATTACAACCAAAACCAATGCAATCATGAGGTAGTAAATGCTTATCTGCCATTTACAAAATTTTCAGGCAGTCATGCTCTTCCCCCTCGCCGACAGCGGGGTAGCATTCCCGTACACCCAATTTAAATCCGAGGATAACGGAGAGTTGATGGTGTTCGTTACGGTAATTTCAGTTTTCTAGATGGTATCAATAATTAAAATAGGACAATCGCACGATCGTTTCACTCGATGGGGTTCCCTGGGATAGGTTCGACGCTATTGAATACGGGCTTCTACGGGTTCAAGGGAGTGTCTTTATCACTATGGACAAGCCGGGATACGTTATTGCAGTATGCTACATTTCAAGTTCCACAAAAAGGGTTTAGATCGGCTCAACGAGGTCCGACTTCCAGGGCAGCCCATTTTTAGCTCATATTCCTTCCCTGTCCCAATATACCAATCAGACGTACCTTCAGGTAAGATAATTGGTACCGTTATGCTATGTATGCTTAGAATACTTAATTAAATCTAAAGGTACAAGTCCAATTTGTCAAAACTTAGGTCCAAACCGGCCTTGTCGGGCGCACATTCGCTTCTCATTATATCCGAATCCAAACCGATGTCCAGATGACAGACGGAATATCCGTCGATGGCTGGCCTATTAATGCATTGTTTTATGAAAGGTTACTGCACCCTAACGCCCTTATTTTTTTAAACTCAGACAAGGCAAATCAGCGAGTTACATCGCAGACTGGTCAATTAATGCTGGAACCCATGTGATCCAGACGACAAAGCCGGGCGTCCGATTCTCTGCTACTGTCTACGGCTTTGCCCCTTTCACTGCATATGCTTATACGGCTGGAATGGACTTGCCAGGTGGCAAGGATAATATCGACATAATAGAACTATTTTCAGTCGTTGGTGCCTGCTAGCTGAAATGCTGAAAAAACGGTAAACTTGTAATAAACTTTTTTTGCTTCTTGAAATCCCTCAACACAAAATGGCCTCAAAGGCACGCGTAGCCTTACACTACACTTCTTTTCGTGGAAACCATTGTCTTAGAAAAAATTTCCTTGATTCATGGTCTTGTATATTATGTCTAAAAATGGTTTGCAAGCGAAACGACATGTTTGCTCTCTTCTAGCTGTATTTCTTCTCTCTTGTTTGATAAAATTTATTTGAACCAGATATTCGTTCCGTTTTGAGCAACATCAATTGTTTTTATTTTCCAAAAATGAAGTTTTATGCGACAGCTAGTCCTCTTCTCATCGGCAGTACCTTCCTTGTACCTTTTTAGGCCTAGTAGAGGCCGATCGGGCGGTTTCAACACGCACTTCGATGTGCAGTTGAAAGCGCATGAAAAGTTTTGCTAGGAAACTTGTGAGGCCCTGGTGTAATCGCTAGTATTTTGCGAAGTGCTCACTTTTTGCCGTTTTGAAGCAAAGGGGGCCCACGGTCGATTTTGATGGAATTTGGCAAAAAATTTCGAGAAAAATTTCGTAGCGAATTATGCCATTTGAAAGAGCATAAAAAATAGTGCTGAATTTCGTTTGGTCCGGGACCTGAGAGGCCCTGCAGTGGTTGCTGGGATTTTTTAACTCATGTGAGTTTTTTGACGTCAAATCAGCCTCTGAAGCCAGCACGATCCAAGGTGAGGATTCAGCTGCCGGTAGTTGGTGTCTGTCGCCTCTGTCTGCCTGGAAAAATTTTCTCAACACTAATTTTACATGTAGTTTTGTATGCTAATTCCGAAAATCCCGTTGAGACTGGCGCGGTGTGGTGAAATTGAGGTCTTATTGGAAAGAATTAGCTTCAAGGTGGCATGCAAGTCACCAAGGTCAACCTTTGGGCTAGGCAAAATAATCGGCATGCCGCTCGAAACTTATAGTTTGGGAAAGGGCGGATTGAGGGTTGAGGGGAATAGATAAAGTGAGAGCGGGTGCGTGTGTCGGGCCGTTTTATTTCCCTTCCGAAAAGCCCCCCGGTGAGTGGCCCGGGAGTCGTTTTCACATGTGTTTTTTTCCGGGATTTGCAGCGAAGCAGGGTGAAATCCAATTTCCTGAGGGCAAGTGGATAATGCGTGAAGGCGCGTTGAATTTGTTTTGAAAATGGAGAGAAAACTGCTTTTAGTGGGAATTAATACTGTAAGTCTCATGGGATCGTTCATTAAGATAAATCCCTAATTTTTAAAATTCTAAGAGCACAAAACTATTTATTTTTTCGCGCTTTCTTTTACTTTGCATGCTTATTGTTTTGTTTGCCTGTCACCCACAAAAAGATCGGCAATGGATCCGTGACGGCGGTCCCTCTCTCACATTCACCCATGTTGTAATGCTATCCTGAGCCCGAAAATCATCTTGAACCCCCGCCACCTTTTGAACTGACATTCCCAAGCTTTACCTAGGGCTTGGAGTTTCCGGAAAAACAGAAAAATAGCTCTTACTTCAATTTTTCTTTTATTAAGATGGTTTTCGACAATTTCCTCTAATTTTCCAGAATTTTTCTGTAAATATGCGTGTCTGGGTCGCTTCTATAGTCTATTATGCTTATTGCTATGCCGTATGCGAGGTTCTCAGGTCAATCACATTTTTTTTGCTCGTGAAACTTAAATTATAGATGGCTTGTATTAACTGTAGTACCAAAACCACGCCAATCCTTGACTATTCAACTATTATTAGAGGTTGGAAAATAATCTTAAAAACATCAAAAAATCGTTTTATAGTTTGTGGGTACGCTCCAGATTTGTGCCCCAATGTTTGATGTCGGCACGGTGATGGAACATTATGGATTATTTGGTAGTCTGATTTTTTGACAATTAAAAGTTGATTCAGGTGTTTTTATCGAAATTACGGGCCTGGAAATTGTGAATAGTTTCGTGCTGCGAGATGCGGTCGCTCATCCTTGTCCACTGGTAATTATTTTTTTTGTTTTCTAGTAATCCACAAATTTTTAAGACATTTTATTCAATGTAAAATTTAGGTAACAACCTGCTACCGTCGGTCAAAAGCCTTCAGACGAGCTGTTTATGTCTTTTTCGTCCAGATTTTGGCGGCTTATTCGAGCTATTTTGTGGCTAGGTAAAGCATCATAAATTAAAGCAAAGATATGCAAATTTTCAGGCAATTCTGGAAATTCGGGATCCATGATTGTCATCACGAGCTTTTGGGAGCTTCTACTTGTAGTTCGGATCTTACTGTAATATTCAAATTTTTGGATGATTATGGTTTTAATATTAGGTCGCCTTGGCTGTCGGATGCGTTATCGAAGGAGCAGCCACTTTTATTGGAAAAGCTTTCGAACATTTTGCATCTGAAAGGTATTTTTTTGATATGGAAAAAAATTAAGTTGTTTAGATACCCCGACAGCACTACTCAAGTGCTTGTAAATTGCTCATTTTCTGGATTTTTGTGTGTCTTAGGTAATCCCAAAATCCTCTTAACTTAATTTGCATATCCAGGAATCAATTTCACTGGAATGTATGCAAATCCAATCGTTGCTTGGGCTTGCACATTCAATTGTGAGGGAGTGTCCCATTTCGGGCACTTATTTGTCTATTGGTTGGCCCCATTGGCTGGATGGTAATTTTTACATTCTAATTACAGACCTCAAATCTGAATATTAGGTACGCTGCCGAGATTTTCTTTGGTTCCGAGGATAGCGAAGTTTTATTGGAGGACGAGCCCGAGCCGGAGAAGAAGGAGAAAGCCGTCGAGAGCAAGGCAAAAGAGACGAAGAAGGAGAAATAATAACTAACCAGGGTTGAAAAACCGCTTCGCGGCTTTTCAACCCTGGCCCCGTCCAGGACCTGTGAAGTCCTTAATTTGCATGTTTCTTCCTGAATTCTAGCAAGAAAAAAGTGAAAAACGGCTCCTCTGTCCCTTTATATAGGCTCTTCCTACTTCCGGCGCATGCTAATTTCCCCTAACAAACAGGGTTTTACAAAAACCTATTTTTAATAGCGAAAACCGCAATTTTTCAAAATTTTTATGTGTGTGCAGTCGATTCCGGACCATTCTAAACCTATTGTCGTTTCTTCCTTATCCAAAAAACCCTTCCCCGAGGCTGTAGGAGCGGAACATCCAAACGGAAGTGCATGCAAATATACACACACACACACAGACACTATTTTTTTATATATAGTAGGATATTTTTCGGGCCCGTAGTCAATGTAGAAAGATTGAATAAAGGCTTTTTAAATTTTTTGAAATAGCTTGCCAATGATACCCAGGACAAGTACCCAAAATAGGAAATAATGTAAATGTCAATTTAGGCCTGAAATGCAGGGGGAAATGGGGTGAGGAAAGCTCTTGGAGAAAATCACAGAACGTTTCACAACATTTTGATATTGGTATATAGAAATTCTAAGATCAAAATTAAGTTAGAAAAGATCTAACAAATCATCGATGGGGACTTGTTTGACTGGTTGTGGTTGGGGTGGCGCTGATTTTTGGGAGAAGCCGCCGGATCCTTGCGATTTTGAGCCGGAAATCATTTTGAACATGTCCTGAAAAAATACTATTGTATTAATTTACAAACTGATCCTTATTAGCAAATATACATAATTGAAGAACCTACCTTATCAATATCATTAAACGCCGACATCGCTTTCGTATTTTGAGCGGCAGGGGCCGGTTGAGCGGGCTGAAATTTGATAGGTCATGCTCAAAAATCATAAGCCAAGTGGGAAAAATTTCTAATCTATAAACTAAAGTGTTTATTGTTCAAAAACAAACCATATGGCTGCCATTTCCAAAATCAAGCCCAGACATTTGCAGATTACCACCAGTAGGTTGAGAAAACTATGAAAAACAAGTTATCTCGATTCTCTTCTCAAATTTTACCATTTGTGGGGGCTGAGCCTGAGCTCCGAAAGCACCAAAGTTTTGCATCTGGGGATTTGGTGGGATTTGGGCTGGAGCTGGTGACTGGGCGATCGGGGCAGCTGGCTGGGTGAACTGGCTCAACCCATAAGCCGTCGCGGAGAAGCCGCTAACCGGCGGGAAATTGGAGTATTGAGTCCGAGCACCTAACGTAAAGCTTAAAATTTGAGAGAAGCCTTACCTGTATTTTGTGAACTAGCAAACAAGGCCATAATATCAGCGTTGGATTTAATCTGCCCGGTTGCAGGGGTGGCATCCTAAAATGTGCATAAAATAAGGAAATCAAGAACTACCAATGATCCCGAAGCAGTTGGCTGAATTTGAATATCAGCCAATGGGTTGTCATTGTTGAGCAGGTTCTGAGCATTCCCTCCTGATGTTGGGAAAGCGTCGAAAAGGTTTTGGGAGTTACCTTGGATATAAAGTTTTTGCAAAAAAGTCGATGATTACCATTCGCTTGAGCCACTGGAGCATCAGCTTTTTTGGCAGAGACGAACTCTCCAAATTCATCATCCATGATGTTTCCGGATGACAGCGTCATGCCTCCAAATGGATCACTGAGCGAAGTAGCGGCTTTCGCTTGCTGCGGCTCCTCAGCATCAAAATTGAGCAACATTGAATCGTTTTTCTGCAATATAGAGAAACATTATATATTACGACAAATTCTATATAAAAAAATAGAGCTGAAACGTACAGAGTTCGATTGTGTAACAACCGCATGCCCATTTGCTGACATCGATACGCGCTTGGTTGAGCTTTCCTTAGCCTTAGCAGGCGGCACACCATCACGCGAATAATATCTAAATCAAAGTCCATATGCTAATTTAAGCTTCTTACCGTTTATGCTCATATTTAGCGCGAATAAAATCTTCCATAGATCTACCCTGCGTTGGTCGGCGGAACCCGTCAGGTAACGTCGCTTCATAAATTGCCTAAAATTACGTAAAAACAATTTGAATTTTCAATTACCCGAGCACGAGCATTTCCAATCTCTTCTAGCGGTACCACTTTTTCTCTAGTCCACGAATCTAGAGATACAGAAAGCACCTAAAAACTGAAATATCACGCATTATCGATTTTTACCCACCTTCGAGATATGTACCCCTAAATTACGATGAATACCCGCACAGGAGATGCAAATGAAAATTCCTAGGTTCCAGGCAGCCCATCTGAACAAAATAGATCACAAATTTAATCTAAAATAACTATTATACCTTGGCGATTTGCCATTGCAGTCCGCACAATACATATTCTCATCTTCTTTCAATAATCTTTGCAAAATCTAGAACAATCAATAACAACGATTTTCTTAATTAATTTACTTTCTGACACTCATCATTCGCTAGTTGCTTTGGGGTAAGCTTTCCTTTCTTGTCCATTCCCCCCAGGCCGACCAGTCAATATCCCTGAAAATGCATTATGCTAATTACTACTCCACTCAGTCATCCAGGATTACGGAACCAACACCCGCGTCAACAAATCCGGTAGCTTATCTCATGCCAGCACGAAATAAATATTATATATGACGTTCCCAACAAAAAGAATTGTGTTTTTAGAACGATTTCAAAACAGCATTTATTCAGTTATATATTGAGAAGTACTAAAAGACAATATGAAGAATCGTCCTGTACAAACGCCTACATCGGCGGGCATCGAAATAGAAGGGGGGAAATGGGGGTGAGGAGAGTGTTGGAGACATGCGAATCATAAATAAGTTACCCTTTGCGCGAATGTAGGCTGATTTTTCAAATCCTTAAAGCTATGTTCAGGTGTTGCGAAAGTGGGGGTGAAAATGGTAATTAATGGCCATATGCAAATGTCGGTGTGCCTCGCCGGGATTTGAAAGACAGTTTTCCAATTAGCGCAAGGATCAACCATTCAAAGGGATTCGCAGGGTAGATTGAAAATAAAAAGGGCGGGGTTTAAGGTATAAAATTTAGGCGGGGTTTTGTGGGTTCAATTGGGCGGCGGCCGTGGCAGCAGTGCCGGTCTGGGCGGCAGAAGTCTGGGCCTGATTGGCGACCAGATTCGTCTGATTTTGCGACGCCTTCTGCTTCAGCATCGTCCAATCGAACGTGTAATCGTACTGATGGTTAAGAGTACGGAACAGGATACGGAACAACTGGCGCAAATACATGTAATCTGGGGCCTCGTCAAAGCGCAGCCCTCGGCAATAGTTCAGGTACATCGGGAACTCAGCGGGGAATCCCTTGCACAGCATCTCCACCGGGGTCGACATCTTTTTCTCGGAGATCTTTTCGTATTTTTGTTTCTTGGTGGCAGCCTTGAGTCCTTGCCAGGGGAGGGTGCCGCGGTTGAAGTACATCAACACGTAGCCAAGGGATTCCATATCGTCACGACGGCTCTGCTCGATACCCAGGTGAGCATTGATGGAGGCGTAGCGAGCGGTACCCGTCAGGTTTTTGTCCTCCCTATAGGGGATGTGGGTGCGGGTGCGAGAATCGCGGTACCTGGAACAGGGAGATTAGACGGGTCGTAAGGTTTCGAAATTACGCCACGTGAAAGTATGAGTAATACAGAGGGTCGCAAAAAAGTATCACTATCTAGCGGAGCATAGAAGTGTTCGATTCTTACGATATAGGTATGTATCGAAAACCCTCGAAACGGCGAGCAAAACCACTTTTTGTGTTTTAGATTGTGTATTGCAGTGTTGTTTTTATACCCAAATCGCGAAAATGCGCCGGTTTTCAGAAAACCTTTGAAGAACAAAAAAATGAGATGACTTCCCCAAAAATTTTCCGTTTTTTTCAGAGCTTTTGATTAATATAAAAATCATCCCAATCCGAACCTTCTGCCGACCTGTAGGGCGTGGTACTTTTTTCGCAACCCCTAGTAAACGTGGCACACCCATTACTACTATCACTCACTTCTTGGCAAGCCCAAAATCGATCAAGAACAGCTTATTGCAATGCCGCCCGATCCCCATCAAGAAGTTGTCCGGCTTGATGTCGCGGTGGATGAAGTTCTTCACGTGCACATACTCTATCCGTCCGATCATCTGGTCGGCCAGCATCAGCACAGTCTAAAAAATTTATCATATACCTTAAGAAAATTCTATACCTTCATCGTGAAGCGACGGCTGCAGAAATTGAAAAGATCTTCTAGGGATGGGCCCAGGAGGTCCATGACCAACACATTATATTCCCGTTCTGTTCCATACCTTATATCATGTAAATTTTAGGATCTCTATTTATGACTCACCACCGGATGTGCGGGATACCCACTCCCCCTTGAAGAATCTTGTACACCTTCGACTCGTAGAGGAGCTGCGGGTGACGAGCCTGCAAAAAAATTGTTGCTCAAGAATTTTGAGCCGAGCAGGGGCAGGCTATAAACAGGTAAATAATTAATAGCGGACCCGATTGCTCTCGAGCTTGATGGCCACCTCTTCGCCATTCGTCACATTGATGCTGACGTAGATGTCGCCGAAGGAGCCGGAGCCAATTTTCCGGATTAACTTGTACTTGGTAGCCACGATGAAGTCCTTAGCGGACACTGGAAATTGGAGAATTGAAAGTTTAGAGCGATATTTTGGTGGGAATCTTCGGGGAGTTGTTGAATTTTTAGTTTTTGTCAGAAAATATGTGAAAAGCTGCTTAAGTGGGCTGGGAAAATCCTGGGGAGGGGATGAGTTTGTTGCGGATTACGGGATTAAGGTAAAGAAAAACAGTTCAACCCACCTGACGGCACCATGCTCATGTTGACGGTTTGATTCCCCGGTCGGGTACCCGTATCCCCTGAAAACGAGTAGATTTATACTTAGTTGTTAAAGTGTGTAATCTAGGGTCAAAGCGGGGTGGCGCACTGCGGGGAACAAGCCCGGAAATCTAGGCAAAAAAGATAAGAGAGGGCCCGCAGATTTCGAAGGCCGAGGGGTGGGGGGACTGGGGAGCGGGGAGGAAAGAGGTCCCCCCTCCTTTTGCACCGCCCGTCGCTGCGCGGCACGCGACGCAATCGATATAGACGAGGGGTGCGGGTGTGCCGGCTGGTCCCCAGTGTGCACCCCATTTACCCCCCTCTCCCCCCCCCCCTCACACATACACAGACACACCCCGGTACAACGTTCAAAATATACGCGATTTGAATTTTGGCACGGCATTGAAAATTGGGCTAAAAATTCGATGAATGCGGATGAATCACTAAAAAACAGGGAACAGCCAAAACAAGCCCAAAGTGCGTGCACCCGGAATTACGTTGCTGCATTTTTTTGCGTTGCTGGTGAACAGCTGGCGGGAAGTCCGTGGGGTTCACGCGGGATTTCGATCGATAATTGGGAGAGTTGGTGATTTATGGGGGTCGATACATGCAAGAGAATTTTTTGAGGGCTACAGTAACCCTAAACAAATTAGAAATTCGAGAAAAATCAGAAAGATAGAGATACTCAGGTTTTGGAATAAAGCTTGAGGAAAACAATGAGGTTTAAAAATTAGCATTTAGGTTTTTCATTTGAGTAGAGTAATTTATAATCAACAGGATTCTCATACAATATAAAAAATAGAAAAGTTTGCATCCGAAAAAAGAAAACAATTTATTATAAAGTTGCTACTAATAAAACTAATAATCGAGGCTATAAAACTAGCACGATAAAATTTTGATTAGGTTTAAGGCTGAAAAGACCAACATTATACTCATCAAAAAGCACCGTAACCCGCTTTCTAAAGGGAATTGAATTTTCACCTACAAAAATAACTTTTTCTAATTTAAAAACCCCCGGCTCCCTGGAGGTGGCATAGAATGTTTGATTTTGGCCGGCCAATCAGCATCCTGCTCTCTATTTCTCAATCTCTCTCTCTATCTCTCTTTCTCTCTCTCTCTCTCTCTCTCTCTCTCCATCTGCTTACAGACCCCCATTCCCCAGTGTGTACCCATCGCCTCTAGCCCAAACACCGCCATCCATCCATCCCCCCCACCCCCTGGAGCCCCTATTAAATTTGTCCTGAATCATGTATTCTGAGAAAAGAATGTGCCACCGCTACCGGGCACTCCTCATTGCGGCCTCTAGAGAGACCGAGGCCTCGGTAATTAAGCAGGAAGAGATTTTGTGAGCCCAATTCTGCGACATGAGAAAAAATCGCGCACCCATGGGAACCGATTTCCGGAAATTTAGGTCCGCAAAATTGGCAACGAAGCTCGGGAGGGGGTTCTAGGTATTGTAGGCAAGGGGGGTTGGAAATGGATCACGAATCACGTTTCCGGTAGGAAAAAGCTGTGGTGTTCCGGTGGGGGGATCTGGAGGACAGGAAATCAGTTTGGTTTTTATGATAAAAGGGGGATTAGGGTTTAAAACTTATAAATTTTGAGGATTACAAAACTGTATGCGTTGTCGTTTTAGAGGGGGAGGGACACCATAAAAAATGGTTGCAGTGGCTCAAAATCATCATAAAAATTTAATAATTTAAAGAAAGAAGACGATTGAAAGATAACATATTACAATTTTATTCATATAAAAAATATTTCGTTTTCTTGGCGCTACTATCCCTAAAAATGATGGCTTCTACTGGATTTTCCATGTCACTACTAAGCTACAAAACCTTGCCCTCACTCCCCGGGCGTCAACCTAAAACCGGACAATGAATTCGATACGTTGACGCGTAGATGGCGCACGTGTAGAAGCCTCTTTGCCGCGTTGAAAAGAAAGAAAGGTTGGCGCTGAAAAGAAAGGAAGCCAAAAAGCCAGCCCGGGACCAGACCCACGGCAACCTCTTCTTGTAGACGCGGAAAAACTAAATTTTCTGCTGACAACCGGGCTCTTTTAGAGTTTTGTTAAATTGAATATTTATTCTAATATGTTACGTATAGTTTTAAATTAAAAAAACCATCGTATCGTGTTTTTTGTACTCTATTAACGAGCCCTTAACGGTAGGCCATAAATTCAGGCGGTTGTCGAAAATATTTAGCACGTGACCGGCATAAAATATTTACCATTGGACAATGCGAAAAGTGCAATTTCGAGAGTGCATTTAGAAGATGAAGCTGAGGGGGGCATCATCCGATGTTATGCCTTCAGTTTTTCGGCCTGAGGTTCGGTGAGGCTAATCGAAGAATGGCGCCTCGGTTTGACATCAACGTTTGTGAAATCGGCAGGGACGTCGGTGTGGAAGATCCAGAAAATGATGTGACTCTAAAATACGAAATCGAAGTAGAAAAACGAATCTTACGATCATCATATAAATACCAGAAATTAAAAACACAATTCGCCATTGAGAGAGGTTGTTATCTAAATTATTTAAATTATTTAGACCAATTTTTAGGTGTTTTACCATCATGTACAAAAACAGCTACAATAGCCGGGCAAACAAACAGCGCCAAACATTTCATAAATTGTATGGCTGAGATCACAAAGTGAGAATATTGCCTGGAATCGAGAAATCTTCTTTGATTTTCGACTTTTACCTAGCAACGTAGATGGCACATTTATAAAAACCGCCGCTATTCGCTGAGGACAGTGTACTAAACAGGAAAAACGTTCCTACAGACCACACGCGAGCTTCTTTTCCCAGGAAACCTAAATTTGGGATGCTAATTTGATTTTAGAAGGTTACCAAGTAGACAGCAAAGCACACCACAACTGCCTACCGAAATAAAATTAAAAATTAGCATCTTATTTTTCTCGCTGATAAATCTGAAATGGAAATAGGCACTTAAACTTAAAATCCTATTTACGTGATTTTGTCACTGCAAATAGCGCAAACAATTTTGAAGGGAATTTGTACAAGGCCGATTAGAGAGGCCAGGATTCCTGAAATATGCATAAATATTTTGGATCCAATTTTGTAGACCTGTAGTTCCAATATCAAATGCAAGCACCGAGTTGAAAAAGATTGGGGCGTATGTTAATAGGAGGGAAGTGGTGACGTGCTCTCCAAAAGCATTTGCCCACACCGCCCAGATTGGGACACTTTTTAGGATTTTCTGGAAAAGGTGCAAATTTTCCATCCTTGATTTAAATTCCTTACCAAGTATGGGACTTCTTTATGGCTGTCGACCTCTGCGGCACATTTATCTTTATGGATCAGGTCGACTTCCTAAATGCATTTTAGTGGTATTTGATTATTTTCGCTTTTTCTAAAATTTTTCGATTTTCTTTGGCATTAAGAGGTCGTTTTCAATGTAGCTATCGATTCTTTAGGCTTTTTAGATTTCAGATGCTTATGCTAAGCATAATTTCTGCCAACTCTTCCACCAAAAAAATTATTAACCAAATGTTCTTAGTAAAAAACGAAATCCCTCCGTTTCTACGCACCTGCGCGCCGACAAATTTGTTTTTCTCAGGTTGATTGCTGAAGAGGAGCAGCCATATGCCAGCCATCACAAATCCGAAGACCGCATGGGCATAGAATGAAGCCCTCCAACCGAGGGACGTTTCACAGAACTAGAACAGCCGTTTAATTATTCCACCCTGCCCGTAAATTTTGGTTCCTTTTTCGTGAAAGCCCTCATCGTGGGGTCATTTCTTGGCTTCACTTCTTTTTGAAGCCTGGATTTTGGTCCTAAGCGGTCCGGAAGCTGCACAGTTCAATTTTATGGCCGTCGAAAGAGCGCTAGACGTATTTTGTTGTAGTTACCACTTATTATCTATCTTTTTAACGATAAAAACTCACAAATCCGGAAGCGGAATCCGTGACGAACGACGAGATCGGGGTGAAGGCCGTCATTATTGCTACGAAAATTGCATATTCCGTGATCGGCACCCAGCGAACAATTACAGCGCCGATTGCGGCGAAGTCTGCTGCGTAAGCGACGCCCTAAAATTATAATATTTAGATTGTAGGTATTAATAATCGTAATTTTCTACTTTTTCTTTCAAATCGTCAAAATCGTGGCATTTTGAACGCAGTGAGGGCTTATCACCTGTACTGCCGTTCCTAAAAACTCAAAAAATACCTGCAAAAAGCGGACAATCAGGAAAGGCCATAACCCCATTGCCGCGACAAACGGGGAGAGCAGGGATGCTAATGCAGATATTACGATGCAAAATAGACACACCCATCTGAAGATCTATATTTAAAAAATGTAAATAATTACCTAGCACCAATTTTAATCATTAAATGGTTGATTGGAAATGTTGCCAATGTGGTGCCAACCTAATTTATGGAAATTTTGAGGTAAAAACGTAATATGCATACCCCAACAGCCCAAATCAACGCGGAACGCTCGGATTGGCTGTAATCAAAGACATTTGTTGTCTGAAGGAAATTTATGAATTGAAGATGCTGTATAATCTACCGTATTCCCATCAATCCGATCGCCACTCGGGTCTCCCTTCATGCAAATAAATGTAAAATTCAAAATAATATAGTTAGAGGCAATAGAAGTTAGGCTAAGGAATACGACGGCCATTATAACAAAGCGGTAGCCACGCAGGGTAAACATTTTTCGTCTAAAAAAAGTTAAGGAAATGAATAATGAATAATGAAAATTTTGAATGGGAAAATTTTGGATTCTACAAGGAAATTTGAGCAAAGAACTGATATTGGGAGGAAACAATGAAAAATAAGCATTTTCTATCAGCCTTGGTCAAAGGCCTCTAAAAGACCAGCTTTCTTTGTTCGAAGCGCGTGGCCTAGACCGGTCTAAATGGATTCTGATAAGCAATTGCTTGAATAAAGAGCAAGATTGGGCTTGTTCTTTGAATGCGGAACCCCTGTAATGATTTATATGTTTTCCGGCAGGCAAGAGCATATAGTTCGAGGGTTTTTATGAAAACGCCGGGCGAGTGGATTTTTATCCTCCTCTGGAAATAAGTATATAAAAACAGCCAGATAGTAAACAGAACACAAAATACAGAATATGATGGTCATCCAGGGCACAATTACCCGAATGTGGGATAGATGGGGGTAAAAAACCTGAGGGTTGTTTTTGGTATTGTTCGGGGTGGCGGGGGAACCTGTTTTATGCAAAGTATGAGGAAGCAAAAATTGTGATATAAAACTTACTTGCAAAGTTATAGAGGGAATAGAGATAGTCAAGTCAAAGCGGTCATTCTCAACCTTTGAGAAAGTGATTGAGCACTTGCTTATCGGGGAGTTTGTTGTTTTTCTTTAGCAGTGTGGGCGAGACGGTAAAATCGATGTTATGATAGTTTTCTCACCTTGAGTATCTCTCTCACTCTCTCTCACTTTCTCTTTCTCTCTCTCTTCTCCACTCTACGCCTCGTGATTTTTACGATCCATCACATCCAAAATTGCGAATTTTCTAATTTTTTCGCAGCCGTTTTTCCACCTGATCCCAAATTTTGAATTAAATAACGATGACCTTCACCCCACTACGGTCAACCAGCCCCCCTAAAACCTGGCTATTTCTGTTGCGGTTTTGGCGGATTACCGGCTGACGGTAACAAGAAGCCCCTCAACCTTAGTTTGGCTTCCCTCGAGGCCAACCCCACGACGCATCGATTTGCGTTTCCATTTCCATTTCCCCGCATACCCAAATCTTCCCTCCGCTATGGTTAAAGTACTGTCAAAACACTTGGCAAGGACGTTGCAGCCGTTTCGGTGAGTCGACAGTGCGTGCGTACCTGTGACGTAGGCAGTAAAAATGATTCGTACTTTGTGCTCTTTCGTATAGTTCCCACCCTGGTCATTTTATCGGCACTCACTTTGGTATTTTGGCAACCAGCCACTCTTGATGTCACAAAAACAACTAAAAGCTATAGTTTAAAGCATAAAATGATAATTCCTACAGTAAATTTTTTCAGTATCGGCTTTTTCTGATCGCCGGCCTTGCCCTGATATTTGCAGTTCTCGTCATTATCGAGAATATTGCGCTTCTGGCAACAACGACGGTCGGGTAAGTATGAATCTCTTTAAAATTTTAAAGTTTCAGGCCGACCTCCTTAAGTATCCTCTTGCTCCCATACTTCTTGTCGTGGATTCTGCTCTTCTTTGCTGGGTTCTTTGGACGGATTGCCTATGAATTGCACAAGGATAAGGCGAGGAAGCCGCAGCCGGTTGATGGATGCGGGTTGGTTATTTTACAGACTACACTGAGCAAGAACACAATTTGGTACGCAAGTGTGCGCTAGAGTACGTGAGCATACGGCATAGTATCCTAGTGTATGCCTTAAAACGCGGTTTTTCAGACCCACATGGACGAGTGATTCCCGCCCCTGCACTCCATCTGTATACGATATTGAAACCCACTCCCAGTGCTCGCAGGTATCGATTTTCTAGTTATTGTTTAATTAATTACCAATTTTCAGGATACTTTAATCCATGGCGACAGCTTGAACGGCTCTTTTTACCAAGCCCACAGCCCGCATTATATCCCGGAGGAAAACTCGGTATAATTCTGTTTTCCAGCTTCTCTGCGTTTCGATGACATTTTTAATTTCTCATCGATTAATATTTTTAGCGAAACCATGACCTGCCCCCAGGATATGAGGAGGTCATGTCGCGTCGAATGTCCGGAGGTCGTGCGGTTAGTCTGATTTAATGAAAATTAACATATCATCGATAGCGTTGCACTCTCATGCCGGGTATTATATATTTATCTTATGTGTTTTGTTTAGGTTTCCGCTCCTTGTGCCACCCTGAGCGTTGGAACCCAGCGAGTTTCGTTTTTTTCCAACAGCCAGCCGCCCAGCCCTGGAGGGCCGAGGGTTTAGAAAACAATTAAAATATCCCGATCTCATGATTTTTGCGCTTTTTTAATAATAAAAATTATACAGGAATTTGCGCATTTAAAAATTTCCCTAAAAATACACATCAGTGTCTGGTGATTAGAAATATCGATTATTAATGCTGAAGGTAAGCCGCTAAACACAATCAGATGTTCTTCACCTTGACAGACACACCATTAGTCTGCCAGGGTCTCAAACGCAGGTGTGAGAACGTGCCCCCGGGCAAGATGCTGTCCCACATTTGCATATTGGTCTGTCCCATCCCTGTCTCTCTCTCGTCCTGCCTGTGCCACCAGTTGATACCCCAGCCCGCCAACGGCACTCATCATATTTATTGCCGCCATTTTTTACGCATTTCTCTACTCTGCAGCTGACGATTTCTGTCGAAATTCGAATTCAAAACATTCAAAATGAGGTTGGTTTTTGGTTTTTCGGTTGGTGGTGTTTTTGTTGGAGAAATGAGATTTCTATGTGCTTTCCAAGGTTAGTTGACAGGGTGGATTGCATTTTGATTGAGAATTAAATCCGGGGAGGGCAAGGGGAAGGAAAAATGTGTTGAAATGTGGGAAATTGGATTTTGGAGTTGGTGAAAATATTTTTTTGAAGAGCTGTTTTTTAAAACTTTGTATTTCTTCGGTCGGCGCGGTAGGCTTTCTTGCCTTTTAAACTTCAAACTAAACAGCATTTTCTAAAACTTCAAAGATCTAAAACTAGGAAATGGTCAGTTTTCCTGTTCACCAAATTTCAAACTAGCATTTCAAAACTGCTACTTTCACTCTGGCGCGGATTTCCGGACCGACATAACTCTTTCCCATTCATAACCCCAAATTTAAATTGAAAAAATCACCAGGCTCGGCTCACCTGGTGCTCGCCATTATGGGCCAAGTGACAGGGGATTGTGCCCGCGAAACGCGAAAAAACTCGCCCTGCAAAACCCGCAGCTGTCCCCCCGCGCCTTCGGGTCGTCAAATCAGCGATTCAAACTCCGGTACCTCTAGAGTATTCTAAAAACACATCCGTCACTCAATCATCGGTTAGACGATCCACCTAAAAATAAGCCGATCTTGGGGCTACTTACTAATTTTGAGTTTTTACAAGGTAAAATTCACATTTTGAATGTTTGACTGACTGACGGCTAGACGCACAAAAAGTAAACTACGCTCTGGAGTGGGAGGAAATCTCTGAAGAAGCTTGTATTCCCACGATCAGACGACCAACCATTTTTTCTATTAGTGAGCAGCGAGTGCCGCGCGAATTTGCTGGCACCATTCGTATTGGGCTGGCCGACGTCAACTTTGCGGAATTGGAAGCGGCGATGAATAGCCAGAAGGTAGCGTTCATGCGTATTTGCTCATTAATTATATTACCAGATGGTTACAGTCGCTTCGCGACTGCAACCATCTGGGCTTCGGGCTACCCTACATGTCCCACTCTACCACATCCTTTCCCACCTCCATCAATACCCCCCATAGCCGAAATCCCGTTCAAAAACTACCTAGATACCTTCCTGATGGCTTCAGATACCCCCCATGGCTGAAATCCCCTTCAAAAACTACCTAGATACCTTCCTGATGGCTTCAGATACCCCCCATGGCTGAAATCCCCTTCAAAAACTACCTAGATACCTTCCTGATGGCTTCAGATACCCCCCATGGCTGAAATCCCCTTCAAAAAACTACCTAAATACCTTCCTGATGGCTTCAGATACCCCCCATGGCTGAAATCCCCTTCAAAAACTACCTAAATACCTTCCTGATGGCTTCAGATACCCCCATGGCTGAAATCCCCTTCAAAAACTACCTAGATACCTTCCTGATGGCTTCAGATACCCCCCATGGCTGAAATCCCCTTCAAAAACTACCTAAATACCTTCCTGATGGCTACAGATACCCCCCATGGCTGAAATCCCCTTCAAAAACTACCTAAATACCTTCCTGATGGCTACAGATACCCCCCATGGCTGAAATCCCCTTCAAAAACTACCTAAATACCTTCCTGATGGCTTTAGATACCTCCCCTAGCCAAAATCCCGTTTAAAAAACGAAAATAACGACCGACCGGATGGAATTAGAGAAAAAAAGAAATGAAATCCCCCGTGAAAATTTTCATCCACGAAACGCGCGCGACCTGGCTCACTATGTCCAAAATAAGTTAAAAATAAGTCTTTCAAAGAAAATAAAAATAAGTCTTTCAAAGTTAATTTTAATAAGTTAAACTAAAACTTTTTCATAATTTTTTTATCAGTTTAGGGGTTTCTGAGGGCGCTCTATCCGAATCCGAAGAGAGCTAAGCTCTAGCTCCTTTCCCCTTCGAGTTGAATTCGGCTTCAGACACACGGACGGACGGACGTCTTAACTTTTTTATTATAGTTGACCAGTGGAAAAAAGACCGCTTCGCGGCCATTTTCCACTGGACCCCGTCCAGGAATCATGAATTTGAATACCTTCTTCTTTTAGCCTGCGGCGCAAGAACCTGAGTAATGGCGCCAATAAGCCTGCGGCGCTAGAGCCAGCGTTCCGCTAGATCCTTTGAGCCTGCGGCGCTAGCTACTGGTTTTTCTCCAGGTCTTGCCTGCGGCGCGAGAGCCTGGACCAAGGACCTGTTGTTTGGCCTGCGGCGCTAGAGCGAGGGTCAGGCCTAAACCTCGCACACCGAGAGCCTAGAAATATGTTTAGTTGCTAGACTACCAAAAAAGCAAAAAGTAGGATTTGCCCAGGATCCGAACCCACGACTATAAGCGTAGTAGGCCGGGCGTAAATCCACTACACCACGGGGTAGATGGGAACAGGCGGCGGGAAAGCCCTCTTCTGTTCCGGGGAAACGCGGGCGGGGAAGCACAGAAAAGGCTGACCCAATGCCCCGGGAGGGAAGCCTTCTGGTCACTTTACAAAATTAAGTTTTTGAGTCTGAATCTGCAGAAAATTTGTAAAGAGAATAAGATGCGCGTGATCCCCACTATCGAATACATAACTGGTCCAAATTTCAGCCCGAAATTCCAAACGCGAATCGAGTTATGGCCCGAACACCACGGCTCGTCGCTCATTTTGTTAAGGATTTTTACTATTTTGCTTGTAAAAGTGTTAAATGGAGGAATTTCGGAAAACAAAAAAATGCGTTTTTGGCGAATGTTGTTCTCCACCTCCATGCCAAAAATCAGCTCGAAATTCGGCCTGACGGCCGAGAAAACGGCCGTACAGAAAACAAACATACTTTTCTCGCTTATAGGATAGGATATAGAATCTGGCTGCCTTGCTAGTGCCTTTAAAAATTTATACTTAAATAATGAACGTAAAAATAACTATTTAAATCTATTTCTTCAATGATATCATCTTTTAGGCTCGAAAAGCAATGGGAAATGGTCAATCGACATCACCCGGTGAGATCGATACGTGGACAATGCTGGCAATTTTAGGCGTAGTAGGATAAAGCCCATATACAAACGCTTTTAGGCAGCTTTCTTCTTCCTCAGCGTCCTCTACATTACGATGATGTGCTATAGGAGAAAGAGTTTGAGGAATCAGGATCAATCTTTCAAGGTGAGCTCCAGATTAATTATTGGTTTCTCGATTTTGCAAATTGAGCTTTAGCGCTCCAAAATTAGTGCTTTCAGCTATCAACCCTATCCATACCAGAACCAGCTAATCGAAGTATTTCATTTGGTCAGATGCCGAGCTGGAGGTAATTTATAAAGAAATGTCTATAATCTTCTATTTGATTTTCCCCTCCAGCAAATATATTCTTTTATAGAAGAGAAAGAGCTCAAGCTCGAAACGTCCGAGGACGACAATTGCTTTTCGGAAATCTTGAGAGAATCAAAGAAGTTGATGAAAGGTCCAGAAGCGATCGATCGGTTTGACTTTCCCGTTGAACCGAATTTTACAATATTTAGAATTCCGGGAGCCACCGTAACAGCCTCGTCTCAGCGGGACCTGATTCTGTTCATAGTCAAGAAAGCATTCACAGTTATCGTTCTGAAGGAGGAGTTCGGAAAATGTAAGTTATGGCCTAGCTTTGTATTCCAATAATCTCTAGGCCCAGTGAGCTTTCAAATAACAGCCGTCGCAGCCGATCTACCTCTCAAATTCCTTCCGAGCAAAGTTATGCAATTGATGTGCCTACAACTCGTTCTACGAGGTATTTTAGACCTAAAATTCTAATTTCGTTTTGTTTAGAAGTCACAGTTCCTGGGGTAGCGCCATCGAAAAATTACCATTACATAAAAGTGTGGCCATCGATATGCCGGATCCGTCAAAACGGTAGGAAAACTAAAAATAACTGTCATTTATTTAAATTTAGGCCTTCAAAAAGCCGGCGGCCAATCTATTCGGAATTTGTATAAGCCGAAAATATATATTTATTGGAATAAATCGTAAAACAAATTCGATCAAATATCATAAACGGCTATTAGAATTTTGGAAAGGAGAGGGAAACCTAAAAAATTGAGCTGATATCAGATTTGGCAAGGGTAAGGAAAGACGATATGTCGATTTTGAAGGGAAATTAAATTTTGACATAATTTTTATGATTTTATGATCCTTGAGGCCGTACTTGGGCGAGTTTTGTGAGCTGACTGAGTACGTCGGACGGGTGGACGAGGGATTGGGATTGGGCCTAGACGATCGGCAAATGGAGCACGTAGCGACGTGGCGGAAGCAGCTCTTTGTCTTGGTTCTAGTGATCTTCTTCTGTAAGTAGTAGTGGTACAGAAATTTCCAATCAATTTACCTCGGTTGTCCAGATGGGCTACGACGTCTAGCTACAGTGTTTGAAGGCGGAACCCAGGGTATAACCCGCTCGTACAAATGCGTATCTTCCATATCTCGGTTCAGCCGTGACCACGCTAATTCTTCACCCTAATTTTGCATTTAATTTAAGTTGTTTTGCGTTGTATCTACCTTCATTTGCAGCCAAACATCATACGATTGATTTGCAAGCATTTCCTTGTATTCTTTAACAATTATGTTTTTGCGTTTTTCCTCTTCTTTCAAGGCCTGCGCTTTCTTTTTAGCTTCAATTTCCTCTTCTTCTTTTGCTCTAGGAAAATCTTGAAACTTTGAGAAATAGAAAAGCTTACTCAGTCCAAGCCTCAAAAGCTGCTGTAGCATTTGCACGTTGTTCATCTTTGTCTTCTTGCTCTGCCCTTTCTTTCGCCAACTTTGAAACATGCGCTCCTCTCTTGTTTTTTTCGAGATTCTCATCGTAAGCCCGCTTCCAAGCATCGTATGCCTAAACTTTATTAGCGCTTTAATAAATACCATACCTTCTCTGCCTCCGATTTCTTCATTTTCAACACCTGTGCAGCTTTTTCTTGAGCCTTCCTTCGTTTTCGTTCTTCTTGTCGTCGTTGCTCAGCGATTCTCTAAATTTCCCAACTGTTAATCTCTCTAAATCACCTCACCTCATCATTCGTCCGCTTCCACCTCTCAAAAACCTTTTCGGCATTTTTCTTCTTGTCTTCGGCTTCTTTTCGTGCTCTTTCTTCTCGTTTTCGCTCTTCTTCTCTTTTCCTCCGGCTCTCAGCCCTTTTCTTTCGCATCCAACTCTTAAAAAATCATTTGTAGATTTAGAAAAGTTATAAAATCGACCTCGTAAGCTGCTGAGGACTGTTCTGGGCCTGGTTGATGGTATTTTGACGTTACAGAAGTGAACTCCGGTCGCGGAGCAGCTGTTTTTGGTCGAGAATGACCATTTCCTAAAAGTTTCGTATGGTTTTTGATCCTAGACTTACCAGCAGATATATTATAGGTATTCTCGCTTGCGTTTGACTTTGTGGACCCGGATTTTGACTAAAGTTTTGCGATTTATCGAGTTTTAATGTTACCAACCGATTTGGAAGTGGGACGGAGATCCACAGAGGTAGTTGGAGATTCGGGCATACTTTCTAGACGCCGTCTTGCATCAGGGCGGTCGCCGGGTAGTTTGGTGCTCACTAGAGAGCGTCGTCGAAGCGCGTTTCTTAAAAATAGTGTTAAAAACGACTTTCTCGAGAATTACAAGGTGTTTGAAGCTTTTTGCACTTACAATTTGCTTACAAAATCTTCCTCCGTATCAAAAGCTTCGTCCTCCGGCTCTGGGGCGACAACTTCCGGTTCTTCATACCGTGCAGGAGCATCGTGTAGCTATAAAAACGCGTAAAAAACAGGAGCAGAAAGCTAAATTTATATAAAAACTAGTTTTACAACCCACTAAATTTCCGACAGAATCTCGGCCATGCCGTGTCGGTGGTCGGTTGCTGTTTTCCGCTCGTATAGTTCGAGGCGCTAAAAATATGTAAAAAGAAAAAATCAAATCTACACTTATCATTTGGTTCCGGTGTAAGCCCAAGAAGCTCCTCTAGCGTGAAGTTGAGACTCCTTGACTTTGAGGCTTCGCCCATGCTAGAAAATATACAAAAAAAATTGTAAAATTCGTTACCCTTGGAGGCTAGAATCCGGGGAAATGGGATCGGCTTCTTTCCAGGTACGAAAAATCTTCGCGGCTGAAAGGGGAGATTGATGAATTAAAATATAACTAACATAAAGCCCACGGGAATTGTAATGATTTTGGAAAGGCTAGGCTGTCTACAGTGCGCCAGGTGTATTTGCGCGTGGTGCCATGGCAACGGCGTGGGGGTCTTGGTGGCAATGGATATTAGTGGCCTGGCAATTCCCTTGAGAAGCTTTTCCCCTCTCTTATTTTGGTGCCAATTAACAGAGAGTGGACGGAAGGCGATGGGAAATTGTTGGAATCACGCTAACAAGCAGGTGAAAGTTGTAATGCAGCGTGATACTCGGAATTTGTCAAAAAGTAAAAAAATCTGTAGTTTTGTAGATTGTAGGTGTTTTATATTGTTTTTATCTTGTTTTTTACTATAATATACATTGTTTCTTGCCTAAAAACTCAGAAAAAAACCAAAAAGCTCAAAATTTTGAATATTGTAATTTTTTTGCGAATTTTTAGTGTTTTTCGATTTTCGACATTTTACCCATTTTTATTGCCAAATCAACACAATATTATCAAAAACACATCAAAAACAATAATAAAAATACCAACATCAAAGTATCAACCACTAAAAAATTCAATGGAATAATTTTTCCTCATTCCACGGCATCCCAATCGCTTACTCGTGCCGTTCTTCTAGTAAAGCAACCTGAAATTTGGCGCATAGTTTTTTGTCCGATTTAAATTCAAGCTATAACTTAATGCAAAAACTAAAATTAAACTCAAAAGTGCGAGTGCAACCTACTTCACCATTACCCGTGGCTGGAGGGATTTTCTCCTCTTTCAAGCACCCCAAATATTTGCGTAGCGGCCCCGCGTCGAAGTTATCAAGGTCATCCGGCATCTTAAGGAATTAGAAAAGGATTATTATATCTATTGATTACCTTTTTATCTTTAGTCTCCGGCATTAACAATACACAAAAACCGGCTAATACTGATGAAGCAGCCAAAAGTAGGCTGGGTGCCGAGGGATGGATTGCTTCCTGAAACACTAAAAATTCATTTTTAAGCGTATAACTTACCAATCTTTTTAAATATGGTGCAAGTACCGATCCAACGTCACCAATAAAAGATGCTAATCCGACAAAACCGTTTCTAAACTATTCATTAAAAATTGCATGCAACACAAACCTGACAGTTGTCGGTGCCATTTCCGAAACCATAAGCGGATTTATCCCCCAAGCGATACAATTCATAAACTTTGCAGCCAGCGCAAAAACGAGCAGGAAATGAGGGGAGCCTGAAGGTATTTATTAAAATTGTGTGTATTAAATTACCAGGTAAATATGCCGCACAAACGAGCGCGACACCCTGCATCATCAACGCTCCACAACTCACGAACCGTCGCGGAAAATAGTACATAAAGAATATTCCGAGTAGCCCGGCCGGTAGCTCGATCAGTCCGGATAGGAAAAATCCAGTCATTTTGTTCTCAGAAAGATCGGTGGAGAATAAAGATAAACCCCAATAGGTGGCGTTCATCACTGTGCTAAAAGAAGGCTAGGCTCAAGTTCCTGCTCAACTTACTAAACAAGCGCGTTCAAAAACATCTGAAGCAACAGCCCTTTGTGCCGGAAGATATCCAGAATGGTCCGTTTTGGAGCTTCAGTCAAGGTTTCGCGACGACTATCATCTTTACATTCAGCGAGTACAAGCTCGATCTTGTTGATGCGGCTTGCGGTTTTGATATATCTGAAGTAAAATAGCGTAGGAGGTGGTAAGTGGAGTTTAACGTACTTTTTCACTTCTGAATGCTTCCGATTTGTGATTAGCCAATGAATAGACTCCGGGGTAAACCAGGTAAGCGGAATTAAAAATATCCCAGGGGCCGAAACAGCAAAGTACAACATCCTCCAGTTTTCGATCCACAATTTTAGGAGTCCAGCCATCATATAGCCAATTACCTAGAATTGGAAATAAAGGTATGCAAATTAAGACAGTTCTATACCCAAATTAGTGTAGGCAAAAATGGAAGGAAATCCCGGAAAGCCGTAGATACGGATTCGGTGCTCAACGTAAAAGCTGTAGAGACAAACCCCTGAAAATTCGGGGCTTATGATTTTACAAAATGAAGCATTACCATAGTCCCAAAGCCAGCGAAAAATCGTAGAACCAAAAACAGAGTATAATTCGGAACAAAAGCTGCCGCTAGGTTGCTAACGACAGATAGGTAGAGCGGCCAGAGAAACATCCGACGTCTCCCAAAAATATCGGACATTTGGGTAACGATTGGGGAAGCTATCATCCCGCCTAAAAATCGTAATCAAATTCATGCTAATTTTGATGTCTTTACCAAATAGATAAATTGATGATGAATGTTCAGTCGACTCAAATTCGTCACAAACCAAGTCAAACTAAACGAAAATGTATAATTTAAGTTTCTAAAAAACCTGGGAAGTTAAAGAGCCGTGAATTGTCGTGTTGTACTCGTAGGTGGCGCCCGGAATGTCATTACACCGGATTTTCCAGCCATTTCCGTCAAGAATTGTACATTTATCGGGTTGGGTGTATATCTAAACCAAAAATCAAATTAGCTTTCGCATGCTAATTTGCATACCAAAGCCCTATTGTCCGGATTCGGAATCTTGCAATGAAAATCGATATCCTCGGTGATAAATGGCATCACCATCATATTCATACAATACAAAAGCATTACAATTGTAGTCACGAAATAGGAAAACATCTAGAGAATGTAAAATTTGCGTAGACGTAATATTTTTCACACCTGATAGCGTCCAAATCTACCATACGCGGTTAACACTTTGTCCGGATCTAGATGAAAATAAGACCCAAACGTATTTGCGTGGGGTTTTGGGTTTGCTTCCTAAACGAAGAATTAGTATAAGATTAGCATAAAAATTTATACCATTTCTATCTGATTCCCCTTCGACTCATTACCATCCATCTTTTCTAAAAACTCTTAGAATAGAGACAAAAAGGGTAAATTAAGTACACAACACTTTGAAAGTGAAAAGCGGAAATAGATGCGCACGATGTGAATTCCCGATCGTGATCAAACCGGTGGTAACAACCCCAAAAACTCGGGTGCAATTATTCTCCCCCGCATCGCAGTTCGCCCTCAACAAAATGTGGCAAATTCCAGAGGCAAATGGCAAGCGGTAGCGCGTGTCAATTAATGGTTTACAGCTGTCAAAATTTGGAGATTGACACCTAGAGATTTTGGGTGCAAAGGATAATTTTGAATTTAAAATGGAAATAGTATAAAATTAGCTAAAAATGCGGTTAGATTTAATAATTTAACAATCAGAAATATGAATCAATGCCAGGCTAAGTCTAGCCTATAACCAGAAATAACCATATATGACGGAAAAAGTCGAAAATACCATGTCTGAGCCCCGACCCACTGATAAGCCGCATGTCGTATATTTGGCCATTAGGGTCAGCGCCCCCCGTCTTTTTTCACTGTCTAACCGTCAATTTATGAGGAAAAAACTGGCGAACTGTACCTCAAAAATATTAATGATCCAAACGTAAAACAGTGACCAACCACAGCGCCCCAATACTTTATGTAGACATCAACTTTGCTATCAATCGCAATCAGGCGCGGCTTAAAAGTTTATCCCCCCATAAATGGGCAATCAGAACTTGGAACGAGGAAGGGGAAAAGCGGAGAACGCCCTGTTGGGACGGAAAAACCGTTAAGTTTTTGTTATTTGCAGGTTTCCGGTTGGCGGTATCGTCCGGGAAGTCTGGAAGCTGGCATGGTCGGGTGAGCCTGGAGAGCTGAAAGTACGAAAACCTGGCCTGGTTGATATATTTGAAAGACTCCAAGGCGAGGATTTTTCCAAATTCGCGTCAGCCAGTCGCGCTCGTCAGAATTTCGCCCTGGACTCATTCGAACCGGCTTGAAACGCGGATTCCGAGGTGGTAACTGGCATGGCTGTAGCATTGGGTTTGTGACCTTTACAATTTTTTTGAAGCTGCAACTAGGCCCCGGGAAGTTGCAACGTCAGGTATTTCGAGCCTCACCTTCACCTTGCCTCGGGCCGACTTCCTTGGTCGTTTTCGTTCCATTTTTCCTACAGTCAGCCATTCTGACAATCGAACCTACCATATTTTGAATTCCAAAGCCACATCAGAAGTGACCTTGACATTTTGTTTTTTAAATCCATAGAGAGACGAGGGACGTCAAGAGAAGGCGAGTGCAACATGGCACGTCCACACCTGTCTTTGTCTCGGCTTCAGATGCCGCTCTGGCTTCAGTATCTTCAGATCAAGCCGTGGGACGTGTTTGGGGATACGCCAGGTGCATTATCATTTTCGAAAATCGATCCGGCCCCTAAACAAAGTCTGCGCATTCAAAAGATGCCATTCGTGTCGCAATTCTCGTTATGATAACCTGCAGATGGACAAAGGTCAGGCAAAAACAGATATAAAAGGAAGGATAGTACCAGAATACCATATCAGAATTGTTTTCCGCTTTCGCAAACGTGGGCCTGCCTGCCTGCCTGTATTCCTTAGGTTCCTGGTGTTTTCGTCATTTTAACGTGTGCAACTCTCACTCGCTCCCTCTCTTTCTCTTTCCCTTTACTTCTCTCTTTCTCTCTGGCGCTCTCTCTCTCTCTCTCTCTCTCTCTTTCAGTAGCTCATCTCTCTCTCTCTCTCTCACTCACCTGCCCGGCAAAATGATTACGCCATCGAATTCCCTCCCCAATTCCCTCCGCAGATTTTGCTAGGCTATTTCTTTCAATGTTTCTCAAAAATCCCCGCTAGCCCGCCTTTTCCTAATCATAGTTTGCTTTCAAATATCCTTCTCACTATCAACGAAACTCGTTCAAACATTCTGATGCTATTTTTCCACCAATTTTCACGTTTTTTTTTACAGATTTCAAGGATGCCCTCGTCCTCGCAACCACAACCCGCTGCCAAGAAGCAAACTAAAAAACCCGAGCAAGCCAAGTGTGATATTGAGGGATGCCAATGCCAGGATTTTATACCCTATATTCCGCCAGGACCCATGCCTACGGTCAGTTTTTGAGATTAATTTTGAAACAGATTAACTCTACTGAACTTTTTAGTGTTTTTAATAAAGTCAGGAGCTATATTAATCCATATCTACCCAAACTAGCTAAAAAAAAACAAATTTTTTTAGCCATGGATGGCGCCAGTCCAACGTGGAGTCGACAATCGGAATAAGTAAATCAGTCGTATTCTCGGTAAAGCAATAAATTGTACTTTGCCACAATTTCGGACATTTTTTGGAGATCAGCATACAAACCTACATACAATTAGCGTTGGGAAAATTTGCTGCAGGTGCAATTAGCGTTCAGAGCCAACTTGAAAGCTTGCGCTTCAACGCTGCAACACTTCCAATCAAACTCTCAAAATCGCGATTATGGGTTTGGGGTTTTGTTGCATCACCGGGTTGTGCTCGTGGATTTTTATCGAAGCGCTTTTTCGCTTGCGAATACCTTTAAAGCCCGATCTCGAAATCCCGCCTTTTGACACCTTTCCCACCCCAAATCCAGTGCATCGGATTTCCAGTTTACTATATGACGCCCCATAGGCGCCAACTGAATGGGTGGTTTCACAGGAAGAGGTGAGAGAGAGAGAGAGAGAGAGAGAGAGAGAGAGAGAGCGAGAGAGAGCGAGAGAGAGAGAGAGAGAGAGAGAGTGAGTGAGAAAGAGATACAGTGGATACGTTGAGAAGCGTGTCTGTGACTGTCCATAGTATCGTCGCGTCCCCGGAGGGCGATTGTCCCAGTGACCTTATTATCACTGATCGCAGGCCGCCGACAAAAGAGAAACATCCAATCCTCGCGACGCCTACACCATCCGCCTCGTCCTCCGCATCCCCCTCGATCTCTTGCTCACACACCTTTCTACCGATCCGGATATCCTCCGGGCGCAGATCGGTCTCGTAGAACGATCGATGGATCGTCGTTTAGGATTGGATTTAAATCTTATATTTGTTGTATATACCTCTTTGTCTAAGTTCTATTTTTAGTGATGCGTTTATATTGGGTGTTTTTGATTTTGGAGTACGGTACGTTTCCCGATTGTTTCGATTTTTATGGTTTTACCCAAAACACTCGTTGAATTTCCGATTGTTACAGTAATCTTGAAAGGTTATATTTGGTATGCCAATTTAAAGGACCAAGTAAGCCTGTTATATCGTAAATTTCGTGAATCCGCAATATAATTATATTCAATTTTTGCAAAAATCGCTCGTTCTTGTCCGATTGATATGTAAATGTTATCCGTAGCGTCGTGATGAAAATCTTTAATTTTTCACTAGATTTTTTGTATTTTAATCTTTAAATAGTTCTTATTAATTTTTGATGCTAGCCTGATAACCGATCAAAAACCGCACTAAACACTCATCTCCCATGTTCACTCCCCCGATGATCCAGTGTAAGTAATCGCTTCCGGTCTTTGTATTTGTTCGTTAGACCCTTCCCCCCTTTCCCTACAGGTCGTCTTGGTGGGATGGATGACACCAAGGGGGATTGCTGGCAGGCGGCTCTAGAAGAAGCTGCACGAAAAAATGGGGCAAATCCGGATCTACGGGGATGGTAAGGGCCCGGGCAGCAGGCAGGGGGCGTTCGGCCCTTCGCGCGGCTCTCCGCAGCCCGATCCGCGCGCTATCCGCATCCTCCACGCGGACGCCTTTTTCAGTCGATTCGAATTTCACGTGACGTTTTGGGATGGGTCTGGAATCATCACAGATTTTTTGTTTATTTTTGTATTTGAATCAGCATTTTCTTTTCGGCAAAATATCCAAATGCAAAATTCCTGAATTTCACTATTTATTCTCATTTTTCTACGTTATCTCGACGTTTCCGGACCTAAAGCTCGTGCGCAATTCTGATATGCTTGCTTGGGTTGTCGTCGCGTTTCCCTTTCATCCCCAACTGCCGGGGCTGCAAAAATTTTATGACCGCATCCGCAGCGTCGGCTATTCGACCGGTGGGTGGGTGACCGAATTGCCTAGTGGGGCTTTCAAATTCGTTAAACGGGTGTTGATATTTGATACCTAGAATTTTATGGGTATTTATATACCTTACTCTGCGATTTTCACGCAGGCACTGGCAAAAACCGCTATATTTTTTGCTAAAACACGAATTTCGCGGCAAATTTACACGTTTTAATTTAATATCTAAATTTCTCATTAAAGTAGGGCCTTAGATTTTACTAACACTGCGCTGCTGCTTGACATGTAACGCCATAATTTTTAATATTATTTCCTAGCCCTTTAGCTTCATTTTTCGAGCGCATACACCAACAAGTTGAAGCGTTTTCGACAAGTTCAACCCGGTTGGCATATTTCTAATATTTCCAATTAACGAAAGTGCCAGCCATTGCCGTGGTGTATGTGTTTATGTGTGGAATGGCTGGAGTGTGATGATGATGATGGTTTGCTATGGGGGGCTGGTGGCCCGGGGTGTTTGCCTAAGGATATTGAGGTCTTTGTGCCGGCCAGCCGGAGTGCCTCGGACATCTTGAACCGCCCCATATCTATCAACAGTCCATGCATGACCTATTCGGGAACTGGTTTAGGTCTTCTAGTTTTCTAGGAACCAATTAGTTTGTTTTGTTTTTGTTTATGGCATCTTTACGTTGAAATCCTGTCATGCTCCTGTCACGCTCCGTTAAAAATCGTCTAAAAATGCGGATTTTCAGCAATTTTTTGTTCATTTTGGCTATGTGTTTTAAATCTTGTATTTAGTATAATTTACTAGTTCAAGAACTGGTTTTTAAGTATGGCTTTCTAAATACAAAATTAATTAGTATTTGGTTTTCTAAATCCATGTATTCAGGTTCGAATCCTCCTCCTGTCACGCTTCCTTTAAAAACTTGCTATTAGGTTGGAACATAAGTTCGCGCGATCGAACTTTGGAAATTTCTTTCTGAAAATTTAGTGGCCAGATTCCGATGTTCCCTCTTTGCATTTATCTATTGGGTTCATGAGTATGTGGGTCCAAAATTACAGGTTTTTAGCCCCAGTAGTTTTGAAGATTTTTGCGTTTCTCTCGAGGGCACTTCAAATTTTTGACCCGGACATCTTTCCGAACCGCCATAAAGTCACCATAGGAACTGATCATCACTATGATAATAAGTTATATCTATCGGCTGCATGCCGAATCAGCCTAAAAAGGAAGCCAAATTTGTTTTGTAAAGGCGGGCCGAGGCGATTTTTCATTTTCGCTTAAATCTGGCTTTAAAAAATTCTAATATGGAAGCAACGCCCTTCCGTCCCACACATCGAATAGAGCATTTTATTGCATATCCGTTCAACCAAAAAACATTTTGGTTCTTGCCCGTTTTCCGCTCCGAAAATTACAAAGAAAGAAAAATATTGCACGAACTTTAGTTCCAACCTAATAGATCGAATTTTCCTGAAAAGCGCTCTTTTTTTGTTTGATTTTATATAAATGTTTTCTTGTTCAATTTTGAATTTTAATTCCAATATCTCGCCTTTAGTAAATTATTTCCAGGCCTGGCGCTCTTGGCCTAGTGCCGCCCCAGCCGCCCCCGAATGCTCGACCCCGCCCAATATAAGGTATCGAAATTCAAATTAACTAAATTATTTGAAGCGGCCATCTACCAAAATTTTTTATGTTTTCAATTTTTTAGGTCAACCGGTTCCTGCAAGACCTCGGCGGTGAGCAGACGGATTCTAACGATGATTTTAGGCATGTAGAAGTTAAAAATTACGTTTATAAAAGCATTTTTAGCTACTCTTCCCTATCACGGAGTAGCGTCGATGCCAATGAATCATCGAGAGCTGTCAACTTCCCGACACGAGCTCAACAAAAATTGTCTGGGGTTGGAAAAATCCTTATTTTTCATTAAATTGTTTATTTTAGCCAGCAACCGATCCCCTCCACTATGTGACTGCCCAATCCGCTGCTATGGCTTTGGCTGAGCATGCAAAAACGATCATGAGCATCAGTGAGCAGCAGAATCGGCGTAGGAATCAGCAGGTCGAGACGACGGTATGTTGCCATACCTTTAAACTACATTGAGTCCGTTTTTAGCCCCGTTTTGAAGAAGAAGAGACGTGGATGTCCGATTTGGACACCTGGCGCCGGAAACGTAGGCAAAAGAAAAGCGATGATTTTGTCGAAGAATCGGAAAAACCGGAAGAACGGCAAGTTTAGCTTAAAAATGCAGCGACGATTCAAATTTTAGATTAAGTTACCAGCCAGCAGCCCTCCGTTCAAACCCGCAAAAACAAAAAGTGAGTCCAGTGAGTCCAATCTGAAATTTTGCACCCTCCCCCCACTTTGATAATCGTCCCCTCAATCGCTATAAATCCCGAACAACACCAAAAATCCCGTTTTGAGAAGCATTCCCTCACTCTCATCTTCATTCCGGATATCCAAATCCGGGCTGACAATGTTGCTGGAAGCTCTGATAAGTGCGAGCTTTCTCTTGCTCTCGTGCTCCCTTGCGCTTTCTGGTGCCTTTAGGGGGGTGGAGCTGAATCCGGAGAAGGGGAGGAAGAGGGTGGGTGGGGAGGGGAGGTGGTGCTGAAGGGTGGAAATGAGGTCAGGGTGCCGGTGATCATATCTCTTCTATTCGCTTTTCTTCGCACCATCATCCACTAGAAGGGGAGCACGACTTTATTCTAAGGACAAGTTCTTCGGATTCTGGAGTTTTAGGTTGGTCTATACCACATTTTGAGTAGATTTAAAGTCGGCCGTCTAACCCCACAAAAGCTTATCAACCGGACGTCCATCCGGGGCCAACTTTCTGATTCATCCAGTTTTATAACCCCCCTTTCTTCGCTTCTCAACAACTTCACCCTTTTCCCCAGATTTCAAATAGCTGAAGCTCACCTCAAACCAGCAAAGAACCTCTTGAAACACGCGTAATCTCCTCTTTGCCACAGTTAGAGCCCACATCTTCTCTATTGGCTCTTTCTACCCCTCCCACCCAACTAACTGTTCGTTCTGTTGACAGAGCATTTCTCTTTACTGCCCCTCACCATCTCCCCTCCCCTCCCATACCCTCCCTACCTAGGGTCTGATATTCGGCACTTCGCCTCTAGATTCTGTATTCTAAAATATTCTAACAAAAATCCATCTATGGATTCGGACCGTGTCATACTCCCACGTCCAATCCAAGAGCTCGATTATTCGGATGGCAGTCTTCTCAGCGATGATGAAGATTCGGAGGCGGATCCCAGAAATGATGACCTTAGCCCGAGACCGCTAGGCGATGTTATTGACGATGATGAAGATGACGAGCCGCATACCCTCAAACCCACCGATGAATTTGAATATATCCCGTTTGGGGCCATGGCCGCCCAACCCACCCCGCCGACCCAAGATCGAAAGCGGATATACGCCAGTCCAAGGGCGAGTAAGAAGAAGTCGGCTCAGGCTGCGGCAAAACCGAGTCCGCCTCCAAAGCCAAAATATTTGAAGAAAATGCCTGTCTCTCCGCCGCCTACCGCTGACTGTCGGCCGCTAAGCCGTGATTCTGGGATTTCTGTATGCACCAATCCGAATTGTCCTTATTCGAGTGGGCAGCATGTTTTGAGGATTCAGATATTTCCGGTAAGCTAGTAGACAACTTCTCGAACTTAGCTATTTCATAGATTTTTTTGATGGCCTACTTTATGCAAATTAGGGCGTAATTAAGTTTTTGACGCTTAGAAAGCCAGTTTTCATCTATTCTAAACAGCGATAGCTTATCCTTCTGAACTTCTCCCTTGATGAATCCCAAATTTGCGCCCAGAATCAATAATAGGCAGCTGTTTGTGGCCGGCCAAATCTCTCTGTTGGCGAGTTTGCTTGAGTTGTTTGGATGGCCTACCCACTGTTTGTCCCTTGAACGTTCTTTCAAGAGAAAAAAAGGGTGTCTCCGGGTTTTCGAGGTAGAAGCAGTGGTTCTAGCGTATTTTAAAGGGACAGAGAAGTCAAGAATTTTGTTGAGCAAGAGCTCATACTCCACCTCCCCTACTAACTAGTCTCCCCCACTATCTGATGCTGTGGTCTTGTATCTATCCCTCCCCCCCCCCTCAGAGGCAAAGCGGGAATACGTGGTGAAAGTAGTCTTCCACCACCCCCGATCGCAATCGGTGATCTGGAGATCTGGTGTGAAGGAGGTGGAATGAGGCTGTAAATCCGAGCCCCACCCGCTCGGCTCAATCCTCTTGCTCCTCACTCATTCCATGGCTGCTTCTTGGCCTCGACTCGAGAAAGTCCTCCGCCAACAATATCACCCCAATCCGCCTTCGGCTAAATTTGACTATTTTCCATTTTTGCCTCCTGGAGATCCATTTTTATCTTATTACCCTAATGATATGCCCGGGGTTCCAGGGTTTGCCCCCATTCGCTACTATAAACGATTAGAGGCGGTTCCCCAACTTCCGGTTCATAAAAAACCTACTCCAAAACCGCGTGCTTCAGTTCAGGGGATTCAAAAGAAACCTCCAATCTATTCTGAAGTAACGGAAGTTAAGGCTCAAAAAATTAGTCTTCCTGATCAATCCCAGCTTCTAAAGCTAGCTTCCAGAACGACGACAAAGAATTTTAAACCCCAGAATTGCGCTAAAAATTCTAGTCCAACGACCAAAGTCCCCGAAAAAGACCTCCCAAAACGGAAACAACACAAATACACCTGGAAAAAGGGACGCAACATCCTGGCGAAGCTCGGCATCTTTGAGCCAGAAGTCGAGACAGTCCTTGAAATTGAGGACACCGACTTCAAATTCTACGACGGTAGAAGTAATGGCATACATTATGCTGTCCCAGCTGAACCTGTTATTTATGCAGATGTAGTTAACGAAAAGGTGGAACTGACCAATTATTCTGAGGTCCCAGACAATACCGTACTCATTCCGAAGTTAGTCGATGTTCTAGAATATTCTGACGTCTACGAGACCCCGAATTTTGCCGAAATTTGCTATACGGATTTGAAAGAAGAGGGGGTGGATGTTAATGGGAATCGTATATTCTTTGAAAAGACCATTCCGTCAAGAAGAGAGTATGCCGAATGTACCGTACCTCAGCGTAATGCCGCCAGGATTGTAGTAACCAGTCGACATGGGCGGCAGTTACCTCCAGTTTTGAGAAAAGTCAGATTTTAAAGCTTTTTTTATTGGTTTGGCTTTTCAAATCTGGGGTGTTACGTGTCTCATGATTGCTCATCGCTTATTTTTCGCGAGCAACATTGTTTTGTCGCGGGATTTCCGTCTCATTCCTAAATTCAGTCTTTTTGGGCGTATCGATACCTCGATATCAACATCCCAAAATGCTTTGCCGAGTAGCAGTCCACCCTAACAATATGCACACCCGCATCACCGTTCTCCCCGGCCTACAGGTCGTGATCTTGACTTTTGAGCACGAGTGCACCCCCGGGCTCTCAGAGACATACAAACATACCAATACACCCAGACGATGAGCACGAGCATGCTTTTTTGAGCAAGAGCCAACGAGTGCGAGTGTGTGTATGCTGGGTCGAGTCAGGGGGGATAATCCGCGAGTGGCGGTTTTGTGGGTATGTATGTGAGTGTGGTATGGCGAGGGCGAGAGTATGTTTGGCACAAAGGCCTTCGATATAACGAGTCTCGACAAAAAGCATCGATTTGATGGCTTGATGCGGCGGGCACAGGGGCGTGTGTGTTACTGGCAAATGGTATTACACTGTACTCGGTAGTTTTCGTGCTTGTTTACTTTTTGGGATACGGTTGGGTATTTGAATATTTTTAAACGGGTTGATCCTTGAGTTGACTCTGTTATACTGTAATGATATATAGCTTTCTAAAGCATTTATCTAAGCTATATCTTAGACGTAAAGCTACAAATTATTAAAACCTGAATTCAAATATATTTTTCTCTTTTTAGGACTCCAAAGAAGAAATCTACGACGTCCATTCCCCGACCAGAACTCAGGATTCCGGCCTTGGCCAAAACCGACACACCCCCTCAACCAGCACCGAGCTCTCCCCCAGAAGTAAGAAAATTGAGATCATTTTAGATTCAAATTTAGGTGAAATCAAATCCGAATACGCCAGCCCTCAGCCGATAGTCAGGTACAGTATTCGATGAAGTTTTTTTATATTCGTTCTAGAACCGAAACCCCTCCCCCCGACCACGCTCCTCCACCCCCCTCCAGCTGTTGTGGAAGAAAAGGGATATTCGGCTGAAGATAAGCAAAGAGCCAGGGAGAAGCTTGATCAAGTAAGAACTTACCTATATTCTAAGTTTGAGTTTTAGGTCCTAATCCCAATCGCTATCGAAAAGAGTCGATCTCGAGGTATCATCAATACCAGATCGGTTAGTGAAGACCAAGAAGAATCGATAGCCGAACCTGCACCTCGTTCTTTGACGCATTTCGTACCTCCTAAGGTAAATTTCGGCGTTTCTTTAATTAATACATATTTTTTTAAGAACGAGGTCCACGAAAGCGTCCACTTTGCGTGTGCGAGTGAGCGAGAAGAAGGCGCCAGGGTAGAAGCCACGCTTCATCTGACCCCGTCTAGCCCGAGGCAAGCTGTCGCTAGGAATTTCTCAGCTTACAAGGTATAAAAAGCTCAACGATTTTTAATAGAATTTCTACAGCCTATCCCACTCGAGCGAGATCGTGAAAAGAGCGTTCTGGTTGAGCTGACCGTCGAACTGAATCGGGAGCAAAACGCGTTGATCTCCACTCACAAGTATGTATAAATTTGTAGATTTTACGATGGCTTTTAAGGTACCCCCAGCGACAACAGCAAGAACGAGCTGTTTTAAGTCACAAAGTGCCTGCCGTAGCCCGAACGCCTCCAACTATGGCCCCGCCTGGATCACTATATCGGGCTGTCGACATTCCGTTTGATGACAACTCAGCAGCGGTTTATCAGCCTCCAAAGCAGGAATATACATCTAACAAAGTTGGTGTTTTTTTGCACTTTTAGACTTAAACCTTTAAAACCACTAATTTTTTCTCTTTAGAATGGCAACTTCACCGTCATCATGGAAATGGGCGCCCAACCGGTACACAAAGGTTTTGGCATGAATGTTCAGACAGAACGAGGAGAACCAATTAAGGTATTTGAACACCTTGATTTACTTAACCTTGCCATCAGGTCGAAGCCGTCCTTGTCGGAACTCCAGCCGACCGTGCTGGTCTCCAAGTTGGTGACCGAATCACGTCGATCAACGGCGAAGACGTCATCGACGCCTACCCGTCGGCCGTCAATCGCATGCTACATGAAGCCGCGCGACTTGGAGAAGTTGAGCTGAGAGTGATGAGGGAGAACACCGGTAGATGAACCTTCCTCCTCAACCTCTAATTTTTATAGTTCATTTCAAAACCAACACTCAGCTCCAAAAGTCCACCTCAGCTACGTCGTTCGACAAGACGCGTAGTATTTTCCAGGTATGGAACTGAGTTTGGCTTTTATATAAAATAATATTTAGGCATCCGACCCCCTACCACCAGCTCGTCCTGTGGATCGTAAAGGACTCGGTGTTATGAATAATGGTATCGATCTCCTGAACTATAAATTAATTCCAAATTAGGTATGCTGCGACAGGACTCGGCACTCTCCCGAAATTCGCAGAGCTCAATTTCTTCTGGGCATAGCGAGCATCGAGGATTGGCGAGGTACGTTAATACTTTTTTTAAAAATAATGATAGATTTAGGTCCTCAACCGGAAACCTGGCTTACGATCCTTATCGTGCACCTGAGATGTCGCAAAAGCGGGATCAGTCTCCGGCTCCGATCATCGAGTCAGGATTTAAGAAGAGCTATGGGGTCGAGGGGGATTATCGGTTGGTTTTGATACTTTAACCTAAAATCTGGGTTGCCCTAGATGCATATTTAAAAATGTATATTTATAGTTTTGATTCTATATTTTAGTATCACTACAAGCATGGGGAAGCAGGGACCTGGAAGACTAGCAAATTTCGTACCTGAGGTCGAGCGCGATGGTCAAAGACGGGAGATCCCGAGGAAATACGATGATGGTAGGTATATTTAAAAGCTTAAGTTTTGAAATTTATGCATATTATGCAATCTAAGCTATTCTAATTTGTTTTTAGATCTAGAAAATGAATCGAAAGAAAGTGACGACAGTGTCCCGCGAATCATCCGCAACTACGATCTTCGACAAACTCCAGCTATCGTGAGTCCATAGCGATTTTCTTGACTTCACAACCCCTTTAAAAACCATGCCAAAAGTAGCTGAACTTCCAGTCCTACAGGCAACCACCATCCCCCCGAAAACGTTGTGTCTATGGCAGTGCGTGGCCAGCCTGAATCACCACTAAAAATCCCCTCCCTTCCCCCGGGAGTGTATCTAATTCGAGATGACGCACTTTTTACAATGCTCAAGCTGCATTTCCGGCTTGTTCTTCAACCTTAAAGCATTTAAAAAAAACACATTTTAGGGCCCACCTCGACGAGTACGATTCCGTCCGGTAAACCCCAAAAATTAAGACTATTAGTCGCTAGTGCTTCCCCGATTTTTCGTTGCGCCTCCCTGACCCTGCCTAGCTGACTTTGAGTTTGAGAGCATGGACGACGCTGTGTCAATTGTGAATATTATTTGCAGATTTAATTTTGAGTGTGGTTATGAAGAGTTGGATGTTGTTTTAGAGCCAATCGTTTGTGCTGCGCCGCGATTCGGATGACGCATCGGTGAGCGCCGTACTGAAGAGGTCGACGTTGCCGCGGAAGGTGAGTTTATTAGAAATGATTCGTCTCGAAAACTGGATTCAAAGCAGCGCGTTTTGAAGCAAAAAAATGAAACAAAGTGTTTCCGCATGCAAATTTAGAGATTATCAAATTATGGGTCGTTCAAAGCTGTCCGTGTTTGAATTCGTTACAGCTTCTAGATATGGTTGAATATATCGAGGAGGCCACAAAAAGCGAAAATTCGTAATTTCAAAATTTTTAAAGCAACCGCAACGCAGCATTTCCGTTGCGTAATGCATTAAAATCACATCTTGCTGCTAATGCGTTGCAAATTTTTCATCTGGCAAAATCTATAGGTAATTCACTTGCCCGTCCCTTCAAAACATGAAAATTTCCTTTTGAGCGCTTCAAAATGCCCTTAACATTACCTCCAAGAAAATTACAATGACGATTTTAAAGGGGAACAGACAGCGTAGAAAATCTGTAATCTGACCACCTCCCACACAACTTTAATTAAAGTCTATATTCTGCTCCTTGACCTAGCCTTTTTCGAACCCTTCAGTTTTTTCGCCCGACAGCAGACAGTAGCCACCTACGAACAGTTTGCCATCACGTCAAGTGCCCACCTTACTCAATTTCCACACCTCTCACTCCCCCCAATCCAACCATCAACCATCCATCCATGAAGACGTTGCCCAAACATGGGCCCCAGCCGACCCCCGGGTTTTGAAGTGTGTGTGTGCCGCGTTGTCTGCCCAAATTCTGACTTCACCAAATAGACCTAAAAATGGGGGTAAGAGAGGGGGGGGTTGGAGACACACGGCATTTTTGTTGGTATTCGGGGCGTCGCCGGAGCGTTGACAGTATTGGGGCGGAGCAGGGCGTCATTTTTGGCTTGGCCGGAGCCGTTTAGTTTAGTTTTTCGGGGACGATGGCTCTCGTTTACGGAAGATGTCTCATCGCTTGCCAATTTTGAGTGTGATGACTTTTGTCGTCAAGTCGCTCCTGTTTATCTGATTTAATTTTGCGCTTTTCGACAGTACTTTTCAAGCGTTTTCACTTGATTCCGGGTAGATACTCTTGATTCTCAGTCCTTTTATGGCTGATTTTTTGGGTGTCTTATACGTAGAATTTGAATTCTACATTTTCTATAGTAGTTTTGGAACTTTTTCGCTTAATTCCGAGACTATACTCTTTATCCTGCTTTTTTCTCATTGATTGTATTCCTATTTTAGCCCCTAAAAATTTAGAAATGCCCACCCAGGGTGTCCATCGTATCGTGATAGACATTTGGCCGGAGGTAATTACCATTTTTAAGCGTTAAAAACATTCATAAAAAATTCCAAGCTATCTAGAGTACACTTTTCATCACCACGTCCAATTTATCCATCTCCCTAATCCGGTGGCTCACCCACAAAGCAAGAATGGTCACACGTAGCCCGTGCCAGTTGGGGTGTAGAATAGAAAACGGGTGGGCCCCCGAGTGGGCCCTTCTGGAGACAATAGTCTGCGTAACTCGGCGGCGCCTGGCCAGCTAGCCAACTACGCGCTGCTGCCATCGATTCTAGCTGATCTAACTATTTATTTATTAACAAATATTATGTAATGTAATGCCGACGTGTAAGCGGTTGATCTCTAAGCAAAAGGATGGGCCGGTTGTTGTAAGTGATACCGAAAAATTGGCATTTTTATCTTGCTTCATAGTTTTTCAGACGCAAATACATCTTAATTTTCTCAAAACGAAATTAGCATACATGTTACGATAGCTAAAAAGCATCCGCTTTCGCCTAAAAACTATTTTATAATTTATATGCAAAATTCCGAATAACCGAGTTGGGCTAATTGGCATAAAACTATTAATACTGGAGTTTCAGATGTGTTTAAATTTACGAAGAACTAATTAGCATACACGTTAGGATAGCTACAAAAACGTTAATTTCCGTCCGAATAAATCAACAAAAATTCAGTCATCCTGGCCTAGATATATGCGATAATTTGCACAAAAATAATTAGGCCTAGCTTTTTTAACCTCAAAATTATTGATTTCCCTGAAAACCCAATTAACATACACGTTACGATAGCACCCCTCCTTCCGTTTCCGCCCAAAAAATCACAACAAAAATTTGGCCCGCAAAACGCTTCCCCGCCCGCCGAGTTGAGTCACCTAGATGTTATGCCGGACCGTCGGGCGCTCAAAATTCGGCCCGGCTACATCGATTCCACCCCCACCGTGGCAATTTGCATCTCCCGGCGGCTCATGTTTCACCCCCCCCAACCCCGCCCAAAACAAAAGACGTGTCAGCAAACATGCAACACAACTACGTGACTTGAGTGCGGGGAATATTATAGACACGTGAGGGTGGAATTAATTAGAAAATTAAGGATTTCTAGATTTATGAAATTTATAAAATATTTTCAGGCTGGCACAAAAGTGCATACGGAATCTGGAGTCGAGGCGGATCCGGAAACCGGGCGGGATCTAATCGTGAGTAACTGTTTTCCGGAAATCGAGAGTTTGATGGCGGGAGATTTGCATGCCATTGTTGCCTGTTTGTTCCTGTTGTCCGGTCCGCTTATGCTAATTGCACGGGGAACTGGGGGTATATTTGTATTGTCTGGATGTTGGAATGGTTTATTTCTATTAACAGAAGGAAAATAACTATATGATATTTAAAAAATTCTATATAATTTTTTAGAACCAGATTTTAGTCTAGGGTGGCTTTTATTTGTTTTATGGACCAAATATGGCTTTTTCGTTCTAATCAAAAATATTAAAAATTTTTGCAGGACTTTTAGAGCTTAATTTTCTAGCTAAAATATTTTTAATTCTTTGTTTTTAAGGTTATTGGGCATTTTTTACGCCGTCTTTCCTGTCGCTATTCCTTTAAAACGCGCCGATTTTTTTCTAACCAAAATATAAGCCGAAATTAACTAAAAATTTGTTTTTATTCCGAAAATTCCAATAAAACCATCGGCCACCCGCGCCATTCCACCCCACACTGTGGCGGGCAATTTTTCGAGCTCTATTATTTGAAGGCACTAAGCAAATATGGCCGCGAATGGTCGGCACCCCCCTCCAAGCATACGCCATTTCCTCCCCTCCGTTTCTACTATTTCCAGCGCCCCGCGTAGCTGCTAGCCTTTCCTTTTGCTTTCTCCTCCTCTACAGCACCTGGTCCATCCATCGCATTGCATGATCGGCCCTGGGTTTCCATTTTTTCTATATTGTTCCGGCTGGATTTTTGGGCTCGGTTTAAAAATTTGGGATTAGCAAAAATCGGGGGCTGAATGAGTTTAAAAAGTTGATTCTTAGCTATTTATGCAAAAATCTGCATATTCTATTTGGAACTTCTATGAATTTTTGCATAAAAATTCATGCTTTTGCATCGAAAACTCGCGGATTTTCCAGCCAGTTTCAAGTTTAAAAACGATAAAAACACGAAAATAATGCATAAACCTGTTTCAAATGCAAAATCTTATCGTCAACTGGCATAATTTTTTAAAATTGGGCACTGCCGGAATTTTGAAAAACGCATTCGGAATTAGCAAAAAAATTCTGTATAAGAAAGGCTACTGTTCCTCATAAAACCTTGTTTCTAGTAAATCTACCTTCTCCAAAATCACATTTCCGCAATTTCCCTCTCCCGCCAACTTCAAAATCCCCTTCATCGAGCCAAAATCGCCTCGTAAAAGGCGCCAATTTCTAGGAAGAACGTTCACTTACTCCACCACCAGCACCACGGTCCCGCCACGCCTCCGGTGTGGCCATGGAGCCGGTGCAAGTCCTTCGTCCGCGTCGTTCCACCTCACAAGATTCTCTTCTAACAACCACCGAAGAGGTCTATCGCCGTTATGAATATCGTCGTTACACTCCCTCGATCACGCCGCGTGCTAGCCCTAATCCGGAACGTCCACAGAGTCGAACGCGTGTCATTCCGATCGTGCGACAAGGATATGACGACCGATCGAGGCCCCCATCAGCGCCAGTTTATCGATCGGCATCTGTACATGATGGCCTTCAACATGCCCATCCAGTGGAACAAGTTATTGAAAGGGTTACCCCAATCCCCATCGAACGACAATACAGAAGTCGCAGTCCCCCGAGAAGGGAATCGAGGGCCAGATCAACGGAGGCTATCCGGGAACCATACGAACCGAGAAGGGTCTATAATACCTACTACGAACCCGATTACGATGAGATCGATAATGACGGAGTATCCAGGGCTACGCATCGCTTCTACGACAGGGATGGAAGGGCGCTACGCAGGGAGAATCGGCGGGAAGAGCGCGTCGTGGAGATTACGAGGAGCTATGAGACGTTGGATGAGGTTGAACTTTTTAATGAGTTTTTATACATAGGAAAATGCTGTGAGATTCTATATCATATTTGTCAGGTGGTGGTGGAGAGGCATGGAATGTTGGTGGTGGTCAACCTATAATCTTTGTGTTTGCTAAGTTTAACCCAATTTTTAGGACCCCCGTGAATGGCGTAATGTGATCAAATCACAACGCCAAGCAGCCCCTGGACTTCCAAAGGATGATCAGAAGATTAAAGACGCTACGCAGAGCTTGGGGTATTTGAAAATATTTTTTTCTAATTTTTGATGATCTTAGCAACCTCCCCGTTTACATCAACAAACGACTCCGAGAGCAAGAAGACAAGGAGCTGGAAAACAGAAAATATCTCGATTCTGGACGTCGTGATGTTGAGGTATAGACTCGTACTCATTCTACTACTAACGAACCCCTTATTAGCATTGGGAACATGCGTCGTACACGTCTTGGGTTAGATTTAAACTTACGCTTGCTTCGCTTGCCGCTCGAATCCCTGCTTGAAGGCCTAAATTCAAATTTAAGGAGGATATGCGATACCGCAGAGCGGAGAAGGAGCGCGAGCAGAGGGAGCAGCGATATGCGCCTAGAAGGTGAGATAAATTTACTTGTTTTTATGCAAATTCAGCTACCGGGAGCCGAGCGTCGACCGTAACCAACCTGCAGCCAAGGATTGGAGGGAGCAGGTATTTTTTAGCTATTTGCATACAGAAATTTGCATAATTCAGAATGCAGTAATTTCTAGGAAATATCATACAGTTAGTTCCATATAATTAACATACAATACGTTTTAGGAACGCACCTACAACGGAGGACCAGCCCCCGATGGCTATTCCTCGCTCCACAGAAGCTACGGTACCGAGCAGCCGCAAAATCGGAGGTAAAAATAATCTAAATTTTTCATTCAAAAATATTTCAGTCGCACTGACAGCCGTTACGGTACCATGCCGGAAAAGCCGAACCGTCAACCACCGGTAATTCCGGCTTCTCGAGGTGGAAATCAAAGTTTTTGAGTCATTTATGCAAAATTTTAGACTCTGAACGTGACCAAATCGTGGCCGTCAGTGGAAAGCATCGTTGCGGGCACTGTGGAAACGAGCTGGGTTCGTAAATCGGAATTTTCGAAATTTTAACAATGCTCTGACTTTAGGATTTTGTTATTGCCGTTTATTATAGCGGTAAGAAAAATTACAGTAACTTTAAAAAATCCAAATAAATTATAGAAGGGCCTTAAGGTGGTGTCGCTAACAAAAATTTCATAATTAGTAACTAGACGGAATTTGGTAATGGTATAACTATAAAAAATTAATAGCTAGTCGAAATTTGGTAAAGGCTGAACTAGAAATTAATATATTAGTAATGGAATTCAATAACTACATTTCTTATTTAGGAAGAGGCCAGGCGATGATCATCGAGAGTTTGATGCTCTACTATCATTTGCCCTGCTTCCGCTGTTATGTTTGTGGGATTCAGCTAGGTATGTAAATTTACATAGGTATACCGTACCCAAAAATATAAAATATAATGGTTAATCAATACAAAATTACTGCAGGAAATGGAATGAAAGGTGCTGACGTGCGTGTCCGTGATCGCAAACTCCACTGCCAGAGCTGCTACAGCAACGATGCCGTCCAATTGAGCAAAGTGTAATTATCCTAATTTTCTCCATCATCCTACTGTAATTGTCATAATTGTCAAAATCATATCCACTCTCCACAATATGTGCAATTTGCTCATTTCTCCTAAGCCAATAACTCTTTCACCTAGCTTCAGTTGCCCCTGCCGCAAATGCCTTTGCTTGACCATCGTTTTCCCCCCTAAAAAGTGCCTAATTTTTAGCTGGTATGCATTTTCACTTAAAAATCAAATCAAGACTGCCTTAAGCTGAAAGCTAGAACCATCAAAAAATCAATGAATCCCTTATTACATTTGTAGTATTGCCCTTTGTCCGACCTGTGAAAAAGCTCGCCCCAATCGCTTTGCATTGCCACAAACCCGATTTATCACCCCCTAATAAGCACTTTCCTTTCAAAACGAATTTATCGCCAAATAAATTTATGTAGAATTATTTAGAACACCGCGTCGGGAGACAACAAAACACCTCGCAAGCATTTATCTCAAAAATATTAGAAAATAAGATTAAAAATAGACGCTAAAAATGGGGGTTGAAAATGGCGTCAAGGCACGTTGGAATGGCTTTGAGATCCCGTAGAATAGGGTTGACTAGAATAAAGGTATCTAAAACTTAAAATAAGGATTAAGGAGTTTGACCTTTTCCCCAAAACCAGGCTCAATTTCTGACGTCAAACTTCTCAACCTTAGTCTTTTGAGATCGATTTTGAGAACAATAAAGCCCTGAGGCAAAATAGACATCAAAATGTGAACAATATATACAACAATGACTACAAAAGCGTCTCGCTCTCATAGATCTCATCCTCCTCCGAAGGGCTGAGCGTTATTTTTGGGATGTCCGGTCTATTGGCGTGTATCGGGTCTTCCGGATGGGAATTTTCGGAGCCAGTTGCCGAGCCGGATGCGCGGGAAGCGTTCGAATCCTTGTGCTCGGAGTCGGTGAGGTGGACGGTCACTGTCCCGGGCACCGTATTGCTTCCGTTCTGGACCAAAAGGTACTGATTATTCGTCGAGCACGTCGTGAATTCAGTCTAAGGATTTTGATATCGAAAGAATATTAAATGTTAACGCTAATTAGCCTATTAAATTTATCGAGAAATTTGTTAATCTAATACTCACCGTGTTTGCCTCATCACTCAAGACATATGAAGACAACCGCGACCGTACGGCAGTACTTCTAAACCTAAACCTTTATGAGCCCCCCCAAATCTACACCTACTTTCTCGAGATCACATTACGCAACGTATTTGTAGCGTCGTCCGCTATACTCTTGAACCGTTTTCTTTGTTCCCGAGCGATTTTTTGATGCGCTTGTCGGATCCCTTAATGTTTACATTTCTAGCAATTTCTGATGCAATTTACCTCGATTCATTAACACAAATATGACTGGGTACGCTAGACAACTAACGTACGGTAGTAGATGGATGAAATATTGCACGATAATTACTGCAAATATATGGTTGCTGATTTTTTCAAGTTCTTACCTGTTTTTGCACTAAATCCTTGATCGCTGAGCACTTGGTTGTAGAACATTGTCACCCTACATCGATATTTATCGATTTTTGAAATTTGTATACCAATATGGTGACCAGCAAACAAGGTATACCCCGCAGAGCACGAGTACTGTAACAACGACTCGCTTGATGGCTGCGTCCATGTTTCTGGAGCAATATTGCAAAGAAAAACGCTAATTTCTTACGATGATGTTACAATTGAAGTTTCTGCTCGTCGATTCAAGAACATGGGCACGGAAATGTAGCTGAAAACGGCTTAATTAATGAAGCTAAAAATTTTAGTACCAATATAAAATCCCAAATAGCGGAATGGCATAGCTGGCAACACAGGCGACAATGTTGAACCAGAGTGCGACGTCTAGAACAATTATTAATACAGTTTTCTGGGATTTACATACCTGGTGGTGGCCAAAATCCGCATTTTCTCATTACGGTAATTTGTTTGGTCTCTTGGTTGACGCTCAGGTTTAAGTTATAAACCTAAAAAGACTATTTAAAATTTGTGAAGCGAATTTTTGTACCTGGCCATATTGAAATACTGGTCGGAGCACCAGCATCACCACATCGAGAGAAATGATAATTTGGGCTATTGCCCACTAAATTTAAAGGATAATTTGCATCGTCAAATCAATTAGCGTACCTTTATACTCGCCGCTCGATCTCTACTTCCTTTATTTTGACATACTGTAGTATAACAGGTTCTGCTGATGAGAAAGACGATGATTGGAGCGACGAATCTAGAGAATTTACGTATAAAAAGCTTCAACGTATTTTCTTACTTATTCAACCCGTCGAAAACTAGATACGTGATACAAGGGAGGTACCCAAATGGCCAGGTACCAACTACCAGATCGATGATTAGCAGTAACATGCCTGAAATTAGTGTTAAAAATTATCTTATGCAAATTGCCTACCAATCATGGTCATCAAATCAGAAATGCATAGGCAGAAAATGTAGAATAAAATGCTTTTCGGGACTTTTACTGTGTTTGCCAGTAGCAGGGGAGCGATCTAAAAAATTCGCATATACAGGGTGCGGAAAAAGTTTTGGGTGGCGCCTTTTTATTGCGAAAAATTGTCGTTCTAAGCTATACCGCGCTCATTTTGGGGTGTCAACATAGATTCGGACGTGCTTTATCCGATTCTGAGAACGGTAATGGTTTAAAAATTATTTTCCGCATGAGAATCGTCTTGGAAACACGGAGGCTCCAGAAACGGTACACATTTGGTTGTTATGAAATATTGGTTATAATGCTTCGGATCTTATCACCAGGCTTTCCAGGGTTTCGGATTATGATAGGCAGGGAATAAGCATTATCCCATGTAAAGCTTACATTTTTTGATCAGCTCTGCTAAACCCTGGGCACAATTGAGTTGAAAATAAGCAGCGTGCCGCGGTTTCCGGCTTTTCAACTTTTTGTGAAGCTCAACCTGCAGTTGTTTTAATGTATATCCCACAAATTTTGACGTCAAACATCTTGATTTAAAATATTCATATGCCTAATCTATCATTAATGTGGCGCTTCGCGGTTTATGGGCAGTAGGCCCCCCAGCTTCGCAGCTGTTTCCCATGTCGCTAGGGGAATTGCTCAGAATTCAAAGCGCCAGAACTCTCTGAATTTAAATTCAGAAACTTTGTAATATCATGGGGTGATGTAGGATAGGATTGGCAATATCTGGACCAATTCTCGTGAATTTCGGTGAAGAATGGTGCACAGGGCATACGGTAAGAGCAGCAAAAGCGCTGCGTGCCGAAGGTGATTTTAGCGCGACGCTTTCAGTGCATTTTCCCCCGAAAATTTCAAAATTTTTGTTCATCTGCTGGTGCCTAGTGTTTCTCAAGTTGCCCTTTCTTAGTCTCCCATTCAAAAAATCCAGGCTGGAGCACGCAATTTGTGAAAACATAGCTAATTCTGCCACCCAAAACTTTCTCCGCACCCTGTAGGGCTTGTCAATTTGAAGCTTACCACGTACAGCAACCATATATTCACCGCAAATCCGATGACGTTGAAGCAGGAGTATGTGATGGCCACCCATTGGCGCAAGCCCTAACAAAAAAAAATATTTTGCTTTTAAGAAATTTCTATAATTTAACCACGTTTTCCACTTATTCTTAGACCCTTTTAACCCCAAAAGCGCTCCCTAAACATCATGGCCAAGCCCTCGGGTGGTCACCGGATTTGAAGGTGGGGCGTCAATTCGTAGAATATTCCATGTGCCCCATTCTTTATCTCTCGAGGGTACGGCCATCCTCGGCTGCTAACCGGGGGCCCCCCACCTTCAATCATTCCCAGGGGTCTGCTCGAAATTGATTGGGAGAGGTAGAGAAGTGGTTTAAGGGGGGCAGGGAAGGTAAGGTATATTGCCTTACGCGATGGAAATCTTGCGATTATTTCGGGGTTTTAGCGCATTGATTGCATAACTAGCTGGGGTATCTAAATCTGCAGACAAAGCCGAGATGCCCAAAAAATTCCGACACGCAACCGGAAACCGCTCTTCTCCCTGGAATTTCAAAGTTTTTTGCTGAAACAGATATTCGGCTTTTGCAAGCATTCCTCTTTATTTTGGGTTAGTTTAATTAGACTTAAAAATTTTGAGTTCCATTACAACTTAAACCTAACCAGACCTAGCCTCTTTTGACTAAGGTTTTTAAACCTCCACACCCTTATCCCAAAACTCCACTGCACCACAAATTTCACGAATCAGGTAAACTGAAGTGCTTTGCCTTCGTCGGTAAGGATCTTTTTCGTCCACCCGGCACATCCACTTCTTGAGCGGCCGCTAATGAATGAAATTAGCCCCCTGCCGGCCCCGACTCTTCCGGGACCTTCCAGGCCCGTCTTGGGCCCTACTGAAGGGCCAGAATAAAGCAGACTCCAGGGCCCCGGTCACAAATCTACATCGAGCTTCTCATTGCGAAGACAGAGCCCGAGGGGGGAGCACGCACACGCCAAATTGGGCAATTTGCCAATATGGGCCCGGGTCGGGACCGGCCATTCAACAAAGCCACCCCCTCCAGAGCTGTCGTTTTTTGGGGGGGAAAGATGCGTGGTGCGGTGGCGGACCTGGCTTTTCCCTGGTCGTGGAAATTCGAGACCTCGGAATGAAGGAGGGACATTTTGAATTGAAAGGGCGTGGAATTGGGATGGGAAAAACTGCCAAACAAATTGGGATTAAAAGATTCATAGACTTTAAAAATCAAATTTTGCATTTTACACGAATTTTGATAACTCTAATGCCTCCCTGACTAATGAAAAGTTCATGCTATCATAAAATGTCTAAAAATCAAATTCCGCACTTTAAAATTTAAATAAAATTCCATTTTTGTATTTTTAGAGTTTTATAAAAAGTGCTAAGCTGCTGTAAAGCCCATACATTTTATCAAAATCTTGCATTTTCACCCCTTATTTTCGATATTTTCCTTCTTCGAAAAAATATCAAACGCAAAACCGACATAACATTTCAATTCCGACCCGAACTTCCCTCCAAAATGTTCGCAACCAAAAGTTCATTAAATTTTTGCTCCCCTCCCCCCCAACCCCCGCGAACCCCCATTATTCCCCCCGGGATTATTTCTGAACTCGGAATTAAAGCGAGCTCTCTGAATCCAGCGGACCAAAGTGCTACCCCGGCCTTGATCTTTGCAATGTTTTTTGAACCATAGTGAAGTTTACAAAATTTAATTCGTTGTTTACATTGTGCTTTTGGTGTTTTTTCTGAAGCCAAAATGGAATTTGTGAGGTCACCTGATGAGGGGGGAGGGGGCGAAATTAGCTTAAGCCCAAGGATGGGGTAGAACACTCTGCTCCTTTCGACCCTAGAGAAGCCCCTAACTAACAATAGTGGAAAAGGAAGTGTCTTGTTCAGAAGAGCGCCTTTAGAGCTCTCTAGAGTTTTGGGGACTATTCCTGTTCCTGGTCGTTTTTGAACTGCCATCATCAGCAGCCCACGTTGCCCCAGGACGGGGGGATGGGGGCCCATAAAAAAGCAGGGGCCATAATTTCGGGCCCGGCGAAATCGCTACCGGAACGAGCATCGCTGCCACGGGATGAAATTCGGGATGATGAGCAGCGTGGGCTGGATTGGAGAGTGTGGAAAAAAGTGGTCTATAATACTTGGAATATTGATTGAAATTGAATAGAGAGTGAGAGTCAAAATTCGAGAGGAAAATTGAGCGGCTGGATTGAGCATCAGGTAAATAAGACGAGCCAGGAGCTTGGAATGGAGCACGAGGTTCAATTTCGGAAGCAGGAACGGGCAGACAGACGAATTTTTGAAAGATTTTTGAAGCAAGCGTGGGTGTATAAATTGTTTACATTCTTGGCCGGAAGCTGAGCATAAGCTCCAAAATTCGGGTCATATTTGCGCCAAGAAATTGAGGAAAAATTTTTGCGGTAACCTGTTCAAAATTCAAAAACGCTTAGGAAATTTTTTTATCAAATTTCAAAGCGTGTTCGTTTCTATAATTTGCATAAGATTTTGGACTTTTGCTAAAAGTCGAAATCCAGAAACGATTAGTACCTGTATTTTAAACAGGATTTTTTGCGCAAAGCCAGCTTTTATGCAAATTATAAAGCCGCCGTTTTAGCTTAGCACCACCAAAACACCCGCTCAAAGATTAAGCTCGATGATGTGGCTAGGGTGACGATACCGATACGCTAAATTCGGGAGGTTCAGAAAAACGGGAGGAGAACCCAATAAACAGCCGTCTCCAACTGGGCCCGAGTCTCGAGAAGCCCAAAAACTTGGGTGGGACACACGACTCGATTCGTCGAGCAGTCGGCTGAAGTGCGGCCGAGTGGAAATACAAAGTTAATTGAGCGATGGATGGAGTGGAGTCACCCTCCCTTCGAAGGACGTTAGGAAAGGAGGGACATCCTGCCTTGGAGTCACATATACATACATTAAAGAGCTGGTTTGATGCAAGTCGGCTGCACCTTCAAATTTCGAAAATTTGTTCGGATTTTTGTTCTTCTTCAAATGCAGGATTTTTTGCATGCAAAACATCAAAATATGCATTTTTCTTAAGCTCATCCGCTGAAAAAAACACTTCAGACGCGATTTCCACGTAAAAATTTGAATAAGCTTCTGGCCGTATCCTAATTTATATGCAAAACACGAGGAACACATGCAAAATGCATCCTTTTTAAGGTCGGTTTGATTTGAATAAACCAGCTCCAATACATACACAAAAAATGCAACAAGTGGGGCGTTCGATTGAGCAATTCCGAGAGAGCCGTCTGCCCCCTCACAAAGTTCCTAGTGGTCTTTTAGGAGGTAAATATGGGAGATTTTCACTAAATTGCGCCCCCTCACAGCGCTAGGGGCTGCTGGTGGTGGTGGATGGGCGAGAGGGGCGGGGCCGTCCAGGGCTTCCACAAGCTCCCGGCGTCTTTGAAAAATGGGGCTCCAATTTTTTTTGGAAACATTTTTGGGGGTGGAAGCAGTGGTTTAAAAGAGGCTTATAGGTGGTTTTGGAACTGGTTTAGTCTAGGTTTTGCTGTCGAAGATTTGGTACTAAAATAACTACCAAAATTTAGATGCAAAAAAATTGTAAAAACAGGTAAGCCTGAAGAGCAAATTCTAGCAATTTGAAAAAACCGCTTTTAGCAGCTTTTTACCCAATTTTCTTGAGTTCTATGCAAATTAACTGAAGTTCCAAGCCACTTCAAAACTACGCCAATTTCCGCATGCCTCTCTAAACCCAATTTTGACAACCTAAATTGTTTTTTACTCAAAAATTCGTGCCTGCAAGGGGTCCCGGCGGGACAGGCAAGAAAATAATAGCTGCGAACACGATTCGTTTAGCGTTATGGCTCCCACGGGACCCCCGAATGGGCGCATTCAAAAAAGAAATTGAAAGACAGGTTTTTGTGATAAATGGGGGGAATTGAATTTTACATTATGGCGCGTTGATAGGAGGATACGGTAGAAATTCAGCTCCGGATTTATGGAAATGTCAAAGAGTAGGCTCTACTGCTTTAAGATTCTCTAGAAAAATGGAAAAATGAACCCAGAAAGGATATTTTTACGAAAAACAAGGTAGCTCAGAAGATGCTGTATAAAGAGAGGCTCCTCTCTACGCACCGGATTATCATTTTTTGTCCTATCCACCTCAGAAAGCTCAGAACAACCACAATGGGGTTATTCTTGGCCTTGATGACGAGACAACTCAGGCCAAACGCAACTTTTTTTTAATGCGCCCCCTTGGCGTCCAACATTTCGCGCATGGGTGGGCGGCGGGAGGGGTTGTGCGTAGAATTGTCGGTGTTTTATTACCTCGGCGCGCTTATATATTTTTTTTAGGGGCAAGAGGAAAAGAGAGAGGGCGAGAGAGAGAGAGCGAGAGAGAGAGAGAGAGAGAGAAATTTCAATCCCAGAGTTCCGGGAAGGTCTTTGGTAAATATTGCATGCACGTAGAGCCACGCTTTCGGACTCAGTTTTTTAAATAAGTTTTAAAATTTTTAATAGGTTGCTAACTTCGTTTTTTACCTAAATACTGCACAAGTATTGGACGCCTAACCAGCCAGGCTTAAAACACGCTTTTTAGGTACAGGACTAAAAAAGGCTGTGTTTTCTAATCACTACAGTACACCCCGGGGATTACCCATTGTACCCATTCACAGCAAAATTGAATAACAATGAGCCAAAGAATAGACCTTTGAGGGCCGAGATTAAACTGTGAGGCCAGAAGCCGGCCAACCCTTACAGACCCCCTTTCAAAACACACATTTCCCGCCTCACGCAAAGCACATTTGCGCCCGCCAAAGTTTTTAGATTTGCCTCTGATTAACGCCCGTAAATTGGGCGCCCTAAATAAATTTATTTCCACCTACCCTGAGCGGGATGGAGATGGTGATTTGCTCGTAGTCGGAGTATTCCGGCTCTTCCGGCAGCATCGGGGCTGAATCTGCAATTTAGAAGTTTGGGGAGGAAATGTTGCGAGAATAGAATTCTGTGAACGTGGTGTAGACGAACTTTAATGGAAGGTATCGAAGAACGGCGGGTAATTTCGAAGTGTGGAAATAGATTTGGGGGGCCATTATTGGGGGAGAAGGGTTCGAAAAAGCGGTAGACCATGACGCTTACGCTTTTACGCTGGAATTCATTATCCGAACAAAACTCCCCAATGAATCCAAAAATATACACCACTGGCAAGAGTCCGACTCCCTCACCCATCCCCTCGTTGCCAAATGACCCTAAACCCCAGACAGGACTATTCAGGAGATCAAAAAACCGCAGCCAAACTCATCGCCCCGAAAACAAACACTTCCAATAACCTCCTCCTCCTTCTTTGACACGCCCCAACTTTGTTCTGCTACTGAATATTTGTGCTTGGCTACACTCTAAAAAGCGCAGACTTGTTATGCTAGGAAGTACGACCAACACATCCCTACCCTACTCCTTCCTCGGTTCATTGGCATTCGGTAATTAAAAGTTAAAAATACGGGACCTCGGCTTGTTGCCTCAGCAGCAGCCTTAAATAATTGGGGGAAGGGGGGGGGAAGGTTAATCAGAAGCCCACATCTTGAACTCTGGAAGGGCGCCGAGGCTAATTGGGAGAGCATCGTTTCATCGAAGGCAATAGGCAAAATCTGAGATGACGAATCGGAGACGTGGAAGGATTCTGGAAGACAGATTGCCAATGAAAATACAGGTTTTAAGAGGCCATAGACTTTAATTCGGCTTTACTGGGTGTGAACGGAAGGTATAAAAACAGCTAAACAAATAGAGAATCCGGAGGCTGGGATGAGAAGTTCCAGGCGGTCATTGAGTTGAGTGATTTTTTGGGGTCAGCTGAGGAATGTAGCGCGATCTTTCAAAGTGGAAAAGTGTGTTAAATACACGGATTTGCATAAATTGTTTTAGAATGTTTAAATAACTCTATTACGCTAGATTTTTCAATCCTAAAAATCAGAAAAACAGCCAAAACTGGGTTAAACTTTTTGAAAAGCTTTGTATTCCATAATTTGCCGATTTTTTGGTGCTTAAAGAGATAACTGCTTTTTATTAACTTACATAACTTTTATTTGGAAATCAGATCAACAGAGAAATAACTGGCTAATAACTTATTTAACTTTTCTGACTTTTCCAAAATTTTGTTATCACGATTCTTTGGGCTTTTCGTAGGCCTGCCAACGACAGATGGTTTTTGTTAGCATACGGAGCCCGAGCATGAGCTCGGGCTCAACATTCGTCCAGAAAAATAATTTTTTAGTTATTGAAGATGTTTTGCATCCAACAAAACCTAAACTATGATTTCTAACCTCTAAATCATGCAATGATGGATGCGAGCCAAATGGAAACCTGCGGCTTAGGAACGGCCCTTTTGAGCGATGTCACATAGCGAAAAAGACCACGGAACTAAACCTGCGAGAGACCAACAGAAACCTCGACCTCAACCGGAACTATTTCCACCGGGGAGCACGATAGATAGCCCCCTTCCTCTAAGCCCTCCGAACAGCTTAGAAAAGATGAACGGGCAGCGCGCCCTTGCGGAGGCAGAATATAGGGTTTTGTGTGCGTGTTGCAACTTTCTTTTCGCGGAAATGTGATCCCAGAAGCGGGCTTTTTTGGGGTGGGCGCAAAATAAAATATTGGCGAGGGCAGAAGGGGAGAAAGGGCGCGAAACCATGTTTCTCGGCGAGTCAAAAAAAAGTGGCTGAGACTCGACAATCGCAAGATTAGTACATGAAAAAATGGGGGTTTGATGAATAAGGAAACCATATTTGGGAGTGCGTTGTTTTTAGGCGAGGTAGTAGGTCATCGAAATAACATTGGGTGCGACGCGAAGCCACGTGTTTTTGGGGGGGATGGGACTTGAGTTTGGTTTGAAATTTACTGTTGAATTTTGATTTTCGTAGAATAAATTTAATTTTTTCGCGAATTTTCAAAGAATTTTACTTGTTTCGTTTTTGATCAATTAAAGCTAGCCAAAAATACAACGCGATTGTAAATGAGCAAATTTTGAGTTTAAAGGGACAGTGACACCTTAAATTTAGATACAGAATTTTGGGAAACAATCTCATGCGAATTATAAAAATTCTTCTAAGAATTTCAGCGATTTTCCACAACTCCTACTCTTCCGAATCCAATAAACAAAACTAACAGAACACTCCCACAAAGCTGCGAACGCTCAGATTCCGGGCAAAAAAATTATGGCCCGCCGGAGCCGTCTCATAAATTGGTGTCGCCCGGCCCCCCGTCCGGGCGTTTCACCAATGACATGTGCAGGTTGTCGTCGTCCGGCTTCTTGCCCCCTCCCGCCCAGAAGCCGTCGTCGAAATTAAGGCTGGAAGTGAGTGGATGCCCTTCACATCGACCAATTTACCCTACCCCTTCCCCATCGCCCCTAGCTAAAATTCCGAAGCTATCCAGTTGACGCGTAGGGGTGTGAGCAAGGACTTACAAAAGAAGTGCGCGGAGATGGGGCAATAGGGCAATTGCTTTTTCATGAAAATTTATGACAACAAAACCCGGAAGAGAGGGGTGAGTGGAGCCTATTTTGGAATTGAGAGGCCCGCAAAAGGGGGGATTGTTCGTTCGGGAGCGGGGTGTTCGGAGCGGAAAAAGTGGAAAAGGGGTGGATATGCCGGGGGGAAGAAGTGAAGGACAGCATTTAAGGGGCATGTCATGGATGTGTCAGCTTGGAATGGAGGGGAAGAAGGGCAAGAAATGCCCTGGGGTCACGAACGAACCAAACATTTGGTGGTTATTATATGTTATGTTATGTATGTTATTATATTTAGAATTTATTTTTGAGTTTAAATTTAGAACCTAGGCGAGAAAAACTGAGTAATAATGGGATAGTCAGAAACCATGGCAAAAAATTCCTTTTTTGAAATTTAACGCTAGAAAATCTCAGAATGACATTTTCGATTCTATATTTAGGATTCAATTTTAAGCGTTTCTATTAAGAAAAAGGCAAAAAACACCGCTAGACAAAAATAAAGATAAATTTTACTAAGTAACCCAAAGTTACCAAAATTCATAGTTTCCGGCCCGATTCCATGTGTTCCGTATGCTTCAAAGCCCCTGACCTCCCCGAAAAGCCCCCGCTACGTCAGCGTTCCCCCTCAACCCACGTAGACCCCAAAAAATCCTCTTAATTCATAGCCGCCCCACCATTACCATAATTGTACCGTAGATGGCTTTTATTCAGCCGAACATACCGACCTCTATCCCCTACCCTGAGTGCCCACTCTTTACAAAAAGCAGCCAACCGGGAGAAAATGGGCACACACAGCTCCCCCCTTCTGGAGTTCAACTGCATAATAGAAAACTGGCCCTCCTGTTCCTATACATATTTTAGAAGGGGTGATGCGTCACGGGCTCCCGGAAAATGGGTACATCCCATTCAGGGAATTTTTGGAAATGGTGCAGTTTGCTGGGAATTTACGATTCCCAGTCACCTGATCGAGAAATCGCCTGATCGAAAAATCGCCTGATCGGAAATCGTCGGATCGAAAAATCACCTGATCGAAAATCGTCTAATCGAAAACTGTCTAATCAATAACTCAAAAAGTAGTTTTAACACATGTTAGCAGCCTAGAAAAACCCTAATTTTTTGAGTTATTTTTGATCAGGCGGTTTTCGATCACGATATTTTCGATCAAGCTATTTTCGATCAGGCGACTGCCAACCGAATTTACATAATTTACAAGCCAAAGGGCCCGAAACTTCAGAAAAGTCGTGTTCTTTTTAAAATCCCTTAAATGAAATAAAATCAATGCAAAATCGCTAGCAAAAACAAAAATTTAGTGGGGCCCAAATTTTGTGTGTGGACAAGTGTTCGGTTCGCCCTGCAAGCCCCACGCATTTGGAATTGATTTTTTGCCCGGAAATCGGTCTGGCTGGGGGAAAGGCGGATCTGGCTGAAACTGCCAGGGTTAAAAGAAGTGTTCATTGCAGGCGCTGGAATTCGGGAGGGGATGTACGGATTTGCAAACTTTGCAGAATAGAGAAAAAAGCGTTGCAAAATGCAGAAGCGATTCTTTAAAGTACTCGACCATAGGAATCGGCCATATCGATAGGCTTAGGCTTAGGCTTAGGCTTAGGCTTATCTTAGGCTTAGCTTAGGCTTAGATTAGGCTTAGCTTAGGCTTAGCTTAGGCTTAGCTTAGGCTTAGCTTAGGCTTAGCTTAGGCTTAGCTTAGGCTTAGCTTAGGCTTAGCTTAGGCTTAGCTTAGGCTTAGCTTAAGTTCGGCTTAGGCTTAGGGCACACGTCAGCCAAACTTAAGCTTAACTTAGAGTTCCCAAAAACCCACAAAACCATTCAATATAAAAGCATTCCCGCAATAAATGGCAAATGGGATGTGCCCCGGATGGGGGCATATTTTAGGGTCCATCGACGTAGACCCCCTTCCAGGTGGAGAGGAGTGTGGCGGAAATGCGCTCGACTGCCCCCTGATGCTCCTTCTACACCAATTCCCACTCTCTCCAGGTTGGCCTCCCGGTTTTTGCCGTTCACCTCCTGGAGAGCATGACCTCAGAAAAGAAACCGACGCTAGCATCGAAAAGTTCAGGTGCCTAAGTGCCCGGGCTCCATTCAGGGAGGTTCAGAAAAAAATGGAGGAAATATGGAGGGGGAGCGGGTTTTCGGGAGCATGCAAGCGGAAAATTGTGAATTTAGTTCCAGAACTATTTTTGGAGATGAGGAAGGGGGTTGAAATTTTCATTAGAAGTTTTCAAACTTTGAAAAGAGGAGAGATGGGCTAAAAATAGAGACGTTTCTCTAGGAGGTCGTTGACATTTTAGCAATCGTTAGGCTTTGGGTGGAGCCGCCAGATGTTGTTGGCCAAGAGCCCAGGGGGGTCGTTGATCTTTTTTCTAATGCCGTTCCATTGGAAATAGATCAATCAGTGGTGAAAAACATGAGAAATCACCCACTATGGCAAAAAGCAGAAACCCAGGGGTGCATTTTAGGAAATCACAACCCGCCGTTTGTGATTTACGCCCAGTAGGGCGGCTATAAAAGATATAAAACCACATAGCTCCATTCCAAAGCAAAAAAACGTTATTGCCAATACTAGAAAGAGACTCCACGTATGCCACTCTAAAGGAACAATAAATTGGTATGCCAGAAGGCGGAGCGGGAGAAGAAGGGGGCTATTCTAGGGGGGTTGAGCATGGGCAGGGGAGCAGCAGCAGCTTGTTGATGGCCCAGCCGAACGAGCATTCCCCGGAACGTTTTTTTAGATATAAAGGCATTCCAGAGGTTTGGTCGAGAAGGGGAAGAGGCAATGGCTTTTAAAGGTTGCTTAGGGGGATTGCAACTGGTGAATATGGAGGTACGGTAGGTTGGGCACTGTTTAGAAGGGGTTAAATCTTGGCTACAGTAATCGTGAAGCCTTAAAAAACCAGAAACTGATTTTAGAATAGCAGAAATGTAGTAATTTTCCTGAAATATTCATTTTTCAGCTCAATTAGGCTTAGGTCTAGGCTTAGCTTAGGCTTGGCATAAAAATCATCAAACATTCTGCAAAATCACGAAACAATCACGAAACTACGTCAAAACCAGACTGAATTCCCAGCCTGTTCCCTTCTCCCAAAAAGACCATACAACGCCATCCTGATGGGCCTTATACCAATGAAATTTGCCGGCGGCCCCCCAGGGGGTCCCGCCACGGGATTAAAGGAAAAACACGGAATCGCATCTGTTCCCCCTCCCCTGAAATGCCCCCGCAACGCCCATAATCAGATTAAGGATCTTTGGGAGAATTCGGCAAAGAATTGTGCAGATTGTTCGTTCCGGAATTCATAATGCCCCTAGGCTGCCTGGTCAATTATGGCGTGCAATGTGTAATATCTGGAACCTAGAATACAATAGAAAAACTACACAATAGGGGGCACAAAAATAGGAACGTCCGGGTCTAGCGTAGGGGGTTAGATACAGGTTTTTGGCCTTCCAAAAACTAGACGAGATTTTTGGCGCCTGGAAGAGCCGTCGAAAACTAACAAATTTTGAAGAAAGCCGATGGGCTGCTGGTGAGGAGGGCTTGCTATTTGAATGCGGGTGTAATTAATCCTTGAATATGGAGGGAGATGTCGAAAATCAGTGTTATGAAAAACAGGGGGTTGTTGTCGGGATGTTAGCAGAGGTTCGCATGGGATGAGGATGTGTCCTAGTGAAAATATTGCTTATCTGAGATCAGAAATCGAGTTGTGGAGGTGAGAATCAGGCTAACAACAAAACAGAACCTGTAGAAAATTAAAAATTCATAAAAAGCTAAAAAATCAGAGTTATCATATCAAAAAAAAATGTGTTACGTTTTAATGCAAATTTTTTACCCCCAAAAAAAAGTTCTAGACAGTAGTTATTCTAATTCCTAACATTAATGCTGATCCCCAAAATGTTTTCAACCTTATCATTTAAAAAAATCCATTAGTGTGCGCCGCTTTTCCAGCCCCGGCCGTCCCCATCTGCCTCCAATTTGAATCCGAAAGGGCCGGCCTTACGAAGCCTAATTGCCACATTTATGACCTTCAAAAACTATCATAAATTATTGTTCCCTGCTGGACCTTTTATAATATTTTCAATTATTACCAGAAACCCCCTCTAAAATACCGGTTCCCCGTTTTTGCCTATTTTTCAGTGTGTATGTTGGGGGGAAAAGCCGACCAGGGGGGTTTTGGCCATTGTGAGGTGGATGGTCCCAAAACGATTCGCCCATTTATCTAACAGGGATCGGCGGCGATACGGTAGTACTGTAGTTCGCCCGAAAAACGCCATTATGCAGCCGTTGTTCCCATATTGGGGGATGTGGTCGCACGAGGGGGGAAGTGGTGGTAGTTTGCATTATACTTTTTGTTAAACCAACTTCAGATTTTTCAATTTAATTTGATTTAAATTTATTCATTTTGATTGGAGGGTTCGCTAAGGCTATAGTTTATTGCATTTTTCAGGTAATTCAACGATGGGCGATCCATTTCGTCAGGCGTACGCTTGGCCACACCAAAGTTGCGCACAAGCTCAAGCTCAAGTTCATCCTCAATGGCGTCCGGAGCATCACACTCACGCTCAGCATTGGCAGCATTATCATCATCCACATTTTGAGAAGTAAGTGAGGGTTTGAAGCGTTTAATTTGTATATTAAAATATAGATCCATGTAGTACATTTGAAAATAGTAGCGACTCGGGAAAACCGTGGATATTTCCGGTTTTTGAAATGTTGCCTCTTCGAACTGGAAGCAGTATTATTTTCATTTTGAAAATTTTTTTATTTAGGGTTCGAACAGTTTGTTTAAATATTAGTATCATAGATCCTCGCAAAAGCTTCGAAACCCTCCGATTTTTAAAAAATGCCTCAACGGCAAACCTTTAACCCTTCTCATGCTAATCATCCCCCCATTAATTCAGTACCCCTAACACCACCCACCAAGGGGTCAAGCCGCCCGAATAAAGGCTATCGTACCAAAACGGGGTATGCAAAGAAAGGGGAAAGAGAGAAGAGCAGGGCTTTTATCGTGGGAACTGTTTGGCGGGGGGATGGCAGCAGGAGAAAGCCGCGCTCTTCTCCTTGGCCCCGGCCGATTTCCATTCTGTATTCGGATTCGGTCGCACGGTCGCGGTGAGACACACCAACCCCCGGGTCCCCCTGCTCCGATTTGCCCCTCCCTTTTGCTACACACATTCAGCGCGTACGGCATCGGTCCTTGTGGGGTGGATCGTTTCGGGATGAATCGGTATGTTAAGGGGGTTAGGGTGAGTCGATTTTTGGGGCTTTTGGGGTGCCGCGGATGCTAATTTTAGGAACGACCATTGTTTGATTTCAATTTGATTGTTTTTCGCTTTCTTCGGGCATTAACTATTCCGAAAACAAATCCGTTCATTTTTAATGCCACAGGATGCTAATTTTAATTCTGTTATTTTTATGTAAATTTTGAGGTTTTTCAAGTTTATAAAGCTCCTAATTTATAAAAAGTGCCGTATAAATCCTTCATACTAGGTATAAGTTTTTAAACTGAATGATTAACTCGCTTTTTTAGTTTCAGGTCATTTAAATACAGTAATTAGCATTTTTCAATCAAAGACACGATTTGTTTAATTTCTAATCTAAAACCACGTAAAAGAACGTTTTAAAATAGAATATGTTGGTGTTTCAGGAATTATTTAGAATTTTGTCTTCTATCACTTGACTCTCCGTTTTCTCGCTTGCCGGCCCCTTTAATTATGCACACTACGATCCATATGCCCCAATAACCTGTTTTCTATCTACTTCCGCTTCAAAACCCAGCCCCCTTCGTCCCAACTTTTCTCTTATTGCTACAAATCGACAAAAGGGCGGAGGCGTTTCCCAATTTTGGTCGATTTCCGATTGCGCCTTGGCGCGCCGGATCCGAAATTCTTCAGCATTTCTGTGCCCACATTTCTATCCACCCTCCCCGGCCACATCATGGTCATTCATACTCACATGTCCGGGGGCAAAGCTTCTTCTGTTTCCGCTCCCGGTGCACCTTTTCCATCAGCTATGCACGGCTATCCCTAATTCTATCGCGCTCACCCAATGGCCATCGCTGGGGGCGCCTAGCCTGGCTGGCCTTCTGCCGCAATGCAAATACTTCTATGGTTTTGAATTACACTACACCCTAAAAAGGAAGGCCCACAAACTTTGGATGTATTGGGAATGGATTTGGTGGCGAGGTAATTTGGGTTTAAAAATTGCTAGAAATATTCCGATAAGCTCAATACTGAGATATTTCCGCTTTTCGATACCCTAAAACGATCGTCTCGTCATTTTCCTCAAATACCTCTGCAAGTCCAACAAAATACAATTTTCGCCTGACAGTCGGCTACATCTGGAGGGGAAAAGCGTCCTGCCGATAGTGGGGGCGTGTTGAATTGGGAATTTTGGGGAGCCGGGGCGATGTTGGAAAAGCCCCCAAGGTGCTGTATTACAAAGCCGCTCCGGTTTGCTACTAGCAACATTGATATTTGATGGATTTGAAGTTAATGGAAGAGTTATGGTAGTTTTTAGCTATTTTATGGCATTTTGGCATCATTCACTCGCTTTTTCAAACTATTTTAAGCACCCTCTCACATTTATTTTAACGAATCTTTACGAGTTTTTGATGGTAGAAATTTTTAAGCTAAATTTCCATCCACAGGTCGTCATTAGAACTCTCCCGTAGCCACGCCCCTTCTTGTACGGTGGAATACGAGCGACACCAGACGTTGGCACTGTCATGGTAGCAGATGGAGAGAGAGACACGACACACTCACTCCCTCACAAACCTTCAGAACAGAAGGGTGTGCCCAAAGATAGACCTAGAGGAGAGACGAGAGAGAGAGAGAGAGAGAGAGAGAGAGAGACGCCCCCAAAGAGTGCATGTGCCTAGAGGGTATAGGGTCTCTAAGGGCCCAGGGAAGGGATGGGCCCTTTCTAGGGAAAGGAGGGGGTGGAGATGCCTTGGGGAGAAGGGGCGGGGACGAGGGCCCAGCGGCCGCGTTGCGCCAGCCGCTAGGGCCAGGGTTTGACCCCAGCAGTGGGCTTGACCTCCATCGATTCCTTCTCGGGATATTCCGAATGGAGGGCCTTGAGACAGGGCCCCTGACGGCCGATCCATTGCTGTCGCAGGCCCTGTCGAGTCTACCGTCAAATCGGTTGCACGACCACCATCCTTCGCTGCCGTCGCCGTCGGATGATTTCTCGGATTTATTGCACCCGGGGTTGGATCATTCCTACAAGTGAGTATGGTAATTAGGGCGATAATTTGCGGTTTTGGGATGGTGTATGTAGGCTAGATTTTCTTTAGAAGCAGGTGTTTCTAGCTGAATTTCCTGATTTCTTAGTTCTTATTTGCTTCAGTGTTTGTTTTAGCACTATAAATCATGGAGCTGGTTTTCAAAACGTTATGCAAGAGAGCGAAGTAGCAAATTTCAATAGTTTATCTCTCTAAATTTTATTTAAGTTCAATATGCCGCTGATGCTAATGAGATTCCTGAGTTTTATAAACCTAGCCTTGTCAAACTGGGTTTTGACACTGGCTTTCTAATATTTTATGCAAGATAAAAAGATGCAACGGCGATCTAGAATGCTAGAAAGAGCTGAAATATTTGGATTCTTATGCTAATTAGCTCCATTACGTCCAAAAGCCCATCATTTATTTCTAGAAGTATCTTTTTAACCCCTTAAATCTCCCGTAATTAGCCTTTCTTTACTAGTTTTTAAACAAAACGCTAGATCCCATTGTTTCGTCTGATTTCGCAAGGCGGCTTCTCCCCTCGCCCGGGCTTCTTCCCCCACTCTGCCGCCATAGGAATCGTATTTACGGGCTGGCCGAGCTCTGGCGGCCCGTAAATAGGGTGTCGACTGGATAATATATTTTTGGGGTCCGTGTTTTTTGTTAAGCTTGGTTAGGGTTTAGTTTAGGCGTGGCGATTAGCTTTTAAGCTAAAAAAATTGTGGTTTTCGGGCTTGACTAGAAGCCCTTTTGGCCAGGGGGGTCGGCGTGAGATTCCTATTGTTGTAACCAGTCATTCCGCCGGGCGGAGCGCTGGCAAATGCCTCCCCTGTAAGGGGTAGGGTTGTAGATTGATCGTCTCTCAGTCAGCCGTGGATTGTACTATTTTTGCAGCTTTGCTTTATTATAGCTTTGCCGTTTTACATTTTAGGGTTTTCCGCAGCTGCAAAACCTCTCAAACCCTATCTGATCTTCCTAAATGTCTAAATTCCTGTTTTTATGGCCTCATCCCGAGGGCTGAGGCTCGTTTTGGGGCCAGCCGGGCCATCTGCCGGGCCTTCTTTTCGGGATTAGGGACATGGTATTCTTAGGGCTGATGGATTGCCTGGCTTGAGTTGCGGCTCATTAGCTTGCGGAATGAGGGGATGGGGAGATATTAGCATATGGGGGTTATTGTTGTAAATATTTAGGAAGTTTGCGCATTGATACGGCTGCTAAGAGGAAGAGTTCGTGCTTATTTTGTAGAAGCATCTGTCAAAGTACCTATGTTTGTTCTTGAGCTTGAGGGGGTTTTGCGCTATAGAACTTCTGCCTTCTTAGCTCCTTTAATTTTTTTTTTTGCGTAGTTACGAACCTAATAACTTACCCCAAAAGTTCACATCAGAGGAAGCTCGAGCTCATTTCGTAGAAGGAGCTTTAAAGGGTGAATTTTTGTCTTGATCCCTAGCGAAAATTTTTGACGCTATGGAACTGGCGTCTTTTTGGTCCTTTAAAATTGGTTTACTGTATTTGCCGTACTTTTCATCAATTTTACACCTATAAAACCAACAAAACCTCGCACTCCTCGGCTTTTCGCCGCTTCTCCTCATCTAAAACCCCGACCCGGTCTTGCCTTCCTTCCCACCCATTGTGTGTCTGTGGTGGGTGGCAGGTGCGATTCTCGAGAAATAGGAAGGCTATGTAGGGGAGGAGGAGGGTGGTAGGCTGTGCCCTAGGGGGGCGAGCAGTGGTGGGTGGCACTTGTATGCAAATAGGGCCTGGGGCCTGAGGCCCCCGACAGATGGCCCTCCCCTTGCCCGCCTCATGGCCTCCCCTTTCAAATCAATCGAGAAAGCTCGCCAAATATGCGGAATCGCTCATGCTCGGCTGGGTCGGGAAGGGTGGGGTGTGGGGGTAGACGGGTTTTGGACAAAATAAAGGTTGGGGGAGGAATTAAAGCAACTGGAAAAACAGGTGGAAGAGGTTAGACGCAGATTTTCGAGCACCAAGTCCCCTGAAAACTCCTATGAAATATCTAGGTATGCAAATACGAAAAAATCCTATAATCCTGTAATTAGAACCCCCAAAATCCATCCTAAAATTGGTGCTTTTGAGGAAAGTTTAGAGATGTAAATTTTTCTCTTCCAAGCATCTTTAAAAGCTGAAAAACGTCGTACAGCTACCAATTCTAAAGAAAAAAAGTTATAATGGCTTAATTCACACCCTCAGTACCCTGCTAAAATTGGTGCTTTTCAGCCAATTCGCCACGCTGCAACCGTTGGCCCCCCTTCCGCCCATTTCGACGGTGACAGGCCAGTGCCGGCCGGCTCCATCCCCGCCACGGCAACCGCCCGTCTCGAATACGCAGAGGTATGGAAAAACCGGGTTCGGGGGTTCAAAAATAACTAAGAAACTGAAAAATTGTAAAATCCTTGAAAACAGGACGAATTTTTTGTAGTACGTCAAATCAACTTTTCCATTTTCAGCGCCTTCTACTTCCCGCCGACCACCGCCCAATCCTTCCCATTTAACAATATCAATATCAAATACGAGTACGAAGTGAAATCCGATTCCGCCGAGCACAGTCCGCATGGTAGGTCCTTTTACAACATCTAAAAACCGTCTCCCTTTCCTTTACAACAGTCTCTATAAAATTTTTTTAACCCCAAACCATCCAATTCCCATAAACCGTTTTGCCTGCCGGGGGACTGTTTTCCCCCGATCGTACAGTAGCCCCACCACATCAAGTCCCCTCCACAACCGATCGGCCCCGTTTTCCCATCGATTTTGGCGTGGATTCAAAGGGACCAGGAGGGGGCCACGGCGTTTCTTGAATATTCACAAGCCGATTGAGCCGACACGACGCCACACACCCCCCCGCCCCAAATCGCCCAATACTGATCAGCAACAGCATAGCCAACAACCTGATAGGATGCTCCCAATATTCTGGCGTTCAGAAACGAATGGAGTCACATTGCCGCAGGACTTCTCGCCGCACGGGATCCAGGACCCGATGTTCAGCTCTGGTGTCTTCTCGCATACCTCGTATAACTCGCCGATGGAACAAAGGCAACCTCGGTAATCTGATGATGAAAATTTATATAATACCTTTTGTTTAGATCGCCAAAGCTAGAAAAACCATACTTCGATAATTATGTCGGGGATGAGACACCGGAATTGGTAAGTATTGTAACGTACTTTATATTCCTGGGATTTTTTTAGAAATCGCTATCCCCAGACCTTGGTGGTGATTGTGGAGATGGAGATGAGCTCGACACCAAGGAGTTGGCCACCCGGATTTCGGCAGAATTAAAGCGATACTCAATTCCACAGGCCATTTTTGCACAGCGTGTTTTGTGCAGGTTGGCATTTCGTGGTTATATTGATTTTTAACGTCGAGTACTCATTCCTAGATATACATTTCTCATGCTCATTTTTCAGGTCACAAGGCACCCTCTCCGACCTTCTCCGAAACCCAAAACCCTGGCCGAAATTGAAAAGCGGCCGCGAGACGTTCAGGCGGATGGCGAAATGGCTACAGGAGCCGGAGCACCAGCGGATGGGCGCTTTGAGATTTGCTGGTGAGTCAGAGGGGCAAAATTTGGCCCGCCTCAGCAACCCGGGGATCCAGGCTCACGCTCTAAATCTCATAATCCCATCCCGAGGGCTGGGGTCCAGAAAGTCGCGAGCTAATTGGCGTTCTGCTGAATGTTGAGAGAGAGAGAGAGGGAGAGAGAGATCCCCCAAATTGTTCAAGTAGGAGGTGGCAGATGGGTGGGAGACCCTCCAAAAATTACTAGGCATCTTGATATCGGCCTCAAAGGCAATGCAAACCTTAGGGCCAAGCCTGGGGCCCCAGGAAGGGCCCGGCGGGTCATCACTCAGCAGCCGGCCACTGGGCCCCAAGATTGGCCCTGATGGCGAGGGGGCCCCTGGGGGCATTGGCCAATAGGGGGGGTGGGGCTATGAAAACCGGGGGTGAAGGGCATCATGGCTATGAATCCAGACTTCTGGCAGCATATCAAAAATGGATCACACGTCGGCACACCTCGGGGAGCAGGAGTGGGTTGAGAATCTCCGGGTTTTGAAATAGCATCGGGCAAGAAAATTCGGAAAAAATAAGTATTACGCTTTATGATAAGTATTTTCCTTTTTTATATTGTTCTAGCGTCTTTAATAAGATTTAGTATACATATTCGAGCAGCTCCTACCCACCCCAACACTTGAATTGATTTTCCAACCCCTTTCAAATCACCTAATTTCGGTATTTAAAAAATTAGACCATGGGATTAATTTGTCTGGTTAACCAGGCTCTAATAAGATTTAGTATTTCTTTTTTTTGTGACTTACCAGCCCCTTTAAAAGCACCTAAATCCGAGGTTTACAACTTTTATACAAAATTTCCGACCCCAAACCACCACAAACTGTTATTCCAACGTTAATGAGCCCGACCCTCATCTTCCCTTTGAACGTGCTAATCCTGGCATCCTGTTTTCCTACCTTTCACCCCCTACCAACCAGTGGGGCGCCCCCCCTCGTTTGGCCCTTTGACCCAATGGCCCAGCCGGCCTAATTATCCAGTAGTACCCACTGGGGCTCGTATTCGAGACATTCTCCCCCTTCTGCTGATCACCACTCGCCAGGGGCCATCGATTTTATGGCGAAATCGGGGGTCTGGAGGTGCGCCGCGAAATTCGCACATAAATATGTGGGTCTTTGCCGGAGAGCGGGGTATTGGAAAACGATTTTCCGGGGGTTTTGGGGGAAGTTAGTTTGGGGATAGCTATCATGTGATCGATGGAAAACCGTATTGCGATGGAAAAGCACAAGAAATTTTTGTTAGGGAAGGTAACTCTAAGGCTAAGGGTATCAAAACAAACTTGGAAAGCGTACGATCAAGGGGGGTTGAACTGGTACATCACTCTCTCTCTCTCTCTCTCTCTCTCTCTCTCTCTCTCTCTCTCTTTCTCTCTCTCTTTTGATTCACCCTCCTGAACGCGTCCTTTAAAAACTTGAGAAAATCAAATCGAGCTCGTGCTCCTTTCGCTTTCCTTACACATACACAACCAGATAATAGCCACCCAAGAAGAAGCGCAATTTGCGGGTCGGCTCCATCCCTAACCACGAGCTCCCCGGGGCTCCTAAAGCGATTGTGGTGACAGCGAGACACGCCATTTGGGGCATTTGCCACCCGGTCGGCGCTTTGTTTTGGCGCCCAATCAGGGCCAGGCTGGGGGGCCCAGGGACGTGCAGCTTGCTGGGGGAGTAGAGCAGGGTCTCAATATCGTCCTCCCATTTAATGGAGAAGCTACACGCTAGGGTGTTCGGGTTCGGGGTGAAAAAAATAGAACAAATTCGATAAAAAACGTTCTAACGATTATTTTAGCCTCTACAATCGCCGGCACTAAACGACGAGATGATACTCCCGGCAATGGCCCCAAAAAACCGCGTCTCGTCTTCACCGACATCCAAAGACGAACCCTACAGGTGCGCATCTCCCCACCCAGCTCACCCCCTCATTTCCAGGCCATTTTTAAGGAGACCAAACGACCGTCGCGTGAGATGCAACATACCATCAGCCAACAGCTGAACCTCGACCCGAATACGGTAATTTTCCTATACTTTACCCTCATTCTAGTCTTGTTCTAGGTCTCGAATTTTTTTATGAATGCCAGGAGGCGTGGGCACGATCGGGAGGATGAGAGTGGAGATGGGGCCAGCATTGCCAGCAGCACAGATCATACTCAATGTATCGATGATGAGCAGAGAGTAAGAGAAACCAGGGGTTTTTTTGTATGTAGACAGGATTTCCAGTATCAATCGGCCCCTCCGGACCCGACGAATGCGTCGATTTGCTCCTATGTCCAGACCGAAGAAATCCATAAGCTGATCGACACTCAGGATCTGGATTTGGGGGATTCGATCATTGTCTCGAAATCTCAGCACCACCAGAATCTGGAGGATCAAGAGGAGGATGAGGAGCCTCACTTTAAGGTATTACAAAATTTAGACAACTTTTATAACTTAATTTAGGTGATAAAACGCGAGGTCGGCAAGGGTGGGCAGCCACGCGTCATCGATGTGCTGAAGAGCCAGATGCCAATATACGCCGTGAGGCCGAATGGCCATCAGAATAATGCTATCATCACGGGCAGCCACGTTATTCAGCCGAATCCCGTCTTCGAGCAGCTCTAAAGTATCGTGTAGTGGAAAGGGCTGTGCCTCAACCAAGTTTTCGAAGAAAAAAAATCATACTTTTTGACTCCCCTCTCTGTGGTTGCCTAGTTTTCTAAAAAAACAGATATCCTCAGCGAAAAAAGTGGAATTCCGGTTTTTACTATTTACAAGTGGAGCCCATGCTAGAAAATAGAGTATAAATCGGAATCTTTTCTTTTCGCCTCAGCCCAGAAGTGCCAACCCCATATTGCCAAGCTCCCTTCAAAAACTCCTTGCTCCTAAAAAGATTTCCATAGCAGGAAAATGTGCAACAAATGATACCTTTGCCTTGTTAGTCAGCGTAACCTAATCAAAAGCTATTCACTTTTTATGTGTCATGACTAGCGCCCACTCACTTAGCTCGCGGAAAGGTGGAAAAAGGGCTTAGATTTGCATTTAGTATGTAAAATTTAAATCCAAACCGCCGCATTTTCCAAAGGAGCACCCCATATTTATTCCATTGGCCTCAAAGTTCCCTGTAATTTTGTGCCAAAAATTCCGAAATCCTGATCACTTATCCTTACACTAGTGTATGCTCATTCCACGAATTCCGTCTTCCCGAAAAGGCAAATAACTTTTTTAAGGCCAATATTTCCAAGATCTAGCGATCATGCAAATTCAGTATCATCTAGTCTCGATAATAATCTACTTTCAATAAACCCAGTGCCAATTCCCCCAATTTAACCAATTAAAAACTGATACCCCGCAGCCATAACTCATTTGTGTATTACGGTAGAATGTGCTTTATCATGATCCCATTGCCTATATTTTCCAGTTCGCTTGTGATTTTTTTGAGGACGATATGTGCCAGAGAAAAGGTGATTTTTGGGAGTTCTCAATTCCCTTAATAACGACCGATTTATATTGGCCATTTCGTAAACTTTTTTTTGGTATTTCTTATTTGTCAAATGCTTCCCAGGGCTTTTTGAATAATAAAGGTTTTGTATCAAATCTTGTGGCCTAACAGCTACAGTATATTAAGAAGCACAAAACCCGCACCACCTGCCCATTTTCCCGAAAACAAAATTCCATTCTTTGAGCTCTTTGGGCGCAGCGTGCGTCTCCGCTCAAATCTGCACCTAATGCGCTAATCAGTTTGACGCACGGCCAACCCAAGAATTTACCCTGCTGCCACTTCTAAAAGCAGGCCCCTCCGCTGACAATCGCTTCAAGAAGTGCGATAACCCCGGAAAAAATGGTCTGCGAAACGCGTTTTTGGAAATATGGGTCGCCTCCACTTCTGGGGAGTTGGACGTGTGTGGTGATAGGAGACGTGTGGGGGGTTTGCAGATGGAAAATGAGATTGGAATCAAAGGATAAATAGACTGGGATACTGTAGAGGAAAATTAGAGCATTTCAGACCTATGGAACGACGATTTGGACTTTTAAAGGGGCAGTGACACCTCAAAATGCAATGATTTGGGCTTGTAACTGCTTCAAAACTGTCACGCTCTCTCTGAAAAAGTAGATGCAGCGCGTTTTACAAATGCCTACGGCACTATAGAAGCCTTTCATTAATGCGCAGCGACCTTGGAAGCTTTGCGCAATTTTTCCTGTTTCAAACGCTTCAGCCTAATTTGGCCACCCTGCCTCTGACGCAGAAGCTCATTAAGATTTCTTCGACAGACCCAAACCCCCCCACTTCCAAGCGATAAGAAGATGGCAGCAACTAGGGGGAACACCCTTTGTCCTGTCCTCAACTCGTGAGTTATGAAAAGCGAAAGAGAACCCCGTGTATTTATGGAAAACCTAGTGCTTTGTTTCGGTAGTGGCTGGGCTCAAAAACTTGAAGATCAGACGCGAAGTGGGTCGCGGGAGATAAAATAGTGAAAAAAAGTTAGGCTTCCTGGTTTAAATTGATATTGGAACTCTAGTTCCGGCTGTTTTCGTAAAAACGTGAACGCAATAGTTAGCTACTCAATTGCCATTGGAAAATAATAGGAAACCGGTAAAGTAAAACGTCAAAAATTACTAAAAACTTTGATTTTTCAAAAAGCTAACAATACTGGTTCTCTGGGATTCATGCGCCCTGTCCACCTGGCTGCGGCGATGGGTAGATAGGGGGCCCACTAGTACTAAAAGGCTTGTTCAAGGTAGTTGTGCAGCTAGCTGTTTCCATTTTTTAGTGATTTTTTGCGTATATTTCAGTCTGAGACTAAACACCCCTTTAAAGGAGCTGGGAATGAAAAAAAATTGGCTTAAAAACCTATTTCCGTTTCGTAAAACATTAACAAAATAGTTATTCAACTAATTTCCCTCGAAACGCAAATCGGAAACCGTTAAAAAATGCCGAAATTTTAGCAAAAATCTGGAACTCACAAAAAGGTGCAATAACTTGTTTTCTGGGGTTCAAGCCGCCGGCTCAGCCCGCGGCGGCGGTGGGTGGATAAGGGGGCCTACCCGGCAAGAACCCTTTGGGACCAATGGCGCAGTCGGAAAATGTGTAGTACACGTTCAAAGCAGTCGCGTTCGACTCCCATGGCCGCCCGAAGTTTTTGCCTTTTGCTTCCCACTACCCGTCGGAGTGATAAATGCTCATTTGTGAATGCTAAGCTATTTGAAAGTGTTTCGGCTTCAAAAACCTTTAGCTTTTTGCTTCCCACGACGCTTTGGAGTGATAAATGCTGCATTTGTGAATGGTAGACTACTTGAAAGTGTTTTCGCTTCAAAATCGTCAGTTTTAGCGATTCTGCAAGAATGGATGTTGAAAGGTCTTTCCAAAAATAGCTGCCGGGTTGGCGAAAATACCGTCCCAGAGAGTCAAAAAGAGGCAAAGATTGCGAATTTTGTAATTTTGCCGTTTCTATGTCTATTTCTACAAAAATGACAGGAGGTCAAACTGAGACTAAACACCTCCCTCACCCCACCCGCGCAAAAAACACGTACTGGACGACAACCGCAGATTTGCATCTATCAGTTACACCCCCGCTTTTAACCAGAGTTCAAATCTAATTTTGCGCAGCTTCCTATTACTTTCAGACCAGAATTGCAATCCTCATTCCGGTTGTTTTCGGGAAAAAGGTGTTTCGTACCGTAGCTAATCAAGCAATTTCCTCAAAAAAAAAACGAGAATCACAGGTCACATGGAAAAGGGGGTTTATTGGCAATATCCGGGCAAAATCGTAGGTGATTGGTATCAAAGCTGAAAGAAACGGCAGCTACCAATTTCTACAAAAGTTTCAGCTCCTTTTTCCGTCTTTACGGGGGACAAATGGCTTTACACATGTTCCACTTGCTGACCTTTAGCCCTCGTTTTTCCCCTCAAAAAACCGCTGCTGTCTGTCCCGGGCCAGGAACCCCATTTCGTTGTCCTTGATTTATCACTCGGCGGGTTTTGTTCTGGGATCAGGCTTAACCATCCTCCCTTTTGACATTCGACACCTGTAGGGGAAAAAGCGGAGAAAAGGAAGGGGCGTCCCCCATTGCTCCTTTCTACCGTTCTCCTTATCAGAATCTTCGCCCCGACTTGCCCTCCCCTCCCCCCAATAATGGCTATAAATGGATCAGGGGCATTGTTTATTTCAAAAGGGTTCGCACCCCGGTCTCTAGTACTAGAAAAATGGAGGGTCTATAGTCCTGGAAAACAGTTCAAAAAGTTATGGTAGTGTTTTGGTAGCCTTTGGGACCCTCGGATTTCGGTGGATGTTGTTTCGTTCAGGTCATTTCATCCTTTCATTTCATCTAGTTTATCCCTTACGAAATTCTTATAATTTATGTTTAATGCGCCATCTGTTAGGAGCTAGGGTAATTTTGCCACAGGCATTTTCTTGGCTTTGCCGATTGCCTCCGGTCATTCTCGACTTGCTCTCCCTGGCCTTTGAAGATTTTTAAACATTTTGAATGTTTTAGGCGATTTTAGGGAATATTTAGAAAGATTAAATTGATATTCCAATATAAAGATAAATCTTCATGCGCTGAAATTTGGCTTTTCACTCTAAAAATTAACGTTTTCCTGTTTAACTTCATTTTCCCAAGCCGTTCAGCAAACATTTTTGATATTTGCATTGAGCTAAATAGCTAATAAACGGGATTAAATAAGGTTTCATATTCTGATTTTAAATGATAAGTAAAAATTTCAAAATGTAATTTTTCAGCGCTTGAAATAAGCCGTTCTTGATTTCACCCCCATTTTCCCATGCCATTCAACAACCCCCACCCCCAAGAACATCTTATCCGCCACCCGATCGCGCTCGGTGCGACAATTTTCCCCCGCCGCCGGCGAATCAGCCATTCGACGGCGATTCAAACCATATGCCCGAGCCACTTTCCACCCCCTTGGATCGGCCTCTATTTTCAGCCCATTAAAGCGACTTTTTCCAGGAACACAACACGGCATCGAGACGCATTTTCGAGAGCGCGTCTGGGTGTCGTAAAGTGGCGTAAAGTCGCGGAATAGGCGAAAATTCGCTGAAAAAGATGGAGAAAATACGTCACGAAATCAGGGTGTACAAGCGGTACGTCAAATGGTAAGTGGAGTTTGGGTTATTTTAAAAAATCTAATTTTTTTTGTGGTAGCGCAGATTGCTGGATAAGTTTTTGTATGCTGTAGTTTACAAAGAATATGAATTCCTGGAATCTTCCTGATCCCAGTTTTTGCATTTTTTCCCGTCTGAATGTGTGTTGTTCGGGTCTCGCCAAGATCCTTGTGTGTGAGGGATGATTGGGTGAAACTTCCTCCCCATCCAGCCGAACAGTTGGCGCCTCCAATTCACCTCTAGCCCCCGGCTTTTATAGTCCTGCCAAATGATGACCCCAGATCTTTGGAATAGGCTGGAGACTTTATCTAATTGTGTAAAATTAGGGATATCTGCCGCTCTCTCGCGCACTCGATTAATTGGAACCTCTCACGTCTAATTTCCTAATTAATATTTACCCAACCCAATGTAAACTTCCTCATTCAAAACCCATGATAACCTCCCGATAGTTCGTAGCCACCCCATATTTACCTAATACCATTGGTTGCCCTTTGTCCCTGATGCTTCACCAATGAAGATGTCCTCCCCCCGCTGACCCTCCCGAAACACGCCTATCAAAACCTAATTGCCAATGTTAATGGCCCACCCCAGGCCTGCCCTGTCAAAAGGCGCCCTACGGAAATGACAGTGTTTTTACAGCCCTGATGCTGTCATCTCTGATAAGCCGATGCTCCGATTTTTTAGGGGATGACGGGTTCTGGGGAGTAATTGCTAAGGAATGGAGTTTTGCAGAAAATGCTTTTCGAATTTTTTTTTGCAGAAGAGAACAGCTTTCCGAAAACCATAGATCTGTGTAGGTATCCATTCCTTGCTCCGTAACCCCATCCGCCCCTTCCGCATTTTCGCGCCTAAATGTAACTGACCCCCAGGAAATTCCTGAACTCTCAGTCTCCTTGCTGAACTCCCTGAGCATGGTCAATAAAAATAAAACCTTGACGGTTAGGTCAAAAACTCATGCAGCTTTTGCGTTTTTGCTGGGGGAGGGATTTCCCGAACCTCCGGGCCGATCCGCGTGGCTCCGCCTCCCCGACCTGTAAGAGCCGGTAGCTACGAAAGAAAAAAAGACACCCGGGTCCCCAGACGATCTACCCCGGTTTCCGCCGATCTCCCGGCCGGGAATTCTTTTAAATGACATGGCTACGACAACGAATCAGGTTGGCGCATTAATCGAAGAGGATGAAACTCGAAAAATCAGGAAAAAATTGAGATTAAAAAGAGTTGTTGTGTGAAAAGATATTTTTGACAATTTGCCAGCCAGAATTTGTATATTTAGATTATGAAGTACTTTCTTTATAGCTTAAAAAATATCTATAGTATTTGAATATGCAAATTGCTCTGAATTTCCGCTTTCCGGAACCGAAAACAATGCAAATTTTCTGGACCTAACCTCAATATTCCGTATATTTTCGTAGGTATTCCCGCGCAAGCCGAACCTAAATTTGCATAAAATCCATAAACCTCTTCCATTCTCTCGATTTTTGATGCCCGGCGATCACAATTTATGCCCCATTTTTATCCCCCAAAAAATCCTATTCTTTTCTCATCCCAAAACTGTCCGCTTTCCCCCGAAATCCAATATACAGCCCCGGCAGCATTGACCGATTGACTCGCGCGCGCCCTGGTCTCGCAAGCCCAAAAAGTGGCTGTGGTTGACGTCAATGCAAGGGTGCTGGGAGCTGAGCTATTCTTGCCGTTCACATGCGATCTGGCCACCCCCAAAAACATTGCAGATTTTCGCGCCGATTGCGCCTTGGGAGGGGCAGGGCTGGGGTGCTAAATTGCGCGCCCCCACGAAGGGTGACTGTTGTTGGGTGTTGCCATTTAGGATTGGGGAAAGGTCAAAGGTGGCCCGGCCGCATCAAAAAACGCTCAAAATCCTCGATTAAATTTTAATTTAAAAGTAGGTTAAATACACTAAAAAATTCCGATTTTTTAACCTTGTGCACGAAACAGTACGATTATTTTTTTATGCTTTTTTAAGACAAAGAATCAAGCGATTCCAATTGTTGTTTACTGCCCCCCCAGGTCCCGAGACAATGTTTACCTTTCCCCTCAAATTTACCTGCACACCTGGAACTATGGAAGTTCTCTAACTTCCTCGAAAGTTTCCGCGAAACAACTGTTGAGTGCAAACGTAAAGGGCACTCACATGGCGATGAAAATTGGCAGAGTTTGGCTAATTTTACATTTTTTCTTGAGTTCGGATGCGAAATCATCGGTTGTATTAGCAAAATTTTGTGTTGCAAAATGTTTTTGATGGCTGCTTAGTCATTTTTCATTCACAAACGAATTTTTGATCGCGATTTTAAATAATTGCCCAATTTTTACCAATTTCTTGTCGACGTCATTGCGTTGTTTGTCTCTAAGGAAAAGGCGGTTGATTTGAGAGCATGTTGGTGCAAGTGACAAGTCCGTCATGCCAGCCGTTCCTGCCTGTCTTCCCCCCTCGGTTTTTTTTTGTGATTTCTTGGGGGTAGAGGGCAACTGTCGATACGTCAGCTTCATCCCCTTCCCCACCTCACCGACCTCCTCTTTGCACCCCCGTTCCAAAATTGTGAAATTCAAAGCCCGAAGAAAAAGCTGGACAAAGACCGATTGTAACAGCTCAGCTGAGCGAGCGGGGTCGGTTTGCTAGTTCTTTTTTGAGGTGGTCAGCGTGAAATGGGGGTGGGGGAGTTGAAGGGATCGGCCTTAAGACCAGTTTTCTAGTCCGAAACACTACAAACGACACTAAACAAACTTGACGTACACATCTACGCATTTCGCCCAAATGTGCTGATGCCAAAATTCGGACCGTTCTCACAGAGCCAACTTCAAACACGGCTCCTCTCTAAAGCCGGGGAAGGGGAAGGAGGAGAAGAGGAAAAGATCTGTTTATCGAAAATATCGGCTCTCGATATCCCCGGCGGTCCATCAGGGTTCACCCCGCACACGAGCACTAGCCCCGGCTTCTCCTCGCCGGTCAAAGCCAAAAACACAAAAAGCTGAAGAAACAATCACGGGGATGAGGGTGCTGGAGGTTTTCATCTAAAAATAGAGGTTTTAGAGTGTTTTACTATACGAAATCTGCTTTTCAACTTTAGTTGTGAGAATAGTGCGTTTTGCGTCAATTTACGACTACAGGACTGGCTTTTCACCTGTCATTAGACTGGTCTAAGGCTAGGTATGCTGGGAAAACAAGCGGAGGATTGAAAGTAGCACCTGCTAGGTTTTAAGGTAGCAAAGTTCAAGCGTAAAATAGCTAAACAATATTAAGAGACTCATACCTTTAAAAACAGTGAAAAATAGTAGCGGAGTCAGGAACCCTTTAAAACTCAGAAAAACGCTATAAACCCGAAGGAAAAGACCAAGAAAAGGCTACAAATCGCTTTAAGCCCAATAAAAGAGCTAGAGAAAGCGATGCATCAACAGAAAATCAAGAGAAAATTAAAATTAAAGTTTCCAATCCCTTCAAGCCCTCCGAATCCCACCAAATCATAGAACTTCACCACCTCCTAACCCCCATCTGCCCCCTTCAATAGCCCCCCATATTTCGGCCAAAGCCAAAAAACCGGAATCGAGTTCTAGGTATGGGTCCCTTGTGGGCCTCCTCTCACCTCGGCCCATAAATTTGACTGAAGTGCTCTCCACTCAACATCTCAACCCCCATCCATAGGCCATCCAGGCTTCTTCACGTTCCCTTCTTCCCCCGTTCGCCCCCCCATTAGATGTTTTCAGCCAATGGCTTCGTGGCATGAATTCTGGAGACCTAAATCGTGTTCTCTGTTTTTTGGCCGAATCGATGTATCTATTAGATTTGGTGGGCTTTGGGCGTTGGTTAGGGCTGCTGTAGCATCCGGCCCGGGATGCACATCTCTGATGTTTGCCGTTTGTCGCGTGTTGTTGAGATCACCTTTTTCTCGGGGCTGGGGGTTAAAGATAAGTTGGGACGGTTGTTAAGGATAAGTATTTCTGGCGGGACGTACGGGGTGTTTTGAGAGGACGCGGTTATGGTGGAAACGCAAATAGGAAAGTTATGGAATTAACAGGTAGCCGGGGTTTTAATTCCAGCTCTAAGAAAGTGAAAAACTGAACGGGTTAATTTTTTGTAATTTTTTGAATAACGCAGTCTAGCTTTGAGAAAGTTTATGGAATAGGGTTATTGTAAAAGCGAAAATAGGAAAGTTTTGGAAAATGCTGGTAGAAGACATTTTAATTCCGATTTTGGAAATTTTTTGAGTAAAATGATGCTAAGCAAAGCCTCGAAATAGTGAAAAATCTATAAAATGGCTCTAAAAAATTGTAATTTTTCGCAACTCCCTGACTAATCACACCCACCTCCAAGCAATTAATCCACGACCATCGGCCCCCATTTTCCCGTGGGTGTCGTGTGGAATGTGGAACCAAAAGCCCCCCTCCGGCCAGGTGTCCATCCCAGATCCCCTAGGGTCAAAGTGGAGGGCCAGAAAAGAGCTCCAGCATGACCCTCAAGGCGTTTCAAGCCGCCATCTCTATTTTTTGGCGGCTTTTCCCGGCTTTTCCCCCTGGATTTTGACGACCATAAGGGCCCTCATGTCCCGTTGAACTCCAGTTCTCATCTCGAACCTCAAGCCTCATGCGTTCAGTTTAATAATCACTCGTAAAGACCCAACACTATATTTTATATTTCTTTGTTGACCGAACCACACACCCCTGGATCTTCCGGCCAGCCGGCCCGGTCCGAATTCCCTAGAGCCGTATTTTTCGTTGGCTTCCGGTTCCTAAAAGGCCATTTGCTAGTGGCAAAAAAAGTGCCCCGGGATTCCCCGGCGGCCCATTATAGCCCCATCTTTACCTGTCTGGGTTTTTTAGACAAAATTCCTCTTTCTTACACTTTATGCTCAGATTTCTCATTTTCAGGATGCTGAAGCGGAAGCTCCAGGACCTAACTGTATGCTGCACATACCAAGTCAACTTCCTGCACAATAAAAGTAGGTCAATTTGAAAGCCGAGCTGGGGGATCGGTTTGATTGCTTCGAGCTTCGAGCTTCGAGAGGGGAAGGGTCAAAAATCCTGATTTGATAGGTGGGCAAACAGTTTGAGGGGGGCTATTTGATAGCCGATGGAGCTTAAAGGTCCAGAGATTGGGCTGATCGTCAATAGGAAACTTACGGAAAAACCATGAGCTAAAAATAAAATAAACCCGTCTTTCCAGTCCATGGCTCGAAAGAATTCCGACGCCAATATCGACTACTGCAAGAACTTGGTAATTTGCATATAGCAATGATCAATAATTTTCTTGCTTAGGTCGTGGTGGCTTCGGCATTGTATATCAAGCCGAAAGGGTCAGCGATGGTCTACCAGTCGCTGTGAAATTTATTCGACATAAAAATGTGCGAGAATGGACTATGGTAAACTAGAAGTTTCATTTTTTATATCCGCTTTAGCATAACGGTCAGCTACTCCCCTCCGAGCTTGTTCATCTACAAGCCTGCCGTCAAATTTCCGGGGTCATCGGGTTTATCGATTGGTTTGCGAAGTAAGAAATAGTGAAAATTCCAAACTCTTTGTTTTTTTTTTTAGCTCCAAGGGCTTTTTACTCGTTATGGAGCGTCCAGAAGAATGTATGGATCTTTTTGACCTTGTCGCCAAGTATGGGAGACTTGACGAGACGACGGCTCAAGGCATTTTTCTGCAGGTACAGTAAGCTACAGCTACAGTACGATATTTTTCTAGGTCGTTGATGCTGTCTGCGCAATGTATGCTGATCACGGGCTTGTACATCGCGATATTAAGGTAGTTAACATCCACTCTTCTGTCATATAATTGCTCTGACAGGACGAGAACCTGATCATCGACTTGAAAACCGGCCTCGTGAAATTGGTCGACTTCGGCGCGGCGGCACGTGCCGAGAGAGCGATGAAGAAAGAATTTCAAGGTTTGTGTTATAGGGAATCAAGAAGCTCTTGATAGCAACGATCTTTGACACTTATTGAACCCCTGCACCCATTTCCGGTTGATATTTTGAGCGATCGGAGTGGGATAGAAAGGCTATAAATCGTTCTTGACGGGGCATGATGTCAGTTTCCATGCCAATCCGTTTCGTCGCTAGATCCGGGAAAACTGGACGCGGCTCTTTTTTGGGTGATGGTCAGATTTATCACGTGGGGGGATGCTGGAACGGGGTGAGATATCAGAAAAAATAGACTTTTGGGATTTGCAAAAAGGGATAGGCCTGAAAAACTAGAGGTCAGATACGCAAATTATCAAAAAATTATAGGGACTCGATCTTACTGCCCGCCAGAATGGTTTCGGCGATTGGAATACTTGCCGTTAGAGGTATATTTAATAATCTTTATAGTTTTTGACAAATTTAGGCCACTTCTTGGTCCCTCGGTGTGCTCCTCTACATCCTTCTCACCGGAAATCTACCCTTCAAGAACGAGATCCAGATCTGCCTAGGCAGAATCAACTATCCCTCTTACCTATCGAAAGGTAATACCACGTGTAACTAAGTGTACCTCGTAGTCTAGATGTCATTTCTCTACTCCGACGCTGCCTATCGACCTACCCGGGGACGCGTGCCTCGTTTGTCGAGATTCGGCAGCACCCCTGGCTGGCACGACCTATGGAAACACATGCCTGCACATTTAAAGAGGCTCTAGAAAAGCAAAGCGGAAAGATTCCAGGTATTTTAAACCAAATTAGCATAACACCAATTAAAGGAATCGATCGCTCGCCTCGCATGCGAAATGAAGACTCGCGGCAAGCCAGCGAAGAGCTTCTCCTTGAGAAAATGCTACTGTCTGACCGCCATCATCGACGAGTCTCAAAAATTTCTGCCTCTAGCAGCCAACGAACAGAAAAGGTATAATATTCAAACCACCAACTTAAAGTATCCCTCCAGTTTAAGGAAACATCACCGGTTTCGAACCTCTCCCGTGATGAGAGCAGTATGCAATCGTTGCATACGTGTTTGGAGAGCTTGCCGTCAAGTAAGGACATTTTCTAAAAAAACTTAAAGTCACATATTTTAGCATGTAATCTCCCAAGAATGCACTCTCGATACGATAATATCTCAGCCTCATCTTTGGCTGATTATATGAGCATTGCTTCTGAAGATACCAGGTATAAAATTCGCGAACTCTCGGTAAATATTGATAATTTTTAGAACCGATACAATGAGCGTGGCAACGGGTTGTGCCTATTTTTCAGCTAGTGAGTATCAGGAAGATACGGACGATGAGTAAGTTGATGCATAAAGGGAACCCAAGTAGCGGCAAAAGAGATTCCGGAGGACAGACGCAGAATTTGGCGGAAGGGACCCAGCCGCACAGAATTCGGACGCCCCCTTGTGGCGCCCCACAGCCAAGGTGCCACTATGGCCAAGGATACACCAGGTCTTCAAAACGAGGGTCCCGGGTTCGACCCCCGCCCGCGTCATGGTTTTTGCTTTTTGAGCCTCAATGTTGGGTATCCCTTTAACGACTTAAATAGATCTTTTTTTTTAGCGGATCTGTCATATCCGATTTCTATAGACCAGCCGGTTCTATGAATAGTTTGGGACGTCATCGAAAACGATCAGTGGCTGCGAGGTAAGATTTTGTTCACCTCTTTTTGTAAAAGCACTAATAGATCCTTCGAGCGTGAACTGGGTACGGTAGCGGAAAGTGAAACCCCCTACGATCCGATGACGGCTTCACAAATTTCCGGAACCTCCACCATTGAAGACAAAACTCTCATCGAAGACCAAAAACCCAAATCATCACCCTCTTCTAAACTTCGACCATTCCTTTCCTACCGTAATACCGTCATTTCCAGGATACCTTTATTAAATACAGCCCGAGTCCCTGCTAACTGAGAAAACACTTAATTTTCATAGCTTTTAATTCGACAATGAACTTCTTAGTTCTAAAATCTATTTTATCTTCTGTTCTGTAATAATTTGTAGTAACCACCAAATACTGTACAATACGAAATCATCGATCTCCCTTCTCTGTCCGAATCCTATTTTCCGGGTCCCAATTTTGAAGACTAAATATAGGCAAAAGAAGTAAAAACTGAAAATTGACAATCAGTTACCTTTTTTATTTTTTTGCTAAAATTTTGGCGCATTGGCTAAATTGGCCAACGCTGTTTCGATATTGGTATGTTGTGTATTTATTGAAATGCTGAAATAAAGCATTTATTAACATTTTGTATAGACAGGATGGGATAAAAGCCTGGGAGAGAGAGCTCGAGAAAGAGAGAGAGAGAGAGAGAGAGAGAGAGAGGGAGGGAGGTTTGTGAGCGAGAGAAAGAGCAGCCTACCTCTAACCTCTGGAAGCTGTCTACAAGCCTTTAAGAGATCCTAAAACGTGCCGGTGCTTACTGTAACAAAAATTCAGAATTTACGAGCAGATTTTGCTAGTTAATGACAAAAAAAAAAGAGGAGGAAACCCCCCCCCCAAAAAAGGGGGGGGGAAGGGGGGGGGGGGGGGGGGGGGGGGGGGGGGGGCCGGGGGGGCCCCCCCGGGGCCCCCCCCGGGGGGCCCCCCCCACACCCCCCCCCGGGGGGAGAGGAAAGAGAAAGGGAAAAAAAATTTTAATTTAAAAAAAAATAAAAAAAAAAAGAAAAAAAGGAGGGGGGGGGGGGAAGGAAAAAAGGGAAAAGGGTGGGGGGGGGGGGGGGGGGGGGGGGGACTGGGGGGGGGGGGGGGGGGTTGGGGGGAGGAGGGGGGGGGGGGGGGGGGAAGAAAAACAAAAAAAAAAAAAAAAAAAGAAAGAAACTTTGTAAAAGTTTAGAAAAAAAAAAAAAAAAAAATAAAAAAAAAAAAAAAAAAAAAAATTTAAATATGGAGATGGTTGTAGGGGGGGGGGGGGCTAGGGGAGGGGGGGGGGGGCCCCCCCCCCCCCCCCCCCCCCCCCGCGGGGGGGGGGGGGGGGCGGCGGGGGGGGGGGGGGGGCCCCCGCCCGGCCCCCCCCCGGGGGGGCCCCCCCCAGGGGGAAGGAAAGAGGAGGGGGGGGAAAAAAAAAAAAAAAACCCCAGAGGGGGCCCCCTTCCCAACTGAGAGGAGATCTATGGATATTCCATGTAGCAATTTGAATAAAACGGAAGTGGGCTAGAATGGAATTGGCAGCATTCCGCAGTCATTTTCTTCTGAAAATACTAGAAGAAGGTGCGTTCCCTTTTCAAGCAAATTTATTTTTCGTGTCAAAATGGCGCCGCGCTTGCCGCCGGAAGCGGCTCCTCAAATTGATGCGCCCTTTCGGCCTCCCCCCGCCACCGCCTCCTCCTCCGCCCCCCGCCTTGGAGGTTTTCCTCGGCATTGCGGCCTTGGCCGTCAACCGGCCTAATTTTGGCGAATGCCGCCGTTTTGCCGAGCAGCGAGCTGGCGGCGCGCCCTTTGCCGACCAGATGAAAGTTTGTCAATTCATGGAGCATCTTAAAAATTCTAGCCTTAATTGTGTTCGAAAGGTTGTAGTTTACATTACCCCCCCCCCGCCCCCTGTTGCGGAAATCTCAAAAACAATTTTGGGCACTTAATGGGTAGGGCTAGGTCCTAAATATCAACGCCTAACCGGAAAATGCAAATCAAGAAATCATAAAATTTATAAAATTTAATTAGTGTTTTAGAGGCTTGCAGCATTCTCCTCGTTTTTTTACCATAACCTTTAATCAAATCAATGATTTTCGGCTAATAATAACACTTTTAGTATTTTTTTTGACATTCTATCGAATGGGATTCATCAAATTTTGTAAAAAAATCAAGAAAATATCAAAAGCTAGCTTCTCACTCACGGTTCATCTGGATTGGAAACCAGGTTCAAATCTGGTTTTTGCTATAGCTCTTTTATATTGGGTTATTTTCAAATAAAATTAAAACTAGCAGCATATTTTTTTTGATGCTCTATCGAATCGCACGTCAAAAAATGAGAAATATAGCTCTGTCAAGAAACTTAGGACCCAATGGCTAGGGCAGGGGGGGGGGGGGTAACGTAATTCTTGGCCTCCAAAAATTCAGATAAGGCCTTCTAAATTTACTTTCCTACAAACTTCATTACGATCCGTAGAAATTTGGTGTCGGCATCGATTCGTATACAGATCGCCGCCTCCCAGGTGCTCGTCTCGGGCAAATTTCTGAGCCGGCTGGGCGGCGCGGCCCGCCAGGGCAACCCTGGCCTCGGCAACGTACGCATTGGTCGACCTCATAGTCTAATAGTCAGCGATAAGAAGGAAGGTGGTCTACACAGAAATAGTTTGGAAACGAGTTGATGGCAGGCAGAGGGAAAAGCTGATGTGTTGCACGCTAACTAGCAATTGCAGGACATTTTATCAAAAACTCCACCGAGTTTGCGAATTATTTCGGTGCAAGCCACCCTCTTCTTGTCGTGCGTCTTCTCTAGATGATTGGGCATTGCACTAGTTGGCAAGTTCCTGTAATCGCAACGAATTGCGCATGCGTATTTTGCAGTAAGGGGTTGAGATCAGTTGCGAACGGTTCTAGTAGATTACGTTTTCTTGCTGTTTACTAAGTGGTGCCCACTCATCGGAAAAGACGACAGGGTATAGGAATGAGTAACTCATGTTTCTTTGGCTTTAGTATGGCCGGGCGCAGGTCATGCGCGCCGCGCGCATGCACCGGCGCCGCTATCTGTTCGCCGTCCAGGTGCTCGCCCGGGAGGCTCAGCGGCCCCCACCGGTCCATGTTGGCGTGGTAGAATTTTCGTGAATAGACTGGCACTGGGAGAATCGGATCGCAATGTTTAAACCATTTAAAAGAGTGCGAAAAGATCGCTACTTCAATTTTGCGCTAACAGTCGACCGGAAGTATATAGGAGCACGCTGCGCTAATTAGTTAGTTGCAAAGCGGGTATGGCTTCGGATCCTAAGCACTATCGATGCCCGTTATAGAAATTTTGCCATTATCATATATTTTGCGCCAAAAAAAAATAAGTCAACTTGGACAACGAATAAGCTTCCCAGCGCTTTTCGAATTCTTGAAAATCATTTCCGAAAGGTTCATAAATTATCGCTTCCGATTCTCCTAAGTTGCCATGTCTGGCGATCGCGTCTATCGAGCCGATCTCAACTCCTGTATATTTAACATTTTCATGAGGCCGGCCTGTGGCTCCGCCGTGGCGTCCGATGGGGGCGTCATTTCCGCCCAGTCCCGGTCGCGGTTTTCCGCCACCTTAACCGATTTTTTGTCAGTATTACCAATTCCAATTTTCAACGCGCGTTTATGCGGCTTAGTTGAAGTTTTTTATTCCAGGCCCAGGTCCTGTGAGGCGTCGTCCGGCTCCCAATATATCAATATATTTAATATGGCGTCTTTTTTGTATGATAAACTCTGGCCAAACGCCCAAAGCAATTTTCATAAATTTTTTTTTCTGAAAAATGCACTAAACACACCCATGGAATGCCAACCCCCGGTCCGGCGGCTCCAACATCAAATTGATCAGGTGACTGTTAGCACCGATTTTTTTCCTTTTTCCGCCCCGATCCTACCGTACGCTCCGGCTGATGGGCCAAAGATGGATTGTGCGCTCCCTGACACGCTGCAAAGGAATCTCGACGGTTTTTTTACTATTTTTAAATTGCAACTATGGCGTAATTTTCCTTAGCTACGGTAGCCACCCTAACTTCCACGTTTCCATCTTGGCAGACCGTTTTAGATTCACTGAAATCATCAACCTTATTGGCATTCCGCGGTCATTTTTCGCTTGATAATTGGTGAAAGTAAAGTAGGAATATAATGCTACACATAAAACTCCAATGTTTTTAGAAACTCGGGTGATGAAACGAAACACCGGTCGACAAGAAGCTTCCTAATGCATCGTCGTTCGGAATGGCTCGGAATGGTAGTCTACAGTCTCTTCAATATATCCTGTATTTTTCAGAGATCATCACAACGCCGCCAAAAACTGAGGATGATCAACAACAGAGCTGAGCTGTCGAAGAACAGGTTTTCCAACAGGAACGCTTGGAAATATTGTCCATTTAGGCTCGAAGATATCCGTCACCTCCCTGCTCCTTCTCCATGACATTTACACCAACCCAATGACGAACCTGAAATGACTGCTGTTTTGCACCTTTTTGTGAAATAAAGAGGGATCTGAAGACTACCGATTTTTTCACGATTAACATATGAGAAGTCAAAATAGAATTGAAAACTAAAAAAAAATTAAAATGAAAGCAAATCAAAGAAATTGCTATTTAAAGGCCGCAAACAGCATTCTCCTCGGCCAAAGTGCCAGAGCGAGCGATGGAAAATAAGCACCCGCCAATGCATGCTGAAATTTGCATAGATGCTTCTGATTGGCAGCAGTAAAAGGCAGTCTCATTTCTTCGCGTTCTACCCTCGTACCGATCGGTGGTTGGTTTTTGTTTTGCTACTCTTTTAATCTCTCGTGAATTCCGCCATGGCCCCTCGTACTGGAAATCATGAACATCTGGAACCCGAAGTCCCCCACTTCGCCCCGCCGCCAATCAATATTGACCAGATCATTGGGTTGTTTTTGCCCTTAAACTTAAGTCCGTCCAGGTTGCCGAATGCCCGCGTCGAAATTCCGGAATTCCGCGCAGCCGAAGAGCTTCTCGCGGCCAACCGCGCTCCCGCCGATCGCGTCGAAGAAGCTCAGGTTCGCAAGTTAAAGGGATGGGCAAGGCATGACTACGAATTTTCTTAGCTGTGGTTTCCAGATGAGTTTTGCCTCTGGCCATCTAGTCAATGGGAGCAAAAACCATGGGAGGACCATAGCCAACAAAATCCATCGTCATGCATTGCCGATTCCTTTAAGGCAATTTTGTTTGACACGGTACTTGAGTGTTTGCGGGGCGATTCTTGGAGAAAACAAACTTTTCCGGCCGAAACCTAGTTTTTTTTTAGAAATTTCTATTAATGGCTTGGTAAAATCGCTTCGGCATTCTTTAGCATAAAAACATTGGACTTTATTTCAGCCACAAATTCGGTTTTTTCGACCTTAAATGATCAAATTTCCCGGTTTTTCAAGGATTATTCTCAATTTTCTAAAAATTTTGGTTGAATTTAAGGTTGATTTTACTTAAAAATGATTAAAATAGCCTATGCCAAGCAAATACTCAACTAACAGTCTTATTCTGGCCGTTGGTAGGTTATCGTCTCCCATTTTGTGATCTTCGAGACGCGATTGGCGCTTCTACGTGATGCCATCGACCGCGGCGACCCGAGGATTTTCTTCGTAGGTATTTGCAGCAAAACTGCAAAGACAAAAAAATTTTGTCTATAATTTCCCGTGCCTGGAAAGCTAATGCTTAGGGAATTCGAACAAATGCGCGTGTTCTTTAGCATTATCGGGGGACCAGCTTTTTTAGGATCCAATTTTTCAAATATTCACAGGCGGAAGCGTTTTTAAGCTGTTTTTTACTAATCCTAAAAGTAAATTTTATTGAAAAAAAATCGATTTTTTTGACCAAAACTGCGATTTTTGGCAGTTTGTTGTTGGCCTAGCTTAGATACAGTTATATTTTACAAAAAAAGACTAATAAATTAGTTCGGAGTAACTTACTAGATATCTTTAGGGTTACAAAAAGTTTCGGTCCCCCAATCCTCGGTAATGGGAAAGAACCAAACTTGGTGCGCCTTGATTCTAGGTGGGGCAAGACCTGCTTGTCGCCTACATCGCGGAGTACAGCCTGGTCCATGATCGGGCCAAGGCCCGTATGATGATGCTCATCGCAACCCCTGGCGACCACCGCCTGAACCGCGTAAATTCTTTATTCGCTATGATAAGTACAAATATTTCCTTTGCCTCGTGGAGTACAAATTGTGATTTTCAGGACTACCTGCGGCTGCAGTGGTCCGCGCTCTCGTGGATGCGCAGGGTCCGTCTCCTGAAGGAAGAGCTCGAGATCTCGATCCCCGCTCTGTTCGGCTAAAACGGCCAGATCTTTCTGATTTAATGCATTAGATAGAGCGCTTTGTATAGTTAAATTCTTACCGAAAATTTACCGAAAATTTCGGTCAATTTTATTTTTCGGTTTGGTGAGACTTTGTGAATTTCCCTCTGGCAAATAAATAATTTATTCGTTTGAAAGATACACACAACGACAAATAATTCATCGAGTTGGCGACAAAAGGCATATGCGTATTACACATGGCGAAATTGGAATGCTGGGTGATTCGAATTTTATAATTTTGCTTGTAGAACGCAGCTTCAATTGAAACATTACTTTTTATCTAACCTTATAGAATAGTGCAGGGTGGTTTTTAACCGAAAGAGAGTGAGAGAGAGACACAGAGAGAGAAAGCGAGCGAGCGAGAACCTACGTTTAGCCACTAGAACGGCCTACAAGGCTTTAAGGAATGCTGAAACGTGCTAGAGATTAACAAATTAAAAACCATCGGCTAGAGCTCCAACTTTTCCAAACTCAGAGGAGATCTGATAGATTTTCCATGTAGCAATTTGAATGAAACGGAAATGGGTTGAAATGGGTTTGATAACATTCTCCCATCATTTTCTTCTCCTACATCCAGAGAAGGTGCGTTCCCTTTCCACGCAAATTTATTTTTTCACGTCGGATATGCCCCCCCGCCAACGAACCGAGGAGCAGCCGCCCTACTTCGAGGGCGACTATGTGGTGCCTCCTCCTCCTCCTCCTCCTCCTCCTCCTCCGCTTATGGAGTTCCTTGGGATTGCCCAGCTCGCTCAGGGCCGGCCCGGGTTTGCCGCCTGCCTGCGCTACTGCGAGCAGACCGACGGCCCAAACCCGGCCGACCGTATTCGAGTTTGTCTATTCATGCCGCATCTTAAAAATTATCGCTTTAAATTATTGAAAAAAAGTGATAGGTTACTTTAACCCCCCCAGCCCAAAATTCTAACGCTTGGTCCCAGATATTGCCTCCTAACCGGAACATGCGAATAAACAAATTTTAGTATTTATATAATTCAATTCATGATTTTTTGGAGGTTTACAAAACTTTGCTTCTTTTTACCATAGCCATTTTGATTCACATTATTTAGGGCAGAAATTAAAACGGAGAATATTTTTTCGGCGCTCTATCGAATGGCGTCAATCAAATCTTGTAAAAATCTCTAATCAATGTTTATGTGAAAGCCACGTTTTACGAATGCCGCGTCAATAAAACGAAGAAATAGTGGAACCAGCAAGAACTTTCGTACCCAGCAGTTGGGCGGGGGGGTAAAGTAAACTTTAGCCTCGAAAAATTCTGATATGATTAATGTTTACCTAAGAGGTCGGGAATGTCCTCTAAATTTCTTTTACTAGAACTATGCTTCATTATGATCCGCAACAATTTGATGCCAGCATCAATTCGTATATAGGCCGCTGCCTCGCGGATTCTCGTCTCGGGCAAGTGGTTGGCCCGTCTCCGAGACGCGGCGCGCCAGGCCATGCCGGGCTTTGAGAACGTACGCATTGGTCAACGGCATAGTCGAATAGTCAGCGATAAGAAGAAAAGTGGTCGACACCGGAATAGTTTGGAAACGAGTTGATGGCAGGCAGAGGGAAAAGCTTATGTGATGCACGCTAACTAGCAATTGCAGGACATTTTATCAAATACTCCACCGACTTTGCGAATTATTTCGGTGCAAGCCACCCTCTTCTTGTCGTGCGTCTTCTCTAGATGATTGGGCATTGCACTACAGGGTGTCCCAAAAAAAAAACCCCCTACCTAGCGGTCCGCGGTCAAGTCCGATTTTTATGATTTAACTACCTATCGAAAGCTCTCGAAAAGGCGAGAAAACAAGCGGGTTTCGTTTTTTAAGATTAAATCTGATTCCATCGATATTTCAGGTTTTCCTCAAAAACCGGGAATTTTTCATCAGGAATTTCGCAATTAGCATGCAGATCTCGCATAAATCAGCAGTTTTCATGGTTTTTGGACATAAAATTAGCAAATAAAAAGGCTTAATTAAGAAATTCAACCCTCCTTGTCTTCTCGCCTTTTCGAGAGCTTTCGATAGATACCTAAATCGTAAAAATCGGAATCGACTGCGGACCGCTAGGTAAGGGGGGTGTTTTTTTTTGGGACACCCTGTAGTTGGCAAGTTCCTGTAATCGCAACGAATTGCGCATGCGTATTTTGCAGTAAGGGGTTGAGATCAGTTGCGAACGGTTCTGGTAGATTACGTTTTCTTGTTGTTTACTAAGTGGTGCCCACTCATCGGAGAAGACGACAGGGTATAAGAATGAGTAACTCATGTTTCTTTGGCTTTAGTATGGCCGGGCGCAGGTCATGCGCGCCGCGCGCATGCACCGCTTCAGGTTTGGCCTGGCCCTGCAGGTGATCGCCTTGGCCCCGTTCATCGCCAATAATCCGGTAGAATTTTCTTGCAGGGTCTGGCACTAGGAGAATCGGATCGCGATGTTTAAACCATTTATAGGAAATCACTGCTTAAATTTTGCGCGAACAGTCGACCGGAAGTATATAGGACCATATAGAAACCTCGCCTTTATCATATATTTTGCGCCAAGAAAATTATGTTAAGTTAAGTGAAGACAAATGTTTCTTCCCGCTTTTCCAATTCTTGAAAATGGGTTTCGTGGGTTTTCAAAAGGTTCATAAATTATTGCGTCCGAATCTCCGACGTTGCCATGCCTGTCGATCACGTTTTCGGACATGTAGCCGACCTCAACTCCGGTATTTTTAACATTTTCATGAGGCCGCCCTTTGGCAGCGTCGGGCGGCGCGCTGGTCTCAGCATTATGGGGAAGTGCAGGTCCAAGTATTCACCGAGCTGCACGATTATTATGTCAGCATTCCCGATCCTAATTTTCAAAATTTAATTATTAATTTTAATGTTTTGATTTTTTTATTCCAGGCCCGCGAGCTGTGAAGCTGATGCTCCACCGGTCAAGCCTCTCATATGGGATTTAAAAAAATTGAATAATGAGTCAGTTACGAGCACAAAGATGCCAAATAATGTTGGCCCGGGCCCTAAAAATTGCGAATCAACAACACACACATGCATGGGCATCCAACCTCTTGTCCGGCGTCTTCAACAACAAATTTATCAGGTGAACGTTGGCACCAGATCCTACAAAGTTTTTTCATTTTCTCCCGCGCCGCTCCTACCGTCCCCTCCCTCCGGCTAATGGGCCAAAGATGGATTGTACGCTCCCTGACACGCTGCAAAGGAATCTGGAGGGTTTTTTACTATTTTTAAATTGGAAAATAGCGTAACTTACCTTAGCTACCACTTCCACTTTTCCCTCTTGGCAGACCATTTTAGGTTCCATTGAAATCATCAACCGCGGTCATTTTTCGCTTAATAATTGGTAAATCTTGCAAAGTAAAAATATCGTGTTACACATAAAACTCCAATGTTTTTAAGAAACTCGGGCGATGAAACGACACACCGGTCGACAAGAAGTTTCTTAATGCGTCGTCGTTCGGAATGGTTCGGAATGGTAGTCTATATTCTCTTGAATATAGTCTGTATTTTTCAGAGATCATCACAACGAGCCAAAAAATGATGATGATCAACAAAATAACTGAAAGTCCGAATTGCAGGTTTGGCAACAGAGACACTTAGAAATATTGCCCATTCAGGTTCGAAGATATCCGGCAGCTCCGAGCTCCATCGCCATGACGTCTACACCAATCCAATGACGAAACCGAAATTAGTTGCGTTTTGTACCTCTTTGTGAAATAAAGAAAAATCTGAAGCTTACCTTTTTACCCTAGGGATACAGGAAACTAGCTCAAAATTAAAAACTCAAAAAATTAACATCGAAGTAAGTTAGAAAAATTGCGGTTTGAAGGTATACCCAACATTTTCGGTCATGAAAAAGTAAAAATATAAATTTGCATTTGCAACAAAAGCCTTGGGTCTCCCTTTAAAGGCGGTGAGACGGCCGTCTCGAGTGCATTTAAGGCCGCAAACAGCGCTTCTCCCGGGCCAAAGCGCCATTGTGAGTGATGGAAAATAAGCACCCGCCAATGCATGCCGAAATTTGCATAGATGCTTCTGATTGGCAGCAGTAAAAGGCAGTCTCATTTCTTCGCGTCTACCCTCGTACCGATCAGTGGTTGGTTTTGTTTTGCTACTCTTCCAATCTCTCGTGAATTCCGCCATGCCTCCCCGAGTTGGTGGAGAGCAAATCACCGAGCCGGAGATCCTCCACGTCGCCCCGCCGCCGCCCAACATCGATGAACTGATTGGGTTGTTGTTGCCCTTGGGCTTAATTCTCTCTAGTCTGGCTCGCGCTCGCCTGAATATCCCTGAATTCGTCGCCGCGGAACAGCTTCTGGGCGCAAACCGCCCTCCCGGAAACCGCCTCGAAGAGGCTCAGGTTCGCAAGTTAAAGGGATGGGCAAGGCATGGCTAGGGCTTTTGCCAGCTGTGGATTCCAGATGAATTTTGCTGTCTGGCCATCTGGTCAATGGGAGCAAAAAGCGTAGAGGATCCATAGCCAACAAAATCTCTTGTTATGCATTGCCGATCCCTTTAAGGCAATTTCGTTTGACACGGTACTTGAGTATTTGCGGGGAAGAAAAGGAACTTTTTCCGCTGAATTCAAGATTTTCTCTGAATGGCTCGGTAAAATCGTTTCCGGATTCTCAACAAGGTGACGTTTTTAAGGGCTTTAGGATGGGACCAAACCCGTCTTGTGCAGAATTTCGCGCTGATCCCGCATATTGCCAAAGTTTTTGCGGAATAGCCATTTCTCGAAGACAATTTCACCTAAAACACCCCCCAAAGCATCAACTCTCATTGAACATAAAAGGCTTCGGAAGAGGCTTGGAAAAGACCAGCTAGTGCATCTTTTTCAAAAAAAAAATCTATGAAAGGTACCATCTTAATCAAAATGTTTGAAATGTTGCAAAAATTTTTATGCATTTTGATGCCCCTAATTTTATTAAAACTTCTGAAGTCTGAATCTTTTGAATGATATATTTTAACTATATTACCAGGGTTGAAAAGCCGCTTCGCGACTTTTCAACCCTGGCCCCTTCTGACCCCCCATTTTATCCTTCAATTTACATAATTGTCCTAAATTCTGATGACAAAAAATGAAAAACAACCTTCTCCTGTCCATTTATATAGTCTAATCCCCCACTTCCGGTCTATGCTAATTATTCCTAACAAAGAAGTTTTCACAAAAAGTTAAATTTAATGTCGAAAATAGCTGATTTTGTAAAATTTAATACGTGTGCAATCATCTCCAGGCCATTGCGCGCCTAATGACGTATCATACATCTCTTAAAATTCATCCCCTGGCGAGATATCCTCTGGACAGACAGACGGAAGTGGATGCAAAGTGGCACACACAGACACACAAACACACAGACACTATTTTTTTATATATAGTGGGATATATAGTGATATATTTTACAGAGAAATTTTCCTTTTCGAAAGCCCCGTTTCCAAAGCTTTTTATGTTCATCAAAAGTGTGGCTTTTCCAAAATTGGTGACTTTTGCCGTCTTAAATAACTCATAAGTTTCGTTAATTGGCTATTCCGCACAAACGATAACCATATTCGAATCAGCGCAAGATTCTGCTCCAGATAGGTTGGTTCCTATCCCAAAATCCGGGCAACACTTAGAACTTAAAATTGACAACCCTTCGTGAGCATAAAAACTTGTTGCCTTTGACTTTAGCCAAAATTTCTATTTTTTCGACCTAAAACGATGAAATTTTCCGATTTTCAAAGATTGTTATCAATTTTCTAAAGGTTTCGTTGAATTCAAGGTTGATTTTACTCAAAAATTATGAGAATATCCGGTTACCAAGCAAATACTCAAGTACCAGTCTGATACATGCGGTTGGTAGATTATCGTCGCGAGCTTCATCGTCATCCAAACGCGCTATTTGCTCCTTCGGGGCGCCATCCACCGCGCCGACCCGCGCATTTTGATGGTATATATTTGCAGTAAAACGGCAAAGCCACAAAACTATTGTCTTTAATTTCCTGCGCCAGGATAACTAATGTGTATTGAATTCGAACAAAACCTCGGGTTCTTTCGCATTATCGGGGGCGGGGGCAGCCTTTTTAAGGTCCAAGTCTTCAAATCTACATACCGGAATGTTTCCGGTTTATTACTATTCCTAATGGTAAAGCCCTTCAAACCTTTTGATTGAAAAATGTAAAAGTCTCAGTTTTCGACCAAAATTCCGATTTTTAAAAGTTTTTATATAATTGTTCTATTGGCTGAAATATAGTTATATTTTACCATAACACACTAATAAATAGTTTCTGTTAAGCCACGATTTTTAGACAATATATTTAGACTTAGACAATTTTTATACCAAAAAAGGCTCGTACCCCCCTGATATAGGGAAAGAACCAATCCTCTTGCGCATTCACTCTAGATCGGGGAAGATGGCCTGGTCGCCTACCTCCGGGAGTACAGCGCCCTCTACGATCGGGCTAAGGCGCGCATGATGCAGCTGATTGCACGCCCCGGAGAGCACCGCCATCACCGCGTAAATTCTATATTCCGTATTATGAGTAGTAAAATTTTCGTTTCCTTATTGTGGCACAAATTGTGATTTTCAGGGGTTCCTTCGCCTGCAGCGGGCTGCCCTCGCCTGGATGCGCCAGGTTCGCATCTTGGAGCAGGAGCTCGGGGGGGATGGTCGCAGCTCTTTTCAATTGAGATGCGGGGCTAAGTTTTGATATGATGTTTAAAGTATGCTTAAAACGCGCTTTTTCGTTCTTTCTATCTCAATCATTTGATAAATAGGGTTCATGGGCATACAATTTTTGCATGTTTCTTGGTATTGAATAAATGATTTATTGAATTGAAAGATACACACAACGATAAATAATTCACCGAGATGGCGACAGAATACATATGCAAATTACACATGACGGAATTGGAATATTAAGCTATTCGAATTTTACGATTTTGTTTGTTAGAATTTACCTATACATTGAAACGTCAATTTTATCTAATTTTATTACAGAGGGCAATTTCGGAATGACTTGCACCATGTTTTATAGCAAATTTTGAGCTTACTGTAATTTACACATAAAACAATTGCTCTCATATTTAAGCATTAATAAAATGGGCATCAAAATGCACGTACAAGTTGAGATCACAGAATTTGTTGGGCGTGTGATCGGGGCTGTCGAATCGTTGGGTTTGGATGGAAATATCGGTTTTTGTAATAAAATAAATTACCTTTCAAGGACTAGGTTTTCTAACCGGGGGAGAGAGAGAAAGCGAGTGAGAGAGAGAGAGCGAGAGCTAGAGCCTACGTCTATCCACTAGAAGCAGGCATGTTTTAAGGAGCTAGAGATCCCTTTCTTCCAAACTCAGAGGAGATCTGATAGAGGTTCCATGTTTCAATTTGAATAAAACGGAAGTGGGCTAGAATGGAATTGGTAGCATTCCGCAGTCATTTGCTTCTGAAACGACTAGAAGAAGGTGCGTTCCCTTTCCATGCAAATTTATTTTTTCGCGTCGGATATGCCCCCGCGCGTGCGAACCGAGGAGCCGCCGCCCTTCTTCGAGGGAGCCTATGTGCCTCCCCCTCCTCCTCCTCCCCCGCCACTGGAGGCCTTCCTGGGCATTGATCAGCTGGCCGGTAGTCGGCCCGGGTTTGCGGCTTGCCTCCGCTACAGCGCGGAGACCGACGGCGAAAACGCAGCCGCTCGGATTCGTGTTTGTCATTTCATGCCGCATCTTAAAAATTATAGCTTTAAGTTATTGAAAAAGATTATAGGTTACTTTAACCCCCCTCACCCCGTCCAAAAGTTCCGAAAATTTGTAGGCTCTTCGATGACTAGTGCTAGATCCCATCAGACCCACGAACGGCAAATTCCCAATAAATAAATGGTAAAAATTTTAGAATGGATTAACTATCAGACGGCTTGCAGAATTTCGCTTGTTTTTGCCATAACTTTTTGAGTTACGTCATTTTTGGCTAAATAAATTGTTTATAAATTTTTGATACTCTATCAAATCGCGTTTATCAAAAGTTGCAAAAATATTAAAAATCGCGAGAGCTAGCGGATCATGAATGTTCGTATGTGCGGTCGCGCTCAAATCTTGTTTTCGCCATGACTGTTTCAGATAACATTGTTTTGTTCTGCATTTAAGACTAGTAGTACATTTTTTGACGCTGATCGAACTGCGCGTCGAAAACCAAGTAAAATTAGCGCAAGTATCAAGAACACCCAGGAGCTGGGGGCGGGGGGGTAAAGTAAACCTTGGCCCCCAAAATTTCTGATAAAATTAATGTCTACGTAAATCATCGGGAATGCCTTCTAGATTTACTTTCCTCCATACTTCATTACGACCCGTAGAAGTTTGATGCCAGTATCAAGTCGTATATAGGCGGCGGCTTCGAGGGTCCTTGTCTCGGGCAAGTTCCTGAGCCGTCTTCGCGAAGCGGCTCGCCAGGGCCACCCAGGGCTACGCGCCGTACGCATTTGTCAACTTCATAGTCTAACAATCAGCGATAAGAAAGAAGGTGGTCGACACAGAAATAGTTTGAAAAGAGGTATTGGCGGTCAGAAAAAAAAAATATTATGGGATGGAGCTAACTAGCAATTGCAAGACGGTTTGTCAAAACTTTCACTTACTGTAAAGTGTTTTCACTCAATTTCGAGTTTCGATTCGGGACCAAGTGCATCTTGTGCAGAATTTTTTGCTGCTTCCGAATCCGTTTTTCAAATCTGCTGCGGACTTTTATTTAAAAATCCTTTTTGGTGCAAATTAAGCTTAAAAAAGCCAAAAAATCGGATTCTGGCCTGCTTTTTGCATAAAAAATTTAATTTGTTATAAAAAAGCTTGTTTTGACTTTTAAGATGCTTGTTTAGCCAATCTCTAGCCAATTTTGAAGTTGAAATTGATCAGGAAAATCGAAAACGATAATTTTGGTGCAAAACACTACCATAATTGCTGTTTAATTTTCAAAATGAAAGTCCGCAGCAAATTTGGAAAGCGGATTCGGGAATCAGCGAAAAATTCTGCACAAGATGCACTTGGTCCCGAAACGAAACTCCAACTTGAGTAAAAACACTTTACAGTTAGTTTGCGAATGATTTCTGTGTAAACCATCTTCTGCTTGTCGTGCGTCTTCTTTTTATGAGTGGGGATTGCACTAGTGAGTAAGATTCTGTAATCGCTAGGAATTTCGAATTCGTATTCTGCAGTAAGAAGCTCGTTACCAGTTCCGATTGGTTCTAGTTGATTACGTTATCTTGCTGTTTACTATTATGTGGTGTCCACTTATCGGAGAAGACGACAAGGTATAAAGACGAGTGCCTCACGTTGCTTTGGCTTTAGTATGGCCGGGAGACGGTTCTGCGCGTCGCAAGGGATTACCGTTTCAAGTACGGTATCGCCCTCCAGGTTCTCGCCCAGCTCGGCGATGTTGACGGGGTAGAATTTTCATGAATGGCCTGGCACTGGGAGAACCGGAGCGCAATGTTTAAACTATTTAAAGGAGTGCTAAAAGATCGCTACTTCAATTTTGCGCCCACGGTCGACCGGAAGTATATAGGACCTTATAGAAACCTTGCCTTTATCATTTATTGCTACTTATAACGTTACGCCAGCATCAAAGTTGTCAAGAAATAAGGTTTCTAGCGCTTTTCGAATGCACGCCAAAAAGCGTTTCGTGGGTTTTCAAAACATTCATAAATCATTGCGTCTGAATCTCCCAAGTTGCCATGCCTTTCGATTGCGGTTACAGAAACGTAGTCGGTTTCTGCTCCAGTATGTTTAACATTTTCATGAGTCGGCTCGTTGGCGCCGCCGTGGGGCCCGGTGGTCCCAGCACTTCGGCCAGGTCCCAGTCGACATTTTCCGCGACCTTAACGGGTTTTTTGTCAGTATTACCAATTCTAATATGCAACACGCGTCTATGAGGCTTCCCTTTAATTTTTTATTCCAGGCCGCCGAGGCGCACTGATGCGTCGCCGTACTGCGATTATTAATATTTTATATGGTGTCTTTTTGTATAATAAATTTGGGACCAGCACCTAATAAGATTGCTAATCAATTTTTTCCCAAAAAAATCACAAAACACATGCATGCAATGCCAACCTCCGGTCTGGCGGCTTCAACAACAAATTTATCAGGTGAAATTCGGCGCCAGCTCCTAAAAATTTTTTTCATTTGACTCGCGTCGATCGCATACGCGAGTGCGCTCAGACTGATGGGCGAACGATGGACTAGGGACCCCGGAGAGGCTGCAATCAAATTTGTTTTTTTCCGTTTTTAAATCATAACTATAGAGTTTTTATTAGGTCCCTCTTTAGCTTCTATTTTTTTCAGACCATTTTAGATGCTACTGGGATCATCAGCCTTGGCAATCCCCGGTCATTTTGGTCTTGATAATTCCACGAGAATGCAAAGTAGGAATATAGTGCTACATATAAAACTCCCGTTTTTTTTAGAAACCGTTAGCTTTCTGCGATGAAATGATACGGTCGTCGAGAGGCTTCTTAATGCGTCGTCGCACGGAACGCTTCCGAATGGTAGTCTATAGTATCTGTAGTATAATCTGTTTTTTTTTCAGGTATCATCACAACGCCGCCAAAAAATGATGGTGATCAACAACAGAGCTGAGCAGTCGTAGAACAGGTTTGGCAACAGGGACGCTTGGAAATATTTTCCATCTAGGCTCGATGACATCCGGCAACTCCCTGCTCCTTCGCCATGACGTCTGCACCAACTCAATGATGAACCCGAAATTACTTCTGTTTTGCACCTACTTGTGAAATAAAGAGGGATCTGAAAAGTACCTGATTTTGCCATTGGCATATTGATAACAAAATTAAAATAAAAACCTAAAAAACAAACAGCACTAATCCAGGGCCAAAGAGCCAGTGCGAGTGATGCAAATAAGAACCCGCCAATGCATGCCGCAATTTGCATAAATGCTCCTGATTGGCTACAGAAAAGGGCAGTCCCATTCTTCGCATTTTACGGGAGAACGGTGGTGGGTTTTGTTTTACTACTCTTTCAATCATTCTTGACTTCGCTATGCCTCCTCGTGTTCCCGATCAAGAAGTTCCGGCCCCCGAGGCGCCATACCGTGTGCCTCCGCCGCTCGAGATCGACGATATCATTGGGTTGTTTTTCCCCTTGAGCTTAATTCTGTCTAGACTTCGGCGCGCTCGCCTCCATGGGCCGGAGTTGGTGGACGCGCAGCAGCTGCCTCCCGGCAACCGCCTCGAGGAGGCGCAGGTTCGCAATTTAAAGGGATGAGCAAGGCAAGCCTACGGATTTTGCTAGCTGTGGATTCCAGGTGAGTTTTGCTGTTTGGCCATCTGGTCAATGGGAGCAAAAACCATCGAAGATCCATAGCCAACAAAATCCATTGTTATGCATTGTACATCCCTTTATGGCGATTTCGTTTGACACGGTACTTGAGTATTTGCGGGGGCGGGCAAGTTTCTAAAAGTTTTAATTGAATTCAAGGCTGTTTTGACTGAAAAATTGAAAATAGCCCGTATCAAGCAAATACTCAAGTACCAGTCTGATTCTTGCGGTTGGCAGAACATTGTCGCGCAATTCGTCCCGGTGCAGTGGCGTTTTATTTTGCTGCGCCGTGCCATCAACCGTCGCAACCAGCTGCTACTTATGGTAGTATTTGCAACAAGTCTGCAAAGCAAAAAAAAACGTTGTATTGAATTTCCTGTGCCTGGATAGCTAATGATTAGTGAATTCGATCAAAACCTCGGATTCTTTCGCATTATCGGGAGGACCAGCTTTTTTAAGACCCAATTTTTCAAATATACATAGTTAAAATGTTTTTAAACTGTTTACTCTTACTATTCCTAATGGTAAAAACTTTTCAAAAACCCAAAAAATAACTCATTCTACTACTACTTCTACTAATTTATTAGATATTCTTAGGCTTCGAAAAAAAGCTTAGCCCCCCCTCCCCCGATAATACCGAAGAAGAAAATCTCCTGCGCTTTGATTCTAGGTGGGGCAAGCAGGCCTTGTCAATTACATCGACCAGAACGCTCTGCAATACGATCGGGCCATGGGCCGTTTGGTGCGGCTCGTCGCTACGGTCGGCGAGCACCGCACTCAGCCCGTAAATTTGATATTCGCCATTATGAGTACACATTTTTCCTTTCCCTTTGGAGTATAAGTTGTGATTTTCAGGCCTACCGGCGCCTCCATCGTGCGGCGTCTGGATGGGTGCATAAGATCCGCATCCTGATGGCGGAGCTCCGCCAGATGGTTACCGCTCTCTTTGAATGAATTTTTGGGTCTTAGATATTCTTAAATAAGCTTTTTCGCTTTTTCGAATTTTGATTCTGAGCCTTATTTCTCCATATCTTTTCAATTGATAAATCAGTTTCCAGGGCATACAAGTTTGGCGTGTTTTTTGGTATTGAATAAATCCTTTATTAAATTGAAAGATACACACAACGATAAATAATTCACCGAGATGGCGACAAAATACATATGCATATTACACATGTCGAAATTGGAATGTTAAGCTATTCGAATTTAACAATTTTGTCTGTTAGAGTTTAGCTATAAATTGAAACATTAATTGTATCTAATTTTATGACAAAGGGCAGTTTCGGAATGACTTGCACCATGTTTTATAGCAAATTTTGAGCTTACTGTAATTTACACATAGACAATAGACAGCATAAAACAATTGCTCTCGTCTTAAAGCATTAATGAAATGGGTATCAAAATGCACGTACAAGTTGAGATCACAGAATTTGTTGGGCATGTGTTCGGGGCTATCGAATCGTTGGGTTTGGATGCAAATATTGGTTTTTGTAATAAAATAAATTAATTTTTATAATGACTAGGTTTAGAAAGATATTAATAAATTTAAACCTTCTTAATCAGCTTATCACGATAAGGGGATTGGTACCTAGGTAAATTCTCGTGATTGGGTCTTCTGGTAGGGGCGTAGGGATAAAATTCAACGTTGTCGGGATAATTCCGGTTGTACGGCTTCCGGTATGAATTGGTGGAGGGTCCGTAACCCATCTTTCTCCTCTCGGCCATCCGCTTGATTTCCTGTTGTCGACGTCGTTCACGCTCTTCTTCCTGGAAATTTAAGGTATACATTAAAAAGGATATAAACGTACCACTTCCTCCTGCCGCTGCTGCTCAATCAATCTCTGCCTCTTTTCTCGCTCCTCTCGCTCCTTCTTCAACCTTTCTTCTCTTCTCTTATTTTTTTTTTTCTTTTTCTGCTTCCCATCGTCAGGTTTTGGAGTGGCGATCTAACCATTAAATTGATAGAGTCGGATTTTAAATGCTTACAATAGTCGGAGCCGTGGGTACCATAGGATAATCAGCCCCTTGCCATTTGCTCTCATCAATAGCATTATCCCCTGTCGACCTTCTAATCGAGCTGGATACCACCCTTAATAAACTGTTTCAGATATTTTCCACTTTTCCGAGATGTTCCCTAAATTCCACTTACTGCGTCACGTCAATATCGTCGGGCACATTTTGGGCTATGTCAAAATGCACGACGAGGAAATGGGCTGACCTTCGTCGTTTTCGTGAATTTCGGCCTTTTCGGGGATGGCCTAATCATTCTTTGTTATTAAAGTTTGTTATAAATTATTACCGTCTTTCCGTATTGCCACGTACCATGGCTTGAATTTGGCGTCTATCGTTGAGGGATAATGAGCACAGGAGGAATATAGGTTGTAGTAATTTTCCAACATTTCTTCTAAGAAAACGCATTCCGCGGAATAGTGATCGGCTGGCTGCAATAATTACTAGATTTGTAAAGTTCTGTCTTAAACTTACCGCAGCGTAGAGTCTGCTTGAATTGTCCATACATAAAAATCTGTTCGACTTTTCGCCTCTTATAGAGACAAGGCCAATCGCAACAGAGATAAAGTGAAGTATACCTTAAAGCATACTTAGATTTGACGACCACTACCAAACTTACTAAATTCACTGCGAGTCTGTAAATTCCCCCAAATTAAATTATCTTGAGTCGTGTCCCGTTTTCTTCGAGACGATTCCCGCTCGTCAAGAATCTAAAAATTGGATTTTCAGCTAGAAATACTCAAAAATTACCTCTAACCAACTCCCACTTCTGCAAAATAACGCCCCGCGTCGTACTGTATTGTTAGTTCTAAAGGAATATGTAAATTTAAATAAAGAAAACTTACAATTGGCCATCTGGCATCCGGAATATACCATAACCATCAGGGACCTGACGGGCTTTTGCATAGTTTGCACAACTTGCGGCAAGTTCGGGACTAAAAAAATATTCTAATTTTTATTGTTTGAAACCTGTGTAGCGACTGCTCTTCTTGTTCATCTACCGCATACGTTTCTGGGAAATCCGTCGCTTTAGACGTTGGTTTTGGTCGAAATCTGAAAAATAACTATATAAAAACATCAAATTCAGTTTTTTACTATCGCGCTCACTGTAAAAAGTTTTCCAGAGTTTTCAGAATTTTGGAGCATAAACTTTGAAGCCCAAAACCCTCGTAAATACGTGCAAAAGGCAACATTTTTGTACCCAGATGCACCCAGACAAAAGCCCTGCTCTCTGAACGCCACGACGTTAAAGTTTACGACCAATCTCCCCGGGTTTTGCAACAATGTTGCTACTGCCGGTCATAAACGTTAAGGGGGAGGCGGCTCTTGTTGCCCTTGTTGCACTTGTTGTTGTGCTTTGGATACCTTGATCGAGCCCGAGTTGTGGCTCCCCGTTGAACAGCCGGAGCTTGGCTGGTGCTAGCTGGTGATTGCCAATAGCTGACTCGATTGGTTTGGCGTTGTTCGAATTCCTGAAGATATTTAAATAATCAAATCTTCATGAAAATGAAGCTTTGTTTAAAAAAAGTATTCCAAATCTACCTCGGGCAATGTCTTTGGCGGCAAATGGCGTGAGGCTCGCAAATTTCTGGGCACAAAAATGGCCTCATCGTATCTAAAACAAGATATAAAAATTATGTATAAAAAATACATAGAATATGCAGTGGAGGTAGACGGGCCTATAGCGCTGCCACCGGCACTAACCGGTGCTGGGAGCATATTCAGCGCATATTCCTAGAATTTTGAGATTAATAAAAAAGGAGAGAGAGAGAGAGAGAGACAGAGAGACAGAGAAGGGGAGTGAGAGAGAGAGAGAGAGAGAATCAGACAGGCAGACCTGGTCAGGGAGAACGTTAAAAACAGCTTAAAAATTGAACCAAAAGTGCTACGACTTAAGAAGAAGTAAAAATGCTATAACATAAAAAGAGCGGGGGCGGCCGGAGTGAATTGGCCTGGTTCCAATGCGAAAAAAGTGGCCGAGGCTGCTTGTTCTGAATCAGCGATGACGGTACGAAACTGTTCAAGTTGCGTGTTGTGGTCAGAAAGGAGGGGTGATATCATATTGTTAAGTTAGTCTGCTTCAGAGATGGGAAAGGCGGAAGCAGCATAAGCTAAAGCAAGGTCAGGCTTAGGCTTGGGCTTATAAGGAGTGCTTTTTTGAGTCATACGCAAATCATTTCCAAAGATAGTGCATTCGATAGAGAATTTCATTCTGAGTAACGCTATCAGGTTCATTTTTGCAGAATGGCCGTCCCCGATTTTATAAAATTAAAAAACTAAAACGGTTTTTTCCTAGATCCCTCGGCGCCCGTTTTCCCGATGGCAGCCTGGCTAGCCACCGGGACAAGGGGGGCCTAGATGGCCTCCCAACCACGATTGATGATAGCGCAGTCGGTAGTGCGGTTGTCTTGGAAACTTTTTTGGACTTCTCTGGGAGGTTCGATTCTTCCACGTGTAATTCCTTTTGCTTTTTGAATTTTTATAGCGGTGAATGGCTTTTTCGCTTCAATTGATCTCTATGAGCTCCGCTCTATGAGCCGGCACGACTATAGTGAAATCCCGGTGAACAGTGACAAGACTCGGGCCTGGAGACTCCACTTTGATCAACTTTGAAGCAATTGCCAACTCAAAAACGCAAAAAACACATCCCTATGTACGGAAACTCAATTGACCATAAAAAAAGCAAAAGAAATTACATTTGGAAGAATCGAACCTCCCAGAGAAGTCCAAAAAAGTTTCAAAGACAACCGCACTACCGACTGCGCTATCATCAATCGTGGTGGGGGAGGCCATCTAGGCCCCCCTTGTCCCGGTGGCTAGCCATGCCTGCCATGGATGCGCGCCGAGGGATGTAGGAAAATACCGTTTTAGTTTTTTAATTTTATAAAATCGGGGACAGCCATTCTGCAAAAATGAACCCTACAACGTTACTCAGAATGAAATTCTCTATCGAATGCACTATCTTTGGAAATGATTTGCGTATGACTCAAAAAAAGCACTCCTTATTAGGTTAGGCTTTGGCTTCGGCTTATTAGGCGAAGCAGGCTTAGGTTAGGCTTAGGCTTAGGCTTAAGCTTAATAGAACTAAATCCGAGTACTGATTAATTTGATGCACCTTACTGACCTCTTTAATAGAAAGCCCATATCTGATAAGCCCTCTAACGAGAAGCCTAATAGCCTTTAGACAACAGCCACTATGGTGACTTCCTTGTGCCCTATACCCAATCGCACCCCTCCCCCCCATCCAGTGTCTCCTCCTCGGTCTTCGGTAATAAACGAGCCTTGGCTGGATGGTAAGGGCCTGGCATTGAGGGCCCCATAGGAGACCCCAGCTAGGTGCCGCCCCGACAAATGGGCCCTCACGGCCCTGCCACCTGGCCATCCCCCTCGAGAACCCAGGGGCCCAAACTCCCCAACCCCAGCCTCAGCTACGTCTTGATGGTGGCTGACGCAGGGAGAGTGGAGGGGGATCCACAAGGCAACATGTCCACGTCACGGGCCATTAGCTGTTGGCGAGCAAGAGGTGGGGCTCTGAGATCTAATCGATGGTGATCAAGGCTGTTGTCCACTTGGTGATCATCAATTAGGTTGGGGCTTAACCTCCCTTGGGGGGATCGGGTCCGGTTGACCCTTGCTTTAAATTGGCGATGGCGAACAGGAAGGGGAATTGGAGGAGGGGTTAAAGGGGTTGGAAAGCGTAAGAATCTACCCCTTCTAAATGCTAGGTCTCTACAATAAAATGAAATTCAAAAATACGAAATATGTACAATTTTGGGTTTTGGTCAGTTCGTTAAGAGGTTATGGAGATTGAGGCATTTTTTGAAAAATTAGGGAAGTGTCTAGACCTAGTCAAGCAAAGGGGTCGATTCTTCCGGATTAGTTAAATTTATGCTTTTTTATAGCTTATTTCAGTCACTAAACGTTCTAAAACTGTAGATATT